AATCTGATTAATCTTTAAGTTTCAAAACTTGCTGTTAGGAAGAAAAGTTAAATTATTCGAAAGCGTTTTTGGTATTCGTTTTATAAACATTGAGAAAAGCAGAGATTAACAAACTAATGTTCTATAACAAGATTAATTAGAGTCTATGCAAAACTTTAAACCAGACTCAAATATTTCCTATTCATATATAATATATACCGCATGCTTTCTTCTAATTAAGTATTCATTAAAAGTATATTTAAAAAAAAAAAATTTCTAATTATAATTTTCATATTGCAATTTGATAAGATTATTCTTTTGAATGTAAAAATACTTTTCTTTTGGGAATTATAAAAATCATAAATTTCCTTAGAATTACTTTGCAGAAAAAAATTTATATCCACCGCGGTTCGTTTACAGTAATTATTTATTGGTTTTCAAAGTAAATTGTCTGGAAATAATTGCTCAATTATCCAAAAATAACTTGTATTTTAACAGAAATAGTGCGGAATGTTGCGAATCTTAATAGAATTTCTATTTGGTCTTGACGGAATTTATAAAGAATTTTAACAATTTATGGAATCTATAGAATCTCAAAGACGTGAATTCCATTGTTTGTGAGTTATAAATTTATCTATCAATTGTATTCTTTCTTTTCATTGAAAAATTTTTATTATATGATCAGTCAATTAATTTCTTTATTGACCATATAATTATTCGAAATTTCGAATTAACAAACTTTCAATAAAAAATTATAATTTAAAATAAATAAATATTAATTATTATTTTTTCAATTTATTAAAATTTTTCAATATATTAAAAATTAAAGTAAATAATATAATTGCATATTTAATAATTTATAGAAATTTATTTCTGAACGGAGAGTATAAACGATTTTGGATCTATTCCAATTTGCCAGATATCTCTAAGATTGATACGAAATGGTTTTATTATAGATATTAATTTTTTTTTTTGAAATTAAAAATAAAAAACTAGAAATTATTGGTGTGGATGTTCAATTATTTTATTTTCCACTTTGCATACTTTTGTGAAATAAGCTCTCTTTCTTTAAAATTACTCTTCTCGTAGATTTTAATATTCATACATGGAAATTATTATATACGCCTTTTAGAATAATATGCCTGAGTTCTCGAATGGAATTCATAATTTCTGGACTCTCTACGAAAATGGAATTTTCAAATGTCGGACAAACTTTTTAACTTCGTTACATTCTCCTGAGAGTATTTCTATTTGATCCATTTCGACCAAAATAGCAAACTCTTGACTTCCGAGAGAGCTCTCAGCGACTCTCTTTCTATAAATGATAATTTGTTTTATATCAGAAATTTAATTCACCTCGGGAAATCGTTTATCTAATCAAAAAATATATTCAAAGTTTCGTAATTTAATATCTTTTTTTCGTATTAATTATTTTTTTTATGTCAAAAGAAATAAAATACGAACAATTCTTTTTTCTAATAAATAAAAATTTAATAAAAAAATAATTTTTTTTTATGAAATTTTGTGAGTCATTTATATAATAATAAAGCAGAGTAATAGAGTCGACTATGTGCGGTAAGGATGTGATTTATAACCGGTTTATCGGTACATATTCCAATGTAATTTATTTTACTGATAATATATTCAATGTGTCTTCATTAGATTATAAAATTCATTTCGAAAACCTTCCGTTATTGACCTAACAGTGAGTGAAATTAAAAATGGTTAATTTTTTAAATTTAATTTTTTTTTATAATTTAACGACAAATTTATTTTCTATTTACAATTACAAAATTTATTTTCAGTGAGTGCGAGTTTAATTAAATTTTTACCCTTTCTGAAAATAACCAAAATCCGAGTATAATTTATTCGTTTAAACTAGCCCAGAAACTGTTTTAAAATAAATAGACCGCCGAGAGAGAGAGAGAGAGGGAAGGAGAAGGAAAAATATCTATACTTTCAAGTTCTACATTGAAATTGTATTTTAATTGACTGATCCGAATTACTCGAATCCGGATTTAATGAACTCGTTGGTCTGACGTTCTGGCAGTTCGGTGAGTGAGTCAAACTGAAATCAATAAATTGTTTTACAATTCTCATTGTGGGTTTAATGAATTATTTATTTTACAAAAAACTTACAACAAAATTATAAATAAAATATAAAAATTCTAACAAATTTTAATTATTCAAAAATAAATACGATGGAGGAAGTAATTTTAAACTCGAAATATTTTTAATGGACGTTCTCGAAGGAGTCGCTCTTTATATTTTATTATACTTAACAAATTTTTTGATATTAACCTGTCGATGTATCTTCGTTTTTTTTTTGTATGACTTCCCGCCGATGCAGGAAACCCGAGCTCCGTTCAAAATTGCAAGAGACTCAATAGTAAAAGCCAATTTAGTACACCATTAGGGATACGATAAATGCGGATAGCACGTTTCAGGAATGAGTTTCGCGTCTCAATTTACAAAGTTCTCAAGTATCGCTTTGATAAATTCTTTACTGAAAGCAACCTCTATTTCCCATCAAACTGAAATAAAGTACTTACAGTGTTTCGGTTACGTTTTACAGCCCCTCACGATATACAAGCGCGTGTTTTTCATCCTTTCAACATTATTATTTTTATTTCATTTTACAATTTTCAATGTAAATATATTAAATTATAATATCTTCTACTAAAAAAAAATTCTTCCACTAATAAAATGAGCTAATTTAAATATAAAAATTTTATAACAAAATTTAAAGAACACTGCATTAATTTTAATAATTAATAATTTTATTATACGCAGAAAAAGGTGGAGGAAAAATTGCAGTCGTGTAATACTTTTATTTTAATATATTTTTTTTTCTATTAAACAAGTAATGAGAAAAGGCAATTTCAAATTCAATCTCTGTAGAATTTTCACTTGAAAAAAGTTTACAAGTTGACATAAAAATAAAACTATTGACAAAAAAAGAAAATGTAAATAATTTTTCTTGTAATAAAAAGTTGAAAATGTAAATTTTTTGATCATTTTTGATCCATTGTAAATGTTGCGGTTCAATCAAAAACTGATCTATAAATTTTTTGTACGGAAAATTTGAATAATATTATATTAATCAAATTTTAAAGTTCAAATTCATTTTATTAAATTTTTTTTATGTTTATTATTCTGCTGAATTTAACTCAATTTCAGGTAAATTAGATAAATTAAATTCTACTGCATTTAAAGTAGATGCCTTTTGTTTGCATTAAATTGAATGGAATGTAAAATAAAACTATGAATAATATTTCATGGTTACAAATAAAGGTAGCAACCATTTGGAAAATGTTTTCAAAATTATTTGTTCGTGTGTATTCATTTAAATTAGTAATTTATTAATGTTTACTGAAATACGAATTTTTTAAACAGAAAATTTATAATTTTTACCCAAAATAAATTACATACTAACTAAATAATAAACTTTATACAAGATAAAAATAATAATTAAAAATAATAAAAAAGAAATAATAATTAAAAATAATAAATAAAAATAATAAATGAAAATAAATAATAAAAATAAAAATACTTAATAAAAATTACAGTAATAATAATCCAAATGAAATAGGAGAAACCGTTTTAAAAAAATGTTAATAAAACCATATATACGTATCTATTGGGAATATCTTGAAAAAAAGTGTATAGGGGAAATGAAAAACATTAATAACTGAGATTGAAACGATTTTCGCAGTGTTTTGAAGGGGGAAATATGAAATTTTTCTTTTAAAACAAAAAAAAAAAAAAAGAATGCGAGAGGGAAAATGGAAGAACAAATTGAGAGACGATGAATATGCTAATTTATACAATCAAATCAACCAATTAGCATTGCGGAACAACGACACGTTTGGTGCTTCAAACGACACGATATACCTGGAAAACGAAAATTGCATGTCTAGCAAAGAAATACTTGTTCTACTTTATATACACCAGAGGGTAGGAAAAAAATAATGGCTAAAATAAACTAAGAAAAAAAAACAACAGGAAAAAAAAGTTCTCGCGTTGTCTTTCTCTTGTGTTTCGAAAAATTCCGAATGGTATGTGTCTCGCTGTAATATACTTTTTCTACTTCGGCTGACAGATCTTTTTCCATAGTATACTATATAAAGTGAAAAACGCATATTCTGATCAGACACATATTATACATATGCAAATCATCTTAATATTGTGGAAAAGATTTCATAACTTTCTCGTTAGCTAATTTTTTTATTTTCTTTTTCCCTAACAAATCATGGGGAAAATTTATATGCGACTGGCTGTAAATGACTTTTTCTATACTTTTCGGAAAAAAAATTTTAAACTGTTTTTTAAAATTATTTAATTTCACTTTTTGCAAATATTTAGCCTTTCGAGAAAAAAATATTCATAAATTGTTTATAATTATTATTTGGTGAAATAAGCAAATATTAAATTAAAAACATGAAAGTTAAACTTGAACTAATTTTCTTTTCCTTCATTGCTATTTCTCTTGTGAATACAAGACGGACTTAAATAATCTAAATAAAAGTTTGCTTAAGTCAAATAAAACTTGTTTACTGTACCATCGATGCTGGTCTAGGTTTTTTTGGCTAAAAAGTTAGAAACGGAAAGGTATACAAAATAGAACTAGAAGAATCATTATTTCAAAGGAATGGAAAATAGCTATGTAAAATTATTCCTATTTTGCTTTAAGTTATTAAAAAGTATTCCTTTTAATTTAATTTTTAAATAATTTTTAATTTTTTTTAATTATGTGGTTGTACTTTTTTAAATTCCAATTTTTGGTTACGAAAGCGAATAATTTAGTTCGCTTTCGTACCTTAAGAGAAAAAATTATTTAAATCTCTCACTAAGATGGGTAGTCCAGTGATCAGAGCTCCCGACTTGCAATTTAAAAACAGGGGTTCGATCCCAGGCGCAGATGAGATTTTTCAAGCTCCACAAATATTTCAAATTAAAATAATACTTAATATATTTAAATATTTAATAATAATTAATTAAAAATAAAATGTTTGTTACAGAATCGCAGAATGGAGGAAGAAAAATCGACACGCTAAGGAGCCACTAGCTGCAGCTGCAGCTGCGGCGACTGCACATGCAGCGGTCCCTGCAACTGCGGCCAATTGCAGCGCCAAGTGATATCGACGCTTCACGAAAAAAGCAATGCAGAACGTTGCCGGCGAATATTATCAACGAGCGCCAAGATGTTGTCCGAATCGCTCGGCACCGGACAGAATCAAACTTTCCAACACTGGTCGTGGCGCGGAATTGCTTTGCTGTTGTTGCAGCTGCAGCAACTCCCCGTCAACAAAAACGCCGGGATTTCTTGCGAGCCTCGGCGTTTGCATCCTTGTACTTGGTTACACGTTACTCGGAGCTTTCGCCTTCATGGCCCTTGAGGGCGGACTCAAGTCGGTGAGTGAGTCTTCTTTTTCATCGATCGCTTTTTCCTCTCCCCATTCCAGTATCTTGTCTCTGCGTTTTTTTTTTGCACAATGCTTTTGCTCATTCTTCTTCTTTCTTTCTTTTTTTTTTTTATTCTCCTTTCCCCACCAACGAACTCTATCTCGTGTTATTTTCACGTTGAAAAAAAAAATGTACGAGATACGTTAGCTAAGTCAGAGTCCTCTTAAAATGAGAACACTTCAATAACCCACCCTCTCTCTCTCTCCCTTCTACCTCAATCCACAATTCTCGGCTTAGCAATTCATTTTCCCCTGTAATCGCGTTCTGCAGATGAAAAAACACTGCTCTCAATTCGACCAGGCTTTCTACTTTTTTTTGCATAGAAAACATAATGGTACAAGGTAAATAAGGTATAAATAGTCAAGTTGGTTTCAATTTCATCTCCGTCCATCGAATATTTATTTATCCCGATGAAATTAATTTATTTCATTCTTTTAATAATAATAACTTAATTTTTATTTAACAAATAATTTTTTAATTAAAAAAATTTTAATTTCAAGGAAATATTTATTTGGCAAGCAACTAATTATTTGAATCAAATAAATTTTTTTAAAATTAAGCCATTACAACAAAAAAACAAGAAATAATAAACCACTAAAATTTTATTAATGTTCCAGTTAAACGAAAATCGTTCCTTAAACAGTATTGTGCAAAACAAGTTTTGTTTGAACTAAAAAATTTTTTTTTTTTTTTATTGACTTTATGAACAAGTGTGAGCTTTGATGTATACGGTCAGAGATTAAAAAAAAAAAAGTTTCGTTATTTTTCAAATAAAACTTTTAATTAAACTTGTTTGGAATCAAGGAAATACGTCGATAAAGAGATATATTTGCAATTCAGGAATATCTTTTTTATATAACTCTCAAGCATAAAGAAAAAGTATCCAGTAAAACTTGTTTTACTTCAAGCAAAATTAGAATAAATATTAATTAATATATATTATTTTTATTCAGTATTGCAAATATATTAAAAATATGTTTTAATATCATCCGTTTTATTTGCGAGTATTAGAATTTTTTATGAAATTTAAAATATTTTATTTGCACAAGATAACAGAAATTATGTAATATTTTTTTTATAAATTAAATAGAAAGCAATGTAAAATTTTCTTTTATAATTTATTTTTTTATTACTATTTCCTGTGTAGAAAATTTGCCAGGTTGTCCCCAAACTTTGCCCAGATCGGGGCCGGATCAGACATTTTTTGGTCGCCCTGATTAGCGTTTCATTCCCTACTAGGGCCCTGGTAGGGTAATTTCTACCAAAAAATAAATAACATAAGAAATTTTAATTTAATCTAATTTTAATATCTACTTTAAATTTATAATCCCGTGTGGTAATTGCCCTAATAAAGCCCTAGTAGGTAATGAAACGCCTAATCAGGCCCCGATCTGGGCCCTGGCAACATTTCTACACGGGATTTAATATAATTTATAACACCCAGATTCTAAATGTTCATTTATGTTTGACCGCAAAAAGTTAAAGTGGAAAAAAAATAAAAAAAAACTATAAATTCAAGTGAAAATAAAAATAAACATTTGTTTATATAAATATGAGTGAAATGAAGAGAAAAATGAGAGAAATAAAAACAAATGAAAAAAGAAAAAATAATAGTATATCATAAAAAAAATAAAATGATAGATAGAAGGGAAATAATGTTGTCATTGTTTATTATATATGGAAAACTCAGATATCGTGTCTAACTGACAAAACCTCTCATTGTTAGACGAACTGTGAAACGTACACGTTGATAAGACATGTTCTCACTATGTTATAAAATTATGTAAATTACGTCTGTTTTCATGAAATCAATTCAATCTATTTTTCCCTGGTTTTATACTATATAGAATAGAAAGTTTCTTTAGATTAAAAAAATGTATATTACAATTTACAACACATTTTTTCATTACAAAAGTTTTTTTATATTGAAAAAGTTTTTTTTACTGCAAATTTTTTTTTATTACAAAAAATTTTTATGCTTTAAGACACTTATAAATACAGTTCAAAAGTAGGTTTACAAAGTGTCAAATTACAATATTAATTTTAATAAATAGTTAATAAAATTCCTTACAATTCTGAATTATTTTTTATCAATGAAATATCTCACAATTTCCTCACTTACAATAGAAAAGAAAATGATCTCGAGATAAACGAAATTAGAAGAAAAAGCTTTTTTAAAGTTCTCTCTCTTTCTCACATGAAATGTCAGGGCGAACAAAAAGATAAAGTAACAGTTAACTGTTTTTTTGTTAAATGAAATGTTCTTTGTTGTGAAATAAGACCAAGTTTTGAAAAGATGAATTGTACATTGTTGTATATAGGAGCCACCGACTGAGATAGTGTCATCGTCAAACCAGAAACCCGACGCCTCAGGAAGTGGTGGGTTATCGTCGTCGTCGTCATCAACTTCGTCCTCATCCTCATCATCAGCAGCAGCATCATCAGGATCATCATCATCATCATCATCATCCTCGTCGCCTTCTCCGTCTTCGCTAGTTCCAATTCTTGAAGAGGATAACACAGTGGTACAACTGAGAGCACAAACTGTCGAGAGGCTTTGGAGTTTGACCGAAGATTTAAACGTCCTCTACAAGGAGAATTGGACTCGATTGGCCGCGCACGAAGTCCTCAAGTTTCAGGAGAGTCTGGCACGTGATTTGAGGAGTCCTCTTTCGCATTCTGTGTACGAATCCGTCATACCAACACGACGCCGAGATCTTCACGAGAAGCGATCACACTTACGGCGATGGACCTTCAGTAGCAGCCTCCTTTACTCTCTCACGCTTATCACAACAATCGGTGAGTCTCACCAGTTTCCCAAAACTTTATTATATCCCAAAAGTAATTCAATCTCCCATAACAAATATATATATATATTCAACATCTCCAATTTCAATATATTGGCTTTATTATCAATTTTCATATTAGCATATTGCATTACTTTCAAATATACCATCAAGGCAAAATTTCTATATACAAAGATTTTCGTTGTAAATGATAAAATTTCCGCCCTAATTGGTCAATTTTTAAAAATTGTGCCAAAATCTTTCTGTCAACTGTTTGTTCGGCAATTTTTAATTTCGGACAAATAAAAATTTGGCGCCTTAAAAATTCTATCAATTAAAAATTCGTACAAATTAAAATTCGATTAAATTAAAATTCTGACAAATTAAAATTTGGGCAAACTAAAATTCGGATGAATTCAAATTCGAGTAAATTCAAATTCGGACAAATTCAAATTCTGACAAATTAAAATTCGGATTAACTCAAAGTCGGATAAATTAAAATTCGGGCAAATTAAAATTTGGATAAATTAAAATTCGGACAAATTCAAATTCGAGCAAATTAAAATTCGAATAAATAAAAATTCGGATTAATTCAAATTCGGGCAAATTAAAATTCGAATAAATTAAAATTCTGACAAATTAAAATTTGGGAAAACTAAAATTTGGGCAAACTAAAATTCGGATAAATTAAAATTCGGATTAACTCAAAGTCGGATAAATTAAAATTCGGACAAATTAAAATTTGGATAAATTAAAATTCGGACAAATTCAAATTCGAGCAAATTAAAATTCGAATAAATAAAAATTCGGGCAAATTAAAATTCGAATAAATTAAAATTCTGACAAATTAAAATTTGGGCAAACTAAAATTCGGATAATTTAAAATTCGGATTAACTCAAAGTCGGATAAATTAAAATTCGGACAAATTAAAATTTGGATAAATTAAAATTCGGACAAATTCAAATTCGAGTAAATTAAAATTCGAATAAATAAAAATTCGGATTAATTCAAATTCGGGCAAATTAAAATTCGAATAAATTAAAATTCGTACAAAATACATATTCAGACAAATTAAAATTCGGATGAATTCAAATTTTTGTAAATAAAAATTCGGACAAATGGAAATTTGAATATATTGAAATTCGGATAAATTAAAATTTAGATAAATTAAAATTCGGATAAATTAAAATTCGGGCAAATTAAAATTCAGATAAATTAAAATTCAGTGAATGGGTTCGTTATTATAATATCGAACTGACCATTAGCATGAGCATTTTTACTCTATACTATATATAATTTTAAAAAATTCCTTTAAATCGCGTGTTATTTTTCTCTATTTTTAGAAATGGTCCCAGGCTACGTTTTTGACCCAGTTTTTCCTTTGTTCGGGAAAATTTCGATTTAACTCTTCAATCGTTATACGCGAAAAAAAACCGTCATTCAAAGGCCAAATAAAATGTCAATTGCAACTCGTTGGATCTTGTTATTTTTAATTGTCTTAACAAAATTCAACAAAGATTCGTTTACGAGCAATTTTATAATATAATATACAGATTTGCTATATATATAATATTTAATTAATGAAAAAATTTTAAATAAATATCTTGAAAAGAAAATTTTGCTGGAACCATATATAAGAGAAGAAATTCGTTCGCAGTAGTGTAAATCAGTAAATCAGTTTTAGTCAGACAAATCGTCCTTATTTATTTCTATTTACAAAATCAGTTTTTGTTTTCGTAGCATAAAAACGTTATTTAATTTCTGAATTCTATTTTTTTTCAGTAGGAAAAGTAAAAAATAAGTGATATTATTTTAATAGGTGAGAATTTTTAGTCAAATCTATTTTCCATTATAATTTATTCCCTTTGAATATTTGCAAATTCGGATTTATTATGAGTAAGGAGATATTTTTTTTAAGGAATATTTTAATCCAAATATCAGAAATAATGTTGGTTATGCATTATTCTGTAACATTTTATTATTTAAATGAAGATAATGTCTCAATGGCAGAAAACACAGGTAGTGTGTTCATCTAGGGTCACTTGCTTACCTTATCCTATGTATCTCCTCTGGGAGTATGACCTGCATATTAAATTACTATATCTATACCATTCCCCAAGCAACGATCGTGCATTTCATTCTGACAAAATATCTTATCTTTCTTTCTCTCTAAAAGCTGACACATATTATTCAAAGGGAACAATTTTTCTATATATATAAAAAAAATATTCCTTTTTTTTATGCATCAATATTTAACACGGGAATTAATTCCACTTTCAAGTTAACCAAAAATACACGCGCGGATTATATTTATGCGGTTATTTTTTTCTTCTTTTTTTTTTGCCGCCACAACGATTTAGTTAAAACAATGTCATTCTAATTGAGTATTGAAATGGATCTGCCAGAATAAAATTTAATGGAAAAGAGATATCAGGCATAAAGTTTCGAAAGCATATTTTACATTTCAATACATCAATCTAAATCAAACATGTATTTGTATTGTAAATTTTATCGAACGCAGCAAATATCCGCCCCCGCCGTCGCGTCGATGAAGGATATTCGGTCATTCAGACTATTTTTTTTCCAATAAACACAAAAAGTTTTTTTATTTTATTTTATTTTTTCGTTTCAATATATAGAGAACGAAATTACAAACTCTCTTTTCTATATCTCTATATAGAATATTAAATATTTACCCTTTCCTTTTTCTCTCCGATATTAAAGTGCAATGCTAATACGAATTCAGAAACTTGTTCCATCATATCTAGAATCTGCGTATAACATATCATATTTTATATTTTTCTTTTTATCATTATTGTTTGAAAATTGTGTCTCGAGAAATGCTTTAATCGATATGAGTAATTTTTTTTTTTTTTTAGTTTAATTTTTCACTCTCGACGCGAGAGAAACTGAGATCCACTTTTACATGAGTGGATAATACAATGTACATTAATTAAAAGTTGCTTCATAGTGTACATACCACCTTGTGTAATTCAATAAAAATCACCTCGCAACGGTTGCTTAAAACACCATTAAAAAAAAATCCTATTTTTCTTTTCTCCACTTTCTTATTATTTTTTTTTTTATAGATTCCTGTGAATCATAAAATTACTTCAACCCTCGACATTAATTAATTAATGTTCTCCTTAATTTATTTTTCACTATTCCACTCATTTTCTATGCTTTTTTCAAGCATTTCTTTTTATCCTTTCATTTCAACTTCTTTTTACCTAGCCCCCCCCTCTTTTTTTCTTAGGTTACAAGTGTGTGTTTTGTTTTTTTTTTGGTAATTTCATTTTTTTTCGCTCAATTCGAAATAGTTTAAATTTTTTTATTCTTTTTTAAGACAAACAATTTTGGAAAAATTATAGAAAATTGATTCTATTTTAACTTCCGCCTAAAGAACGATATATTCTAAATTTTAAAATTTTTTTTGTAAAAATACTTTTTTTACATATCCCTGTCTTTTCACATTTCCTACATCCAATTTTTACTTATTCATTTACATCTTTTTTCAATTTTTTACATTCTTTATTTTTACGTTTTTTTTCTATTATACTTTTTTTCACTTTGTTCCTCTTTCGCATTTCGCCAACATTCTTCTTCGCCTTGTTCCACTTTTACATTTCCTTTTTATGTTTTCCTTTATTTCTTCATTTTTCTCCTCTCTTTCTCTCTCTCTCTCTTTCTCTCTCATTCTCGATCAAAGCTAGACCTCCAGAGATTCAACATTGAAAACAATTTTATTCTAATTTTAAAAACATTTTTCTTATTCTAAATTATATTCTAATTATGTGAATTAATCACACTCTCTAAATCTGAATTAATGAAAATTAAAATAAAAAAAAATAATTATAATAATAATAAAATAATTAAAAAAAATAGTAAAATTCCTCTTGGAATCTACATGTTTATAAATCTTTGACTCGTGAGAAACTGGACGAATTTTCCTTGAGAAAAACTACTTGACCGAATTTACCCTCTTTCTGAAAAATTGACAATGTATAATTAATATTCTCTAATATTATACTCCTGACCTTTATTTTTCAACTACACGTTAAACTTAAAAATCAATCAGCTTTAATCAAATCGAGTGGCTTTCAACATTATCCCTTATTTTATGATAGGAAAAAAAAGAAGATTTGAATTTTAAATTTAATCAGTGTATTGTACTTGAAATTGTATTTGGCGTTAAATTACTCTCGAAGTTGTAAATTCCAAGACTCCATTAATTATTAAATTTTAAGAAAATATTACAATAGAAAATATTTTTAAAAAAAATAATAAAGTTTAAAATTTTTTGCAAAAAAAAAAAAAATTATTCGATACCAACAAATTGGTATGAATAATAATTTTTTTTTTTCAACTTTATTCTCATATCCTTTCGTTTAAACTCATTATTATCGTTGAAATAAACTTTATTTTTCATAGAATTTTCGCCAATTAAAAAAGGAAAAAAAAAATTCGAGAGAATGAGAATTATGAAAAATATAGAATTTCACAATTATATTGGCCAAGTAAAAATTTTAATGAATAAATAAATCGTTGGTTTTATTCCCAGTGAAAAATCATATTTTTAAGCTAAGGAAAAGTTGTATTTGTAAATAATAGAATTTTCATTTGAGAGAATAATTAATTGCTGGAATTTTTATTAAATAGAATAGTTATTGCAACAAAATTATAATTATATTGATTCAAATTTTTTAAAGATTTAAATTTTTCTGACAGATATTTATTTTTGTTAAATTTAACTACTGTGAATTAAAAATTTTTATAAGAATTATTTATTTATTAATTTGGTAAGAATTATAATTTATCCGAATTATAATTTGTACGAATTTTAATTAATCCGAATTTTAATTGGTCCGAATTTGTATTTTGTACGAATTTTAACTTAGACGAATTTGTATTTGGTACAAATTTTAATTTATCCGAATTTTAATTGGTCCGAATTTGTATTTTGTATGAATTATAATATATCCGAATTGGTATTTGGTACGAATTATAATTTATCCGAATTTGTATTTGGTACAAATTTTTATTTATCCGAATTTTAATTGGTCCGAATTTGTATTTTGTACGAATTATAATTTATCCGAATTTGTATTTGGTACGAATTATAATTTGTCCGAATTTTAATTGGTCCGAATTTGTATTTTGTATGAATTATAATTTATCCGAATTGGTATTTGGTACGAATTATAATTTATCCGAATTTGTATTTGGTACAAATTTTTATTTATCCGAATTTTAATTGGTCCGAATTTGTATTTTGTACGAATTATAATTTATCCGAATTTGTATTTGGTACGAATTATAATTTATCCGAATTATAATTTGTCCGAATTTTAATTGGTCCGAATTTGTATTTGGTACAAATTTTTATTTATCCGAATTTTAATTGGTCCGAATTTGTATTTTATACGAATTTTTAAATGATAAATTGTTAAAACGCAAAATTTTCATTCAACCGAAATTGCAAATATCCGAACAAATAATCGACAGAAATATTTGAGCTCGTCTTTTAAAATTATAAATCAGAATTTTCCTAACAATTTCTGATTGATCGATTTAAAAATTCGTGCAAAATTCTTTTTATCGTTTCAATTAAATAAAATGAAAATTCTAATTCAATAATTGATTCGCAATGAAAAAAAAAGTGATTTGAAATGGGTCGAGTTTAAAATCTGCCTTTCCCGTGACTCGTTTAAATCTTGATTATCAGCAGCAATTAAATGTTATTTTTTGTTTTTTTTTTTTGGCTATGTTTTAGGATACGGTAGTGTCGCACCACGTACAGTTTGGGGCAAATTAATCACGATTGTCTACGCCCTTGCCGGTATTCCATTAATGTTGGTCTATTTGAGCACAGTGGGAGATGTCCTGGCAAGAAGCTTTCGTAGACTTTACGGTCGAATCTGTCGACCTCGAAGTTGTGCGCGAAAGCAGCAGCCACCACCGCCACCGCCGCCAGTGTCAGGTGTCATGGGAAAAGCATATCGCTACGACAACCACGTCGAGACAAAGGGAGCTGGAAACTTTTATGCGCCAAGTAAAGAGAGTTCTTGTGACGATCTTGGCACTCGTAGCACCGGAAGTGCGATTTTACTCGATTGTGGAAGCGAGGGTCTTCTTCATCCGACGACAAGTTCCACCATAGCCCTCCAGGTAGATTACCTACTATTTTATGCTTTTAAGGATGAAAGAGAACATTTCTTTTTCTTATTTCTCCTCCTCCTTCATCTTCTTCTTCTTCTTCTTTTTTTCCTTCGAGCTAAAATTATCAAAGAATTCTCGAGAAAGTTGATCTGTCGAGACCTTATTTTTTTTATTTTTATTATTTCATTGTTTCATTCGGAGAGTTATTTCTTATTATTATGCCACTGACGAAAAATATTTTAAATTAAATACCAAATTTTTTTTTAAAAACAAGGAAAATTTTTGAATTGAAATAAAAAATAAAATTAGGCATATAAAAATTGAAAACAACAGTCATCGATTTTTTTGTCCCACTCAAAAAACCCCTGTAGAAATTTTGCCAGGGCCCAGATCGGGGCCGGATCAGACTGCCCTATTAGGTAATGAAACGCTGCTCTTGATGTGGCCCTAATTAGGAAACATAATTTTCTGGTCGCCCTGATTTGGCCCTGATCAGGTGTGGCGTTTCATTCCCTATTAGAGCCCTACTATGGCCCTGGTATGGCAATTTCTATACGGGAATTATTATTTTAATTAATTTTTCGGACTGATGAGAAAAAAAAATTATTTATTATTGAAATTATTAATAATTCAGTATAAGAATAAAAATTCAAGTATAACATTTATTCGAATTTTTTATATGACTAGGAAATATCAATTTTTTATTTCTCTTGTAAATAATATGATTTTCAATTTTTCTTTTGAAAATTCTTGACTTTCACTTATTTATAATAGTAATGGTACAGCTTTTAAAGTAAAAAGAGTGAAAACAGTATGTCTTGCTATAAAACACATTTTCTACTTGTGTTGACATGAGAGCGGAAAACGAAAATTGCATGTCTGACCATAAAGCACTTGTTCCACTTGATATGATACGAAAGTGAAAAATTGTAGCCAAAATAAACAGGAAAAAGGAACTGGAGGAATGTTTTTCAAAAACCTCGTCTTTTGTATAACAGAAGAAAGGAATTCAATATTATTACTAGATATCATGTTTCTTTGTTGTTAGAATAAAAAAATTTCAACTTCATTCACCATTTTTTTTTTTTTTTTCATGTAATGCAGAATTATAAATATTTATTTTTCATTCGCGTTTCAAACAAATGAACACAAAAGAACATTTATTATTAAATCTTTTAGTTTTTTTTTCTATTTTAAAATTACTATGCATTCTCATTATAAATGAGAAAATATTCAAAGTGGCCGATTTTTTTTTAAAACATAAAAAAATTAGGTTAGAAAATTAAAATAATTTTTTTTCCTATTTTGTATAATTATTAATGCTTGAAGAATTTTTTCCGTTTTTACAGTTTTTTCCCTTTTAATGGAAAAAATAATAAATCCTGTTTATTGCAAAATTATGTTCGTATATATGGTTTCATTGAAAAGCTCTTCAATAATAAAAAAAAAACTGCTTTTTTCCAGAACATTAAATCAACGAATAAAATTATTATTGACTGTTAACCCCTTTTAATGACAGTCAACCTTTGTATATATGTGTTTATTTAATTACCCTTGATTTTTTATTCCGTGTAGTAATTTTTTTTATCAAAAAATATAAAAATCACTGCTTTATAGTCTATGTAAAAAGCATAAATAGATATATTAAATAATAAATATTAAATTAAATCAATAAAAAAATACGATAAATGCAAAAAAAAGTTTTATATTAAAAAAACTCCATTCCTTTTTACGGGAATATTATTTGCTAGAAAAAAAAACTAATTTTCCAACAAAGCGGTAAATTTTTATATTTAAAAAAAAAAAATTTAAACGTTCTTTTCAATTTTGATGATTTATAATATTTTTCCTGTTAGCTTCGCTAATGGCTGTGAAGCGTGTTATAAAACCTTTCATAACTTTTTATGTGATGTAAAAATATCTAATAAAGTCTGCAAGGATTTTAATAAATTTTTTTTTTTCCCGGAGAAAACAAATTAAAAAAGAAAAATTCAATTATTTTGTTTTTTTTTTTAGTTTGATAAATGTCGCAAAAAAAAAACTTTTTTTGTTTCACGATATTTGAAAATTATGGATGATGGGGAGAGTTGAAAAAAAAAACGCAGTCAATAAATATAGAAAGGATTTTTTCTCGAAATTTCAGACAAATTGCGCACACGAACCGACGTCTTTTACTTGCAAAGAGACTTTTAGAGAAGAATGAAATTTAAATTTCAAAAAAGAAAGAATATTTTCGACTTACATTGTTCCTGATCGATGAATAAATTCCTCGTTTAATTTTTTTATAATTCAGAGGAAAAAATGGGTTATATAAAAGAAAATTGTGAAAATAAAAGAAAAGTACTGGGAAATTATTTTGGAGAAAATTGAGCGAGAGCAATTTAAAAAGATCTTTGTAATGCACTGAAAAAAAAAATTTATTTCATTCAAATAATCGACTTTACTATTAACAAATAAATATTTATTTGTATCAAATAGTTATTATGATATTTGTATCAACTCTATAAATCTGAATTAGTAAAAATGTTTACTAATTTCAATTAGTGACTCACTTTTTGCTTCTAAATTAGTAAATTTTACTAATTATTAGTAAATTCTAGTAACTATTAGTAACTTTTACTAACTATTAGTAAAATTTAACTAATTTCAAAGCAAAAATTAAGTCACTAATTTAAATTAGTAAACATTTTTACTAATTCAGATTTAGAGAGAAATGCGGAAATTATTGGTTCAAAGACAGTTTTTTTAATTCAATTATATTTGGTTTCAAAAATTATTTGGTTTAAGTAAATATTTGTTTTAGTCGCAAGTAACCGATTATTTGAATGAAATAATTTTTTTTTTACTATGAAATTCTGTTAATTGCACTGAAAAAAAATTTAATTGATTTAAATAATCGATTACTTGACTATTTTCAAATAAATATTTATTTCTATCAAATAATTATTATTTGAGACAATTAAATGGTATTTGTTTCAAATACAGAAATGATTGGTTTCAAATACAATTTATTTAATTCAAATAAAAATTATTTGGTTCAAGTAAATATTTGTTTTAGTCGCAAGTAACCGATTATTTGAATGAAATAAATTTTATTTCACTATGAAATTCTGTTAATTGCACTGAAAAAAAATTTAATTGATTCAAATAATCAATTACTTGACTATTTTCAAATAAATATTTACTTCTATCAAATAATTATTATTTGAGACAATTAAATCGTATTTGTTTCAAATACAGAAATGATTGGTTCAAATACAATTTATTTAATTCAAATAAAAATTATTTGGTTCAAGTAAATATTTATTTTAGTCGCAAGTAACCGATTATTTGAATGAGATAAATTTTTTTCGCTATGAAATTCTGTTAATTGAAAATTGTTTTATTAAATTGTTTTATTATTTTTGTATATAAAAATTAAGAAAAGAAATTGTTATTGTTTTTTTTTAAGGAGTCCTACAACAATGGAAAGAGACATTACTATCCATGTACACTTTCGTTGAATTCATCGACAACTTGTGCCAACGATTTGAATAATCCGGTGAAAGTGCCAATAACTCTTTGTCTATTAATAATAATTGTGTACATATGCGGCGGAGCAGTGATGTTTAATCGCCTCGAGGGTTGGACACTTTTGGAAGGTGGTTATTTCTGCTTCACCAGTCTTGGTACAATAGGATTTGGCGATTTATTGCCAGCTGGCAAGAATGCCCAAAATCCTACACTCGAAGAATTAAGTCTATGCGCCTGCTGCTTGTACATTCTTGCTGGAATGGGATTGATCGCCATGTGCTTCAATTTGGTACAAGAAGAGGTGGTACGCGCGGTCAGAGTCTTTGGTAAATCTTGTGGAATGTCGAGCGGGATGATGGTCAGCGGCCAGATAGGAGGTTCAGGTATATCTCAAATGCAATAAAAAATCGTGCTTTTGAGCTTTAAAAAGATTTACTTTAAAAAAAAAAAAAATTTCTTTTTGATTTAAATACAAAAGTTGCTTTGTTGAAAAAATTAACCTGCGCGGTTTTATATTTGAGTACACCTGTACCTGCACATGAGGATTCCCTCCATTGTGGCGCTTGACATTTAGTTTCTTACTTGGCAGAGCTGGTTTCATATTTTCCACCCAGAAAAAAAATAGAATTCCATTTTTATCGAATATTTCATCAATTTTTATTATATACAGTTTTTTTTCAGAAAATATTTCCCTCAAAAGGCGCTTTTGAAAACTTCTCAAAGCATATTTTAGTATTTCACATTTTTCACTTTAATATATATTATATATCAGAAAGAAAATTTTTTCAAATATCTATTTATGAAAGTTAATATTCATATATAAAATTAGTTAAGGTTTTTTTTCGATATGTAATAGATTTTTCCGACTTGAAATCGATAAAGGTTTCAAACGTTTTTATGTCACTTTTATACGGTTGAAACTTTTTTACGACTCATTTTATTTGATATAAAACTGTCCACACTTCAATCATAAATCTTCAAATCGAAAAAAAAAACGTTTACTTTTCCAAAAATTGAGAAAATGAAAGCTTTGATTAACTTTCTCGACAACTCGTGGGATTTATCGCTTATACAATTTGTACAATAATACCTGTCAATGTTGATATATATATTTGAAAATTGTCACGTTTCAATTTTTATATTCCAAAGGAAATATTTTTTTCTCTTAAAAATTTGAAACTATATATTATTTTTGTATCCTGAAATTTTTCTATTATATACCGCAGGAGAAAGAGAACCAGCCTCTGTCAATAAAGAATCAAAGCTCTTAATTTATTTGACTTTTTTTGTCAGGCGGTGGAAACGGCGTCAAATCCGAGCCAGATGGTGGCCTTGGAGCATCAACAGATTCAAGATTATCGGAGCAGAATGACGAGGCAATCGCAATGTCAGTGGTGTCGACTTCCTGACAACAGCCAACCAGGAGTTCCACCGATTCGGCGAAACTCCTGGCGCAACATCAATTAAATAGTGCGTTAAAAACATCATCGCCAGGACATCATTCATTGCCAAGGAAAAAATCTCTTGATTGTCGAAATTCAACAAAATCACATTTTCAACGTAATCAACCATTGAGACGTAGCGCAATGTCACCGACACAGCATCATCAACAACAGCAGCAGGAGGCATCACTTCTTTTTGAATATTTTGTGCCACGAAGTGTTAGTGAATTTAATCTCGCAGCAGCAATTAGTGAAATTGCCGTGCCCCCACCTCCACCATCGGTATTAAGGCCCCAAGTGACAATAGTGCCCCCAACAAATTCAAATTCAATTAGTGGAACAACAAATTCTGTTGGTACTAGAAATCGTGAAAAAATGGTAACATTCGAGGAGGATATTAATTGTTCTTCAATGACGAGAAAACATTTAAGTGTCGCCAATAACGTCTTTATGTGACGTTGCAGTGCCGCTTAAAATAGACTATAAAGTTTTAGAAAAAGAACTGAAAAAAAATACTCGGAAGATTAATATACGTAGAGGGACAATAAAGAAGACGGATGTTGCAAAAAAAAAAGAACGAAAGGAAGGAAATAGTAATTGGAAAGGAAGAATAACATCGAGAGGAAAATAAAACACAAAAGTGGAAAACTTGTATTGATTGCTGAGAAGCTAAAACAAGAGATAAAGAACCGAAAAGAAAAAAATCCCGAGAAGAATAGAAAATGAAGATTAGAATTTAAAAAAAACCTGAAAAAGAAACAGTTATTCTTTTAAGGAAGAGAAAAGAAAAAACGAAGAAACAAAAATTTAGAATTATATAGAAAAAGAAGAATATAAGATATGTGATACAAGATTAAAAAAAAAAGGTTGGAAAAAATCAAAAGAAGATTTGACAAAAAGTATTAAAATTTAAAAATATAATATCACGATAAAAATTATGCAAAAAGAAAAGGATGAATGATTCCTAAAAGAACCAATTTAAAAAAAGATAATTTTATATGAAATTAAATTTGTAAATATCACCAAGGTTGTTATATATAAAAAAAAAGTTACCACAATTTTTACATGATTCTTACGATAACAGGGACTCATTCGAATCCAAAATAATTTTCAAATCACAAAAAAAAAAACTTTATTTTCAGCTATAGCAGAATCAAGTTAGTGCACTTTTTTACCATCACTCTGAAAAAAAATTATATCTTAGCCAAAATAACTTAAATAACTGTTAATCAAAAAAAAGGAAAAAAAAACAAAAAAAAAAAGAAAAGAAAATCCATTATTAGACAATGTAGATTTTCCGTGAAAAAATTGGTTAAGAAGTTTTAAAAAAAAATTCTATTAACTGTAAGAAAACATTTGTCCCATAAATAAATTTGTATAAATTTCTATATTATTGTACAAGAAATGACGATTATAATCGCTCAATTCTTAAAATTAATCTGAGTGGCAAAGACCAGAATTATAAATATTTAATAAATAAAAAAAATATCATTTAATGTAGTTAGAGGATGTAACTCAAGTTTCGAAATTTGTGAAAGAAAACTGTTATCCATAATAAAAGTAATTTTTATGGAAAACGATATAATATTCAATATTTTTCTTCTGTACATAATTTTTATTTTATTTTTTATATTAATAGAATATTAAATATTCTACAGGAGTTCATACAACGCAGGTAAACGAGTCTCTAGTAATCACAGCTCTTCATTACTCAAAATCATCATTCAGTAAAAAGTACACTTAGTGAAAAATATAAACTTAGTTATTTAAAAAAAAAATTTCCATAATATTAAAATTATTAATCAATATTAAAAAATAGAAATTCTATGAGAAAATTGGAAACACAATAATATTTATATAATATAAATAAGGGAAAATTAATTGCATAATTTGATAAATTAAATGTATTTAAAAGTTTTATCAAAGAAGAAAAAGAACAATTATTGACACTAAATTTTTCATGTTTTATCGCAATTAATTATTACTAAATAATTTCTCAATTTTAGATATTATAATGACGCGTTTATTTTTTTTTATAATATAATTGGGATGAAAAAGTGCAAAACTCAAATAATTCATGTGAAATTTATTTTTTTAAAAATAGTATCAGTAATTGTGAATTTTTCTCTCTATATATATATATATATAAATTTCTCGAATGGAATGTTTTCTTTCGCTATACAAGTAAAAAGTGCAAATCTAAAATATAAAAACGAAGCTAATTAATAATACAGTGATTATTAGGGAATTTTTAAGATTTCTTTCACTATTTTTTGAAAGACCTTGCTGATTTGGTTCGTCGATGTTGTTGCCACCAAAACTTCCTGCCTCTGGAAACCAGGATTCCGTCACTGGAGCCTATGGAAAAATTTAAGATTTTTATTTTTAGTAATATAGTATTTTTCTTTAATTCATTATTTATCAAAAAAAAAGGTAAATTCAATCCAAAGGAAGGTAAAAAAAAATATATTTACTATTTTCCATTTTTTCTGTACCTGATTTGAAGCTAACCAAGTGCTCGTTGCCCAAGCGGGAATTTCTGAAGAAGTTTTCGTTGATTGCGTTGTCCAAGACATTCCTCGTCCATAATTGGGTGATCGTTGTGTCACAACGATAGCAACTTTAAAAAAAAATATTTAAAAAAAATTTTTAAAGTTTTAAAAAATAAAATTTTTGAAAAAATATTTTATAAACAATAATATTTATAAGTAAAAAAAAAATAAAAAATTTAAAAAAATATTTATTTTATATAAAAAAGTTACCTGATTCTTCATTATTTATATTATTATTAACATTGTTGTTGACATCAACTATTGTTGTTGTTGTTCTTTCAGTTGATTTTTCAGTCTTTAATTCTACGACAGATTTTTCAGTACTCATTTGAGGTACAACATTCGATGATGTTTGAGCTGATGAGGGTTTAATTTCACTCGAAGAAGATATTCGAGATTCCGAGCCTACAAAAAAATGTGAGTTATTTTTATTTAAAAATAATTCTCAATTAAAAATATAATTTATTAGTAGTAAAAAAAAAATCGCAGCATTTTTATTCTGAAACATTTCATAATAATTGGAAAATATTTATATACACTGTAAAAAGAAAGGTATTAATTTAATACCGACTTCAGGTACGAACTTGTCATTAGGTTCTATTTTGATACCTAAAATCGGTACTGTTTTAGTACTTTCTTTTTAAAGTGTACTATTATATTATATTAACTATTATACATTTTTTAATAACAATTATATATTTTTTTTGTATATTAAAAATAAAAAAATAATAATAAAATATTAAATATATATTTAACATTACAAAAAGTTTAATTTTTTAAAATTAATAACAATAAATTATATTAATTAATATAAGTTTAATAATTATTATTATCAATAATTGATCATCACAATAATAATTTCAATTTTAGCATTTTGTTTTTTCTATAACAACTTTTAAACACTAATTTTTTAAAGTAATGTTAAAATTTAATTCGGATGATTAAAATTTTACTTTTCAACCGGGAATTGTAGTTCAAGTAAAGTGAACTTTCACTCCACACAAGTGAAATTATATTTCAATTTCAAGTGAATTATTTCACTTTTTAGTGTGTATCTTTCGTTAAAAAAAAGTATTCCCATTAAGAGGTAATCTTTTATTCATTGTTGTTAATACGATTTTATTTCTTTCAATAAAATTCTGGATAATTGAACTTGCTGAGCGAGTTTTCTTTATAAAGCCGAACTTTTATCTCAAAAAGTTCAAGAATAAATTTAGACTCTTATCTTCCGAAAAGCTAAAACATAGAAGAAAGAAAATAGATAGAAACCGAGCGCATAAATTTTCTACTTTTCTCTTCTTCTAGCTTTTTTAAATTCCCATACAACTTTTGCAAAACAATTTTTCGTTGATGTCTAAGTAACAAAAGAAGCTCTTCTCAGTTTCTTTTTTTTATTGTTATTTCTGTCTACTTTTACAATTTTGGTTTTTTTTCAAAAAATAATTATTATATTCTATTTTTATATTATAGATAAAATTTTTCTGAATATTGTAGCGCATTTATTGAACCATGTAAGTAATGGATGTTTATCATTTTTTCATAAAGGAAGATTTTGCGTTTGAAAATTATTTTTCCAAGACACGTTTATGCGATTTCGTAATCTAAGCTTACATTGAGGATTTTTTTTTTTTTTTTGTTCCCCTCCTGAGTTTTATTGGCAAAGTATTACCTTGAATCGGTACTTGGGAATAAAATCCCTTAAGCTAGATTCGTAGAAATGACTACCTGTGTTAGAGGAATACGAGTCACGACTCGCAAACACAATGTCGTTTATAACTTTATGAAATACATATAATGTTGGAAACGTACCTGATGGTGGATTCAGGGCACGTCCGGTACTTTTGAATGCCGTAGGGTAAGCTGTGTTAGGGAAGGCGCTGTAAAAGTCACTGGTTTTACTCGCATAAGTATCAGGCGATGCCGTACGTTGATATGAACGGCTTTGTCCCCCTGATAATGCATTCGAACCCTCGCCAAGTGGACTCACTGACAGTGGCACAGAATTATCCATCATCGATACGGGACAATTGCCACTGTTTGGTCTGAGGACAAAATAAACACAAACATGGAATTTTCAATTTTTTTTCAAATCAATTCTTTTATTTATAAAAAAAAAACAAATTGAAGAAATGTTATTTTATTATTTTATTTATTTTTTTATTTATTTTATTACCAAATTTATTTGATTCAAATAATTGTCTTATCAAATAAAGATTCAAGCATAAGTTAGTTGAAACAGAATTTTTTTCTGAGTATTATATTTAGTTTATATAAATAAAATTTGTCCCCTTTTTTTTAATGATTGCTGGAACTCGTAAAAAATGATTCACGCTATTGATTCTTTTGATGTGTGTGCACATATGCGTGTATATAGAACAAATTTTTAACATACAATTTTGAAAAAATAATATAACAGTACATTCTTTGTTTTTTTTTTTTAAAGAAAAACTAAAAAAATTATTATTTCTACAAAGGGAATTTATTTTTATTCCATTAGAGTTTTATTAAATAGTATATTACGATACTAGGCCAGAAAGTTGGATTTCCTGGCGGGCGTGAAATATAAGGCCGAGGCGAAGCCGAGGCCTTATATCACGCTCAGCAGGGCATCAAACTTTTTGGCCGTGTGTCGTATACAATTTTTCTTTATCCCCACTCGAAAGTACGTTTAATAATTATTATTTTTTAATAAAATGGCATTAACCATGTGTCTACTGCTGTGGCTCGCGTCAGCGCGCCCTCCCGGCCACGTAGCGAAGCTTGTAGCAGAAGGCTTAGTTACAGATGACAGGTAGCCCGCCCGACTTTTGCAAAACCGAGGCGAAGCCGAGGTTTTGCTGGTCGGGGCGGGCGTCAAAATTATATGAAAAATATAAATAAAACGCACAAAAATCCAATGCACGAATAATAATTTGGCATATGGAATTTAGTTTATTAACCATAAGGCATCTAATCACCTGTGTTGTGTCTTTGTGTATATATAGTTAACCTTTGAAAATTTTTGTTTACTTTATAATAGTGGATGAAAGTGAAAGATTTTCAGTTTAGACATTTAAAAAGAAGGAGAAAGTACAATAACACTTACACAAGTACATCTTATTTATACATGATTTGTCACTTTTTTTTAACTTAGGTTGCTTATTTTTGTGGTTATTTACCGCACTTGACACAAAACAGGCCATGAAATAAGCGTTGCTATGTGGTTGCTATGCCATCAAGCCTTTAAAGTCTCGTAGCCAATCAGAGCGCACGTTGTTTCTGGCCGGCCACAAAAGCCGTTCTTCCCTGAACGATTACCGACAGGGAAGTCCGTACTTTCGGGTAGGGGATACAGAAAAATATTTTATTTTTACATTTGAAATATATTTTCGAATCAATGTTTAATAATTTAAACTTATTTATTATTTATTTATTTATTATTCATAGTTCATGCCTTTCGGCTTTGAACGGATTTCCGGTACACATAAACTTGTAATAATATTAAATTAATTATAATTTAAACTTATTTTATCATTCCTCAAACATTTAAATGTGTTTTTAAACATATTTATTTTGTTGATTTAGTGTAAATAATAAATTTAATTTAAACACAAATTTCATTCGATTTAATGTAAATAATTTTAATTGAAAAATAAATTTCGATTGATTTTAAATTATTTATATTATTTGCTTTTAAAATCAAATACGAAGTTATTTTTATATTTTTCCAAATATCTTTTCAATTTATGATAATCAATTTTTTCACCCCCCCAAAAAAAATATAGTAAAAAAAAACTTACATGTAATTTGCACATTGGTCTTGTAAGAAACTGAGAGCCTTATCCAAGATTTGCCTTGAGAATTTTGCAGCTGTTCCTTCGGGTTCATTCCCATCACATCTTTTTCTCGTTTCCATTATGACGCACGTTCGAAAGTGATAATGTGCACTGTAGCAATAAATTGTACTCATTAATCCTTTTAAAGGAAAGAGAAAATTTTTTTTTTTTTCTCCACCTCGTATTGAGGAAATATTGGAAATATAAAAAAAGAAGAAAATTATCACTCGATATTGAAGTGATGAGAAGGGAAAAAAAGAAGAGTGAGAGAGAGAGGGGGGGGTATAATGTAAAGAAAATAAAATTTACTCACCAACAGAGATTCGGTTTTACTACTTCTCTTCTCGATACTTCGTTAACGAGAGCTGCATACTGATTACCACAGTGCTCAGAATCAATTACCGTTGACTTTATGCAAGAAGCGTGTTGCAAGTACTCTGTCAAAAGTTATAATTATTTTCTCGTTGGAGAATTTTTATCAATTTGTCATTTATTTTCATTTATTTAAAAATTTTTTTTATTTATTTTCATTTATTTTAAGTTTTTTATTTTTGAAAATTTATACTGTGTAGAAATTTAACTGTATAGAAAAATGTGAATAATTCGGAAACGTTTTGTCTGACCGAAACTGACTTTTACTACTTACAGAAATATTTCTCTATTCAATATACGAATACTAAAGTACTGTACAAAAAATATTAATTCTTTTTTTTTCTATTTCTAAAATTATAAATAAATAAAAATTAAATGATTACCAGTTTGATATGAAGAAACTGAACACATTTGATGAACAGATTCTATTGAAACTTCAACGGCTGAATTAAATTGCTCTCTCCTCTCTTTGGAAAAGCATTTATCAGTGTACCTTCTAATACAGTCCACAAAATTGGACCACGCTCTGTAATTTTCAAAATAGAAAAAGAATATAATAATCCCTAAAACTAAAAAAATTTTAATTATACAATATAAAGTTTTTGCTTCCAGAAAAATTCAAAGGTTACTTTATTAAATAAATATTTAAACTATTTTTTTTCAGTGTATATAAAATTTTATGTTTTTATAATAAAAAAAAAACAGTATTCCTTCATAAAGAAGATATTTTTAAAAATCCATAAAAGCCCTCATAAAGGTATATAATAAATTTGTTGTACTTTTTTTTTTATCTCCGAACAATAAAATTTAGCAAATAAAGTTCTATTTTTTAATTTATAACTGAACAAATGAAAGATATATAGAATTATATAGAAAGAAAAGTAGAACAGTTTTACAAGATGTTTATTATAACGTATATAAAAAAAAACTAGTCTCTGAGATAAAAATTTCTTACAACTTCCTCAGTTTAATATTTAGCACGTGAAAGGCAGATAGTAATATTCATGCATATTCATATAACGTGCTTGCATTTTTCACATTACGAGATAGTTGGATGTAAACTTGAGAAAAAAAAAGAAAACAAAATATATTTTTTAACGTCTTCATTTATTTTTTCCAACTTGTTTTTCTTTTTTTTTGTTCCTTTTTTTCTGTTACTTTTTTTTTGTTGTGTCATTTCTCGAGAGAATCATATTTTCTCGACTGCATGGAAAATTTGAGAAATGAAGTCTTGTTTCTGCATAGTGAAGTTACCAGCTTATTTCTTATCTCGAATAAAATTAAGATTCTTCACACCCTGCTAAACTCCATTACCTTGTTGAGAGGTGTGTATATTTATTCCACCAACAGAAGCATTGTCTGCTGCATTATGATACATTTTAAGTAAAATTGATATTAATATCCTCTCTTTTTTTTCGCAAACAATATTTGCATTTAACAAATTTTTATTTGAATAAATAGGATCTTGCCGGAAAAATAATAATATTATTATAATTAAATAAAAATTTAGATTTTGTTTAGTAAAAAATGAAAATTTTGTGTCAAAATTAAGATAAATGAAATTATGTCGTTCTCTCGTTTTTTGGTCTTGAACTTTATTACTCACATTTATAACCTAGTATGTGACAACGTTAAACCTTGACATAGGACATAAAAACTATAGTCTATCACCTTCATAGATTTTATACACATAAGAACCTTCACAATACATGTAAACAAACTAGTTTACAAAATATAAAAAAGAAGATCTCTTTCTATATATATCAGACAGTCACAAGAAATGATTTTTATCTTTACTTTCTAAATTGAAATGAAAAAAAAGCAAATGTGCAAAAAAATAATGATCGAAATAAACAGAGCAGGAAAATGTCAAACAATTACATTTCCAAGTTTCCTAAAAAAAAAAAAAAAGAAAAAAGTTGAACGAATTAAAAGTAAAATGGAATTTTTCCAGTTCTACTTATAGACTCGCTAAAACATATAGAAATCAATCGCCTTGACGTGGTTTTTTAAATAATAAATAACAATCTATTTTATTAACTCAATTACCTGCAGACATTATCAATGTCCTTCATGTTGTCTGGGAAAATGAGTTGTGGATCCTTAAGTAAAGGATCCGCTAAGGATATGCATTTTTGGTGTTCATCTTTCATGCAATTTTCCCCTGTCACGATTATCGATTGATGTGCTGTAATATAAAATTTTTTTTTATCATTATATCTATTTTCAATTTATTTTTTTTTTTATATTGAAAAAAATATTTTTTCTATTAAATAATTTTTTCATATTTTATTAATTAAATAATTTTGGTTTATTTGGAAAAAATAAATTTGCAAATTTTGGTAAAAAAAAATTTTCTGCTTTTGAATATTCATGACGCTTATCTATTGAGGGCAATAAATATTTTTTTGAAGGTATATAGGATAAAAAAGTGTGGCCCATTAAAATGAATTTATTCAAAGATTTTCATCTGTCTTAAAAAAAAAGAAAAAAAATTGTATTATCTCACGCAACTCACCTAGAAACAATGCTCCAAACATTAGAATCCATGACGTCATTTTCCAAAGTGTCTCAAACTCGATAATTTTCGTTTGTAATATATCAAAGTGGAAATTCAATTTAATTTATGGATCTTTTATTGGATTATCTTCCAGATTTCGTAATTGAATTGACGGCAACTACAACATACATTATTGTAAGGATCAATATTTTCCATATTTCAAAAATTTATTCTTAACAATTTTTCACTGAATTTAAATTTTTTTTTAAAGCCACCTTTTTTTCCTGAGAGAATATTTTACCTCTAATTATAAAAATTAGAATTATTTATTTTATACACTTTTTTGCTAAAAAATATGTTTTCTAATTTTTATTTTCCAAGTTCAAATTATTATCAAATAAATATTTATATAATTGAACCAAATAATTTTTCGAAACAAAATTTAATTGAAATAAATAAACTCTAGAACCTATTTCTGTATTTGAAACAAATATTTTAGAATTTTTAAATAAACTTGTGCGTGTAATAAGTAACTTCTATTAATGAAAGATAAGAACTAAATGAAATATAAAAATGAAAAAATTCATATAATATAAGAATTACAATATTGAGAAACTCTTTTTATCGGAAGAGGAATAACCATAACAATTGAAAATATAAAATATTCCAAAAAAAAAAGAAAAAAATTTGTTCATTTCCGTTAATATTAGCCGAGAAAATTTCGTCAACATGATAGAATGAGGATATGACTATGGTCCTATCTGACAATGCAGAAATGTTCATCCGGGATTTCCATGCTTACAATGAGAGTTACACCTGAGTGCACCTACGAACTCAGTGAACCGAAGTAATGTTGCGTGAATGCTCTCCTACTTATTTTTTTTACGTCAACTCACATGTATATATGTATATATATATTAGCTAACGTCAAAAAATGGCCCCTAGGCTCTATATCCCCCTTTTTATGTGTACGCGCCTCGAATGAATAATAATTACACCAATTGCCACTTCACAGAATTCTCTCTTTTCAACTTTTCCCATTATTTTATGACAAAAAAAAAAGAAAATGATTCTAAAATTCTGTTTCATATATAATATACGATTTTTTATTATTTGATTATAAAACTAAGGAAAACTTTTTATTTTAAAACTAATTTTTTCTTTAATTTTACAATTCAAATATAGAAATTTTACCAGGGCCCAGATCGGGGCCGGATTAGGCTGCCCTATTAGGGAATAAAACGCCGCTGATGTGGTCCTAATTAGGAAACTCATATTTTCTGATCGCCCTGATTTGGCCCTAATCAGGTGTAGCGTTTCATTTCCTATTAGGGCCCTGGTAGGGCAATTTTCACACGGGAAATATAAAATGTACCAAAATTTATTTATTTAAACAGGAAAAATATTCCAATTTATAAGTTTAAAATGTAATAGAAAAACATAATTATTGTGAAAATTGTATTATTTTGTATTTTATTATTATAAACATTTATCTTAAAAATAATGTGTGACATTGCATATTTTAAGAAAGTCAAGTTAACTTGAACTTGAATTGACTAAAAAAAAAAAAAACTTGAGTATATTCTTCGATGAACTACTGACTCAGGTGCATATTTTATGAGAGCACAAAAGCTATAATCAGTATTTCAGCCTAAGGCTAACACAAAGGAATTTCTTTATGTTCAGAAATTACTAATATATAGAGACAATAAAAATTATGGAATGTTTTAACTTCATTTTTGATTTATTTTTTATTAATTTAATGTTTATTATTATTATTATTTATTTTTACTTCATTTATCCTAAATAATCAGAATTAGGGTTGCTTTTTGGATTTCTATATAATTTAATAAAATAAATATTATTAATTTAAATAAAATAAATATTTCTTTTTATTTATAATGTTATGAATAGAATGTTTTATATTATTGATGTAATTACAGGGATCACCGATGTTTTTCCTCATTTACATGCAATCCAACGAGTAGCTTTACAAAGTACTCGGATTATTCAAGATTATATCGTATAAGCTCCAAGTTAACACTAATTGGTAGTAAAATTCGAAACTATCTAAATTTACAAGTGTCATTTGAGCAAAAAATTTTTTTATCAAAAAACTTCATTTTATAAAAAATTAAATATATAAAGTATATAAATAAATTAAATACAAAAGTAATATTAAATATATAGTAATATTGAATATACATTTGTAATAAAATTTTTAATATAAATTTTTTCGTAATATAAACTATTATTAGTAAACAAAACACGTGTGTCTGTGTCTATTATATATAAATAACCGTTGGTAATTTGTTGCTCGATCAATAGTTAATTCATTATACAAGATACTTATTAATTCCAAGTATATGCTAAAAGATATTTTATACTTTTTCAGGAAATACGCAATGACCTTTTATTCGTTAAAAAAAACCAAAGCCATTTCTCATATAATTGTTTCTCATTAAGAACTATTTTAATTGTTGATTATATAAAATAAACATAATAATTGTTACATATGTACAAATTTCAAAATATACTTGCAATATTATTCATTGTTATATTAATTAACATTATTATTACAAAAAAACTAAATTTGAGAGGGTTTTATTTTTTTAATTAGAAATTTATTTGATTCAAATAATTATTTACTTGACTATATTATCGAATAAATATTTCCTTACATCAAATATAATTTTCATTTAGATTTTTATTTTTGTTTCAAATACAAAAATTATTGGGCATATTTAAATAAAAGAAATATTTTTTTAGAACAAATAAAATTTGTATAAAATAATTTTTAGTTTAATCAAATATTATATATTTATTATTTATTTATTATATATTTATAAATATCAAATAAAAATTGTCTGTAAACATTTGATGCCTGCCAACACGTGCACCGGCTTTTTATTTCTCTCGCAATTAGAAAGATCATCAATTTATAAAAAATCAAGAAATTTTTATTTTCAAATAATTATTAAAAATCTTTATCTGGATTAGCGATATGTTTCTCTAGAATAAGGAAAATTTTCCCTATTTTAGTGAAATATATCGCTGTTCCAGGTAAAAAGTTTTTTTCGAATATGCCAAAAAAAAATACTTGAAAAACGAATCTAAAAAACTTCTACATATTATCTTTTTTTATCCTGGAGGAAGATAAAAAAAAATCTTTTTTTATCCAAAAAAGGTGCGTAAGATTAGAAAAAAAAAAATTTCCACCATAGTGTGGTGCTATATGTTTAATGAGTAAAATGGAGTGCGAAACCGTAAAATACAATAGCTCTTACCCACAACATAGCATTTTTTTCTTTTACTTTCACTAAATATGTATATATATCTATATATCTATATATACATATATACTAGAAATTCGCTTCAATTCCAGGACGTTTCTTCATCAGTCTAATAAAAGAAGATTATAAATTATAACAATTCTTCCGCCACATGGAGTAGACACTTTGGAATTTTCATGGTAAGCACTTGAAATATAAATATTTTCAATCAAAAATTTATGAAAAATAAAAAACTATTTTTTTTATTTTAAAAAAACTAGTCTCAGAAAAGGGAAAAATTTTTCCCAAAAAAAAAAAAAAAAAAAATTTGCGCGCGTTTGCAAAAAAAAAAATAATCAGAGTACACACATACAATATGTATATATGTGTGTTTATATATATTGTATTGTAAGTTTTGTGATTTGAAACCTGAACGACTCGCGTTGAACTGGTCTACAGCTTATACACCGACGGATCTACACCCTGTGATTCTTTGGTTCTCTGAACCTATTGGCAAGACACGCGCGCGCACACACATTCACACATGCTGTGTGCAGGTACAAATTTCTACTGACCGCATTAACAAACTTGGAATTCAATTAATCTAAATGCCGCCGAACAATCAGAATAAAACGAGATATATATATATAGCAAAACGCGCGAGAAATCACACCAAAAAATTTGCTTCATTTTTTCAAACTAAAAAAAAAGAAGAAGAAAAAAGAAAAACTTCCTTGTAGTGAACTTTATACTTTGCATTGTGAAATTCTACTCTCTTTAAATGTGAAGTTTTCCCAAGTCTTTGAGAAGAGTTTTAGTCTTAGTGTAAAACTTACACTGATTCCATTCCTTATAGACATCTAAACTTTTTATCTACTTTTAAAGAAGAGAAGGTTTACTTCATTTAAAAATTTTTTTCTTTTTTTAAATTTATCTACTCCCACGAAGTAGAAATATTATTTATACTGTTTTTTACTCTCTTGATTTTACATAAAAAAAAATAATTTATTCCCAGTGGGCAAGAAACTCGTTCTAAAACCGTTTTTGATTTTTTTTGGCTTTGATTCAAATAATCGGTTACTTACGACTATTATCAAATAAATATTTACCAAATAATTTTTGAAACCAAATAATTGAATTAAACAAACTATATTTGAACCAATAATTTCTGGTATTTAAAACAAATACCATAATAATTTAATAAAAATAAATATTTATTTTAATAATAATTAAGTAAAGAATAACTTGAATCAAATAAATATTTTTTTCAGTCAAGAAATAAATTTATCTTATTCTAGTAAAGTAATCGATTATTTATCTTATTCACGTGAAATTCGATAATATTTTCAGCTCGCGCAAGTGGTGCAGAAAAGTTTAAGAAGAAGTGCGCGGAATAGTTTTTTTTTTTTTTTGCGCACAAGTGCCAGAATTAATTTGATGCTCCCGGCGGGTGGGATAAATTTAACAGAAGGTGGAACGACCAACCCTTTTGCTTTATACCGTATGTTAAGACGGTCAAGCAGGGTCGATAATCTCTGGGTCGGTCGAGTCGTCACGCAATGGTAAAACCTACCCTGTAAAAGACGCTAAAACTTTCAGATTGCCATGCTGTTGAGAATTGCAAACTTCGATTGAAAAGAATGTCCTTATATAAATCGCGCATCAAGTTATCGCTTTTTCCTTTTAGTTATATTTCTTTCTTTTTTATTCAAAGTCATTTTCTTCATTCAATATAAAATATTTTACTTTAAGAAAAATATTATTCTATCAATTTTATAATTTTTTTCTCTCTCTTGTTATTAGTACTTTAGTATTTTACACCTTTTTAGTATTTTAGTGCCTTTAATATACCTTTAGTACCTTTGGTACTTTAGTATTTTAATACTTTAATACCTTTAAGTATATTTAGTATTTTGGTGCCTTTAGTACATTTGGTACTTTAGTACCTTTTATACTTTAGTACCTTTTGTACTTCAGTACGTTTTGTACTTTAGTATTTTTATACTTTAGTACCTTTTGTACTTTAGTATATTTATACTTCAGTACCTTTGGTACTTTAGGATCTTCTGTACTTAAGTATTTTTATACTTTAGTACCTTTTGTACTTTAGTATATTTATACTTTAGTACCTTTAGTACTTCAGTACCTTTGGTACTTTAGGATCTTTTGTACTTTAGTATTTTTATACTTTAGTACCTTTTATACTTTAGTACCTTTTGTACTTTAGTATTTTTATACTTCAGTACCTTTGGTACTTTAGGATCTTTTGTACTTTAGTATTTTTATACTTTAGTATTTTAATACTTTAATACCTTTAAGTATATTTAGTATTTTGGTGCCTTTAGTACCTTTGGTACTTTAGAACCTTTAGTACCTTTTGTACTTTAGTATTTTTATCCTTTAGTATTTTTATACTTTAGAACCTTTGGTACTTTAGTATTTTAATAATTTAACACCTTTCAGTATATTTAGTATTTAATACCTTTTGTACTGAATAGTGTTTTTTTCCTTTTTGGTATGCCCTTTTATACTACAAAAAATAAATAAATAAATTATTAATTATAATAATAATCTATTTTTATAATTTATTAATTTTAACTATAAGAATGAATATTAGATATTAATTGAAATTGAAGAGGTAAATATATAATTGAAAAAATAAAATATATTAAAAGCAACTTATTGCATCAAAAGCAATTCCGTGTGCTCTAATTTAATTTTCCTTAAATTAATTAATTCCATTCTGAGTTCGAAGTTTAACGAGGTTTCAAACAATGCACATTCCCTGGTGATTAGTATCATCTCTGCGACCTCCAAATGTATGATGGGTATTCGCATTTCTAAAGTGGACAAACCTCCGGCAATAATAATGAATCGAGAGGAGATGCGACGATAGAAATGGGAAACAATATAATTTCACCAAACCAAAGGGAATATCCGCGAATTACCATAACAAAAACGTTATATACATATATAGTTATTTAATCATTTTCGCATATAAAGCATTTTTTAAAAAATTATTTTCAAAATATTTTTTTTTTTTTAAACTGTCAGCAATTTATTTTTTATTTATTATACATTATAGTCTCTTTTAAATAAAATTCTAATAATTTTTCTAGAATTTTCAAAATATCTTTTGTGATAAAAATAATAATGATTTTTGCAATTGTTAATTTTTATTTTTCTTTTTCGCATTCGGTTTCTTTCTTCGCTCTACAAAACGAACTCACAAGAAAATGGAACGGTAATCAGCAATCGCATTGTATTTTTGTAAGTATAGCGATAAGTGCCAAGAAACGTGAACTGACGACCTCACACATAAGTTCGTAACCCTTTGCCTTTCGTGCAATTTGTGCAAAATAAAAGAGAGAGAGAAAAAAAAGTAATGTTCTACTTTAAGTTATATATATACTTATCTATAAATTTATAAGGTGATCAAAATGTACCGGATCTCCTCAAAAAAAATTTTCTAAATCGGTTTTTAAACATAGAAAAGGCCAAAATAGAAAAAAAAAATTTTTTAGGGAGTCTGGTACATTGTGATCATTTATATTTCTATATTATTATTATATTATTATATATTATAATTATCTGTATGTTGTCACATATAAATTTCCATTTTTGAATCTTAAAAACGTTTTAGAACGCAACAAACTAAAAAAAGAATTTTTTTTTTTTAATCTTCCTCATACACGACACCAAGCTGTTTTCGCAATTCATCTTCCAATTCAGCAAGCAACAAAGAGTCTGCATGAGAGACTCGAGGACTTTCCTTTAATCCTGCGCAAAAGATATATTACATATTTTAATCTAGTATAACTTTTGTAAAAGAAAAAAGAAACATTTTTCAAGTAAAATATACGCGTACAAGAAAAGATAAAAATTTAATTAATAAGAAAATATTAAATGACAAAAGTGAAAAAATACTGAATTCAAGGAAAAAAATTACTACTAAAATTATTATTTTTATTAAATTACTAACCTAATTGACAAAAGTAATAATTATAATAATTTATTAATAATGTTAACTGAAATAAATTTGTATAATATATACCTTTTAGAAGACAATTACGAACTTCAGTAGCTTCAAAACTAAGGCCAGCACTATTGTGAAAATTGAATTTATGAGCACCTTTTGGCAAAGTGATTTCAATGACACGTTGAGGAAGTTCGGCTTTGGTTGGACACCAAAATTCTGGAATTTTAATTATCCCCTTAGTGCCAATAATAATTGCCTCATTAGGCAACTGTACTTCCGAATTAGTTAAAATAGTCGCTGTTCGATTTCCTTGAAATTTGAGTGTTGCCGACATTGAAACATCGACACCATCCTTGTTCAAATGACCGAGTGCTTTAACAATTTCCGGTTTTTCGCAACCAAATACAAAAATCACTAATTGAAGGACATAAACCCCTAAATCGAGAATTGTTCCACCACCCAATGCTTTAGCGCTAAAAGAGAAAAAAAATTTTAATTCTAAAATTTATTATTATTATTTTTAAAAAAATGCAAAAAAATTGGGGGGGGGAGTTAAAATAATTTTGAGGGGTTTGAAGAAGAATGTCCCATGTATATATATATAAGCAATTTTAATTGAAATTCGATAATTACTTAAGCCTCTCTATGTCAGCGAGACCAAAACCGAAGGAACAAATTACTTGTTTAACTTCTCCAATACAACCAGAATCCAATTCCTTCTTAACTTCGGTGTAAGTTGGGAAACAACGGCTCCAAACGGCTTCCATTAAGAAAAGTCCTTTACTTTTTGCGAGACTGATTAATTCTGACGTTTGCTTTAAATTTAAAGTTAAGGGCTTTTCGCACAAAATGTGCTTTCCTGCATTCAACATCATCTTTCCAATTTCCAGATGAGTTGGATTTAATGTACCAATGTAAACGACATCTGGTGATAAAATTATTATCATTACTTTTTTTCTTCTTCTTTTATAATTAACACTATAGAAAAAAATTTATTTCATTCAAATAAATATATTTACTGGAACCAACATAATTTTTATTTGAATTAAATAAATTATTTTTATTTTTAAAAACAATTTTTTTTTTATAATTTATAAAATAATAGTTGAATTCTTTTTATATACCAATATTTTTATTTTGTGACAATTCCTTGTAACTTCCATAAGCATTTTCTATTTTGTGAAGCTCTGCAAATTTTTTTGCTCTTGATAAATCTCGTGCTGCAACTCCAACAACACAATGTTCTGAATTTGGTAAAGTTCTTAGTGCAGTGACAAAATCGTGAGAAATTAAACCAGCTCCTGCAATACCCCATTTAGTTGCCATTTCTTTGAAAAAAAATAGATTACATAAAAATATGATAGAAAAAAATTTTAGTACATTTTTAAAAATAATTATATACTATGTAAAACAAAATTGCATTTAAATAACATTATATAATAGTAAAAAAAAGCGTACTAAAAATAAAAAAAAATATATTACATAATAAAAAAAACTTTAAAAAAGTTTTAAATGAAATAATCTTATCTGGATTATACTCTGGAAATTTTTTATTTTTAACCTCTACTATCTTATATCAAACGATTAAATATTTATTTTTTTTAATTTTATTATAAATTGAAATTACTTATAAATAACAGTAAAAAAAATAATAAAAATAATAATAGTAATAATAATAATTAATAAATAATAAGAAATATATAACATTACTGTCATAATTGATTTGAATAAATTAAAAAAATTATTATTATTATTATTGTTTTATAATAATTATCATTTCCTTATTAATTTTAATTTGTACAGTTTTATTAATTTTAATTTTTTAAAAATTCACTCTTTTTCATATAAATTATCACTACAAAATTATTATTTAAAAATTCACAAATTAAAGATAATTATAAAAAATTAACTTATGTAATTATATATTTGTTTTTTAATTTTAATTTTCAATTTCAGTGTATTATGTTAATAAATAAAATTACTTGTTTTAAAATAGTTTGACTGTTAAATTACACAGCACACAGCACTTGATTGCTCTGACACTTGTTCAAGTATGATTAACTGCCAACTTCTCTACTTAACATTCTTCAATTCTTTTTCATTGTCAGATACAATGTATGTTACGTAAACAACAATATACAGGGCCGAAGAATTAATATTTCATTACATATAATGTGTGAAAATATATAAAAAAGAGACAATTATTTGTAATTAATTTAAAAAACTTTTTTCTGCTTTTAAAAATTTACAATTGATAATTCGATCATTTTTTTTTTAAAGAAACAATTATTAAACTTATTTTATTAAAAATCAGTAAATTCAAATATTTAATTTTCCCGCCAAAGTTCCTGTTGATGATCTATTTGCCTTACACGGAAGTAAGTTACAATGTCAATTTTTTTTCGCGGGAACAATTTTTTCGTTCAGTTCAATTAATTGCACTTATTATAAACGCAAATGAGATTAAAAATATTTTCTTTATTTAATTATTGAAATGAAGTTATAAAATTATTTCAATTATAAAAATATGTGAATAATTATTATCTAAAATTGTCATTTCTGTGCCATCTACCGGCACATAACCTGAAATTCATTGTTTCGCGCCTTTGCTCTTCCTTTCTCCTCATATTTGCGCATCTAAAGTGCGCAGATTTTTAGAGGAAGAACGTATACCGTCATCCTCACAGCGTTTATGGTCAAGTGGCAACTAATACCGCATTTTGTAATTGATTTTCAAAGATTTTTTTGTCTTTTTTGTACATTAAAATGTTAACAAGTATTTAGAGAACGTCAAAGTAACAATTAAATTTCACATTGTTTTTTGTTTAAATAGTTTGGAGTTTAAAAAATTGAGGTTACTTTGTGAAGAAAGAATTTCTTCTATTTCGGAAGCCACGTGTTCGGCCGTTATCATTTTATATGATTTTTTACTGTTAGTGCAAGAATTTTGCAAAAAGTAAGGAAAAAAAAGGATTTTACAATTGTTATTTTACGTGATTTTTAATTTGTTCTTCTTTTAAACTTGTTATTATCAGTATTTATATGTTAATTGAATATGTAACGCAGTATGTCTTGTGACCATTAGAAGGAATCCCGCGGAAAAAAGAAATGAGATTTCTTTGTGTCGGCAAAAGGAAATGCTGAGAGATCATGATGGAATTTGTCGAAGGTTGGCTTCTCGGGCATACCCTGGGGGAAGGTGCCTATGGAGAGTGAGTATTAACATTTTTTTCGTTTTTATTTTCATTATATTTATAATTCTAACTTCTAAAAATTTCAATTTTTTTTTCCTTTCTTTTAGAGAAGTAATTTCTGTAAATTTAAAAAATTAGAATTTTTTTCCACTTTTTAATCTTTAAATACTCTTATTTATGTCCTTAGTTTTTAATTAATTTTTCTTGAAAAAGAAAGAAGTTCATTATTGCTTGAAATAACAAAAAGTTTAATTTCGTTTAAATCCTATAAATTGATAATTCGGAGATTTATCTTGTTACTATTTTTGTATTTGCAAATAATTCAAGGTCACAGTTTCAGTAGATCAAAGATAAACAATGATTTGACTTTCTTGATGTGTTTCGCAGAGTAAAACTTGTTATAAATAAAGTAACCAGAGAAGCTGTTGCTATGAAAATGGTAGATTTATCAAAACATCCAGACGCACGACAAACAGTCAAAAAGGAATCAACAATTCATAGAATGTTATCGAACCCGAATATAATTCAATATTTTGGGCAACGTAGCGAAAAAAATATGGAATACATATTTTTGGAATATGCTTCAGGAGGCGAACTATTTGACAAAATAGGTACGAATATCAATTAAATTTTTAATTAATCAAGGCTAATTTTTTGCTTTTTAGAAATAATTTTAATTGTTTTCTAGAACCGGACGTTGGTATGCCAATATGGGAGGCACAAAAATATTTTACACAACTAATTTCTGCTGTTGAATATCTTCATAGTCGTGGTGTTGCCCATAGAGACTTAAAACCAGAAAATTTACTTTTAGACGATAAAGACAATCTGAAAATAACTGATTTTGGATTGGCGACAATTTATCGTTTACATGGACGAGAACGTAATTTGGATACGAGATGTGGAACATTGCCTTATGTAGCTCCAGAAGTTTTAGAAAGACAATACAAAGCAGAACCTGCCGACATTTGGTCCTGTGGAATTATTCTCGTTGCTCTGCTGGCCGGAGGTGATTTTTATTTTACAAAACATTCAACAATCCTTTTTTTTCATACAAAAAAAAAACAGTACTTATTTTCATTTCCACATTTTAATTAATAAGATTAACAGATCTTGAAAAAAGAAAAATTATGAAAAACAAAATTACAAAAATTTTGAAATGAAAAAAAAGTTTTCTAATTAACTAAGTGATAATGAATTAATTGATTCTTCAGTTTTTAACGAGTCCCTGTCTGAAATACAGAACTGCCTTGGGATCAGGCCTCGGCAGAGTGTCCAGAATATGAAGCTTGGAAAAATGGAAAATATATGACGATGACACCGTGGAAAAAAATCGACAACTTGTCACTTTCGTTTACTCGAAAAATTCTCGTTCACGAACCCATGAATAGGTTCAAAATAAGTGATATTAAAAAACATTCTTGGAATGAAAAGAAATTTAAACAAGGTGGGACATTTTTTTTACATAATTTATTTATTTTTCATATATTAATTATACGTATATTTTCTAATCTTCTTTGAAAAACTTATTAATCGATCAAGAAGACTAGAACATCGATATTGAATTTGATGACTTCCTGGACAGGTACTGAGTGACTCTGAGTTTAAAAATAATTTCTCAAAGCGACTCAGTACCCAACTAGGCGCTCATTGACACCATCTTTTAAATTCTTATAATCATTTGAGCAGTTGAAAAAATGGAAATTTAAATTTTGCATTTTTTTAGAATAGTTTTTTAAATATTTAATTGTTTTTTATTAGGTAGTTTCAGATTATCAGAGTGGATGAATAAATGAAGATATAAAACTCTGGCCTATACTTTGGTAACACAGCTCTATGATTTAATTAAAGATTCATAAAGCTAGATTACCAAAGCACAGACTAGAAGTTTGTGCATCTTGGAAATGTGTATCGTCAAAGTTAATAAACTGTTGTCCTTTCTTTGGTTATTCAGCTGTATGATTGCTAAATTTCATAAAGCTGAAACACCGAAGCCAGGAAGGCGGTTAATGCGACGCAATTATAATTGCAACGTTGACTAATTATAAGCTGTTTCGTTGTAATGTGAGCTTTTTACTTCACAGATAAAGGCAAACCTGAAATAATACCAGCAAGCAGTCGTGAAATTATATTTGTCGAAATAGTTCATTGTCTCTTTGTTCCTTTGATATTTGAACTTCAAAATCCTAATTATCAGCGTTGCATTTATCCAACATTATTATTTTAATTAATAATAACATTAACTTTTTGCCGATTAATCAAAAAAAAAAATTTGATTTTTAAATATCGATTTAATTAAAAATATTTGATTTGCAATTTTTAGACGGGAATCACGTGGATCGTGACGTCGTTGATGGATACAGATCTAAACGACTTCTTATTGAAGAAGAGGATAGCTTGACAAAAATATGTTATTCACAACCAGAATTAATAGAGAATAATATAATTACAAATACATTTACATCAAAGGAATGTCCTAATTTCTCCTTCTCACAACCAGCTCACATGGAAGATCTTTTGCTTTCCACTCAATTGCCCACCACACAGCCAAACACACAAACTAGTCAGGTATTGATTTTTAATTTAATAATTATTTAAATAATATAATAATTAAAAAACAAGATTTAATTTATTAATGAAAAATTCTGTTGCAGAATTCCTTCCAGAAACTGGTTCGTAGAATGACAAGATTCTTTGTTAAAACGGGATGTGATTTGACTGTACAAAAACTAATGAATAGCTTAATGAAGGATAATTATAATCATCGCATGAATGGTGGAATAGTACGTAAAATTTATTGAAACAATTCTTTAGTAAATACTAATACATCTTTTTATTTTATCTTTACTAAACATTTAAATTAAAAATTCAATATTAATTATAAGTAAAATTAATTGCTTAGTAAATATAAAATAAATGTTCATTTGTAATAAATTTACATTAAAGAAATAATGTCGTTTCTTTTTCAGGTTACCATTTCGACTGTTGATAGGCGAAAAATGCCTTTAGTATTCAAAGCGAGTATTCATGACATGGACGGAAGAATCTTAGTCGACTTCCGTTTATCAAAAGGCTGTGGTCTTGAATTTAAGAAAAGGTTCTTAAAAATCAAAGCTGATCTTAAAGATATTATTACGAGAGGGCCAGTTCCACTAAATGATATTGCTCTCAGCTCATAAACTTATTTGTTAATTATATGAAAATTTCCCCACGTGTTCGATGTCCGATCTTTTGAATTTTATTAAAGTGATTTTTTTTTAAATAATTTATTTTCCAGAAATGTAGGTATTGTTGTTTCATTTCATCGTACATCAAATAAACAAGTATTTTATAACATACAAGAATTTATTTTCACCCACATAAGCAACATTTCCTTTAAAATTTAATTTTTTATTTACATTATTGATTTTTTGTTATCTTTCATGAAAATTGAAAAACTTATTTTTTTTTCTTGTATATATAATTTAATCATTTTCACCAAATTAATATAGTCATAAAAAATAAAACTAAACTCGATGTGAATTTATTTTAAAATTATTAAATGAAACTTAATTTAAAGAAAAAAAAACAAACTATAAAGTAAAATGAATGTTCATTGTTGGTTTTATTATCCTCCGGATTTCATATAATTGATGATTTAATTTCTAACCAATTATTTATCATTAAAATATAATTGTTACTTCAATAAATATATTCAAAAATTTGTTCGGAGTAGTAAATATGAACTTAATAAGACACCTTTCAATTTAAATCTGACGAAACTTAGCAAAATAAAAAAAAAAAACACTTCACTTGCTTTATATACAAATCGAGAATATTGAATTTGTGAAAAATTGCAAAATCCTCGTTTAGAAATCTTATAAAATAACAATTTTGTGAATATTATACCAAAAGTGTTGGCAAAGGCTTTTTTCCAGGCCAAGCTTCCTTGGCGTATTTCTTCTTTTTTGGTTCCATTGCATGACCCTCGACTGGTCCAGGCATCTCCGTTATGTGAGTTGTTTCTATCTGTATTTGATTCTGTGTCATCTCTACTTCAGGAGCAGGATTAGGAAGAGCGATCCCGAGACGAGACGTTAACGATGTCAATCCAACAGTAAATGGATTGTTCGACATACTAGACGTACATTGTTCCGGGGGTAAATCATTATACAGATTTGGAGTCGTGGAAGTTGGTTGAAGATGCTTCATTATATTATGATTGTCTTCTGATAAAGATATCAAACCGCCTTCCATTCGCATTCTCTGTTAGGAATAAAAAAGCATTAGTTTTAATTAGAAAATTAGTCAAAAAAAAAAAAAAAAGAAAAGAAATCTTGGCAAAAAACTAACTTTGCTAGGCACAACAGTGGTTTGTATCAAATTTCGAAATTTGCCAACAGACGGATCAACGTCTTCGGGATTAATGACTTCCTCATCGTCGTTAAAAGAAATTCCTTTTTTCTTTCGTTTTCTTGTCGATTTATGAACATCGTCATCGGTAATTCCCAACATTGAAATTCGCCTATTATGCGCAGTATTGAATTCCGTCAGATTCTAGATTTTCAAACAGAAGTTAGATATTAAATTTTGCAAAAATATTTGAAATAATCATTTTTGAAAATAATTACATCGAGCTCGGTTTCCGTTTCTGGTAAACCCAATAATCCTCCAGCTTCCATGTCCTCCGACGATTTTTCGAGTTCATCTATTATTGTCCGATTGCCCGTTTGCGGGCGTTCTCTTATTATATAGTATCGAGTAGAAGCTCCAAAATGAAAAGTACTATCAATAGGCAATTGAGTTGGTTTGTTACTTTCCAATCTCATATTCCCAATGTATGTTCCATGTGCTGCAAATAATTCATTTTTAAAAATATTTATGATTCTATTAAAAAAATAAGTAAAAGAAAATCACTTACTGCTTCCTAAATCGACTAGGAAAGCTCTGTTTAAATGTTTATGATAAACAAGAGCCGAATGAACACGGGAACATGATGCATGATCTATGCAAAAGTCATTCATTTGCTGATTACGACCAAACAAGTAACATTTCTTTTCATCTACCATTAATTTCTAGAAAAAAATCAAATTAATAAAAATATGTATGAAATTTTAGAGAATATAATTATTTTCATTAACATTTAAAATGAATTTTATAATTCTAGTTTTGACAGATTTCTGTCATTAGTTTTAAATTAAAATTAATGAAACTTTTTGTTGAAGTTAAAAAATTCAGATATTAAAAAAAACGCTCTAATTAATGAAAAATAAACATTACCTGTATTAATTTATCTCCTTTTAATACATCTAAATGTAAACCAACTGGTGGCTTACCAGCCCTGTAATCATAACCTAGGTTACAGTAAACTATAATTTTCAATTAGATTCTAAAATTGAGAATAAAATAACTCACCAATTGGGAACTTCATAATGATTCGCCATATTTTACATTTGAGTTTGTTTAATTAATAATTGTTTTGTTTGATTTCAAACAAATATAAAAAATAACAAAATTCGATATTTCTCTTCAAGAAGACTAGAATAATAAAGAGATATAACTCTGGTAGTGGGGGTACGTAAAGAAATGGGTGGTAGACAGTGACATCCAGAAACGCATTTACCCACAAATGGTAATTTATAATGTAAACACAGCCTAAGTCGTAAAATACGTAAAACTTTACGTAAAATACGTCCAAACGCGCCAATTTTTTAAAAAAAATTACTTTCACCGTCATTTGAATTTAAAAATTAAATATTTGTCAGTTATTTTTTTTTACAAGAAATATAAAACATTTTTAAGTTTTATTACTTTATTAAATATGATTTCAAACAATTACTTCTTGAGGATCACTATCATAAGTATATAAATCTAAAGAAATAAGTTGTAAAAGTTAAAAATTTCAATTATAATAAATTTTTCCACATTTTATCAATATATATAATATATATACGTAATTAAGCTCTATACAATTGTAAACAAAATTTTGGAATTTTATAAATGATAAAAAGCAGAGAAATTAACAAACAAAAAAGAAAAGAAAAACTAGAAGTTAATAAGCATCAAGAGTTAAGTGACATTACATTCGTATTATTTGACAATACAAATTATATAAATAAATGTTCTTATTAGTTTTTTTTTGTTTTTTCTTTTTTTGTTTATCCCTCACGACACATTACACGGTAATACTACTTTATTTACGAAATAGTACCATATACAAGCGTAGTTTTACATAACGTGATTAATTCCATGAATTTTAATTTATTATTTTAGCATAATCTTTACGTCAATTTCGTAAACATTGTCCAATTTCTCGAATGAAAAAAAAAAAATTTAATACACGGTTAAAAAAGGCTTTGCCAACAAATTTACGTTCATTCGACGTTTATCGTCTTTATTTCTCACTTTCTGTGAGATTTTATAATAACCATTTCAATTGTTGCTCTAAACAATTATTGTTTCGGAGCATTTATTCGGCCAGCAATAATTGTTTAAGCGTAACCAGTTAATAAACATTTTTTACAGTAAATTAGAAATACGAAAACAAACATTAAAAAAGAAAAAAAAATGGTGTAAAGATTACAGGGATTATTTCGATTTTTCTTTTTGTACTCTCTTATATGAGCATCACGGTCATGTACTTTTCTTAATTATTTGTGTGTATGTGTGTGTAAGATTCTTTTTTTTTTTCCTTATTAAATTGCAAATAAATTGTAAAATGCTTTTTAAAAGGGGAGGGGGGGGGACTTGTATCATGCGCACCGTGTAATGCTAGTTTACACATGTTTTCATAATTTGTACATGTACCCTTGAAGTTATTACAAACAGACACAAACTTTACTTTTACTACATGAATATCAAAATGTACTTGTTAATTAATAGCATTTCAATCATGTTTCACATGTATAGCGTCGATATTTGAAATAGAGACACGTTAAATACATGTCTCGCGAGTACATTTCTGTATTCTTGCAAAAAAATTTTTTTTCTTCATGACATTGTGAGTGTGTGTGATGAAAATTGTAAATGACGCTAAGTTTCTGAAATTCTTATTATGTACCACATAGGCCTATTTTTTTTCTCATTATGTTTACATTAGTCTCGAGAAAAAAAAATCCCTCCATAGATTTGACAAAAATCTTTCTTTTGGGGAAACTATTCTTATATCTTTGGAGAGTTTTTTTTTCAACGATCTACAGGAAGTCGAAAGAGCCTTAACGTTACTTATTTGACGATTTTTTTTCTCATTTAAGGTGATTTATTTTATCAGTTTCCCTTTTTGAAAATGGGATCTGATGACAATATAGTGATTATTGAAGACTTTTGTTTTTTTTACTTATCTCCATCCTCTGAATCGAGTTTCTCCTCTCTTGGCTTAGCTCCACCGTATATCGAACTTGATTTACTCGATTCTGCAATTGTATTCAGTGGAAGTGCCACTGTTCGTGGTTTAAGAACTAGACGCTTTCTTCCACTTGTGTCTAAGAATAAAGTTTTTGTTAATCATTTTTTTTGCTTTTAATTTTATTTTTGAGTAATAATTTGTAATAATGACGAAATAGATAATAATACAAACCTGGGGCTGGTTCTTTCATGTAGGCATCATCTTGATAGGATTTTCTCTCTCCACCACGTGATGGTCGTCCACTAAACGAACTACTGCCTCCTGGTCGACCACCGCCACCTCCAGGTCCAACGGCACCTCCTCGAGACCATTCTCGACTTCCACCGTCTTCATTAAAGTGGCCATAATTTCCACGATTCCCTCTTGGTTCATTGCTGAATCCACCTCCAGGTCTTCCACCAGGCCCACTACCTGTCATACGATTTGAATTGTATCCACCTCCTGAAATTAATAAAATTTATCATTTTTTGTCAATTTTCACATAAAAAAAATGTAAATTAAAATAATTGATATTTAAAAGACATACTTGAATAAGACGGTGTGTTATTGTAATCATCTCCATAACCTCTGCCACCATCTCTTCTACCAAATCCTCCGCCACCTCCACTTTGAATGGAACTATTCCCTCGACCTCTTCTGTCAAAACCACCACCTCGATCATTTCGCTTTCCATCAGCAACATCTATTTTTATCGTATTACTATCAATAACAACCATTCCATTAAGATCTATAGCCTGTTGTAGATCAGATAAATTTTCAAATTCAACATAGCAAAAGCCTTTAAACCTGTAAAAAAAATACGCAATTAAAAACACGTTATTAAAAACATATAAAAATAATTTCCATGAAAAAAAACTCACCTATCAGTTTCACGATCTTTCACTAATCGAATATTTTTTACATTTTGATTCCGGAAAATTTTATCAACATCTCCTTGAACGACTCCATTTGGAAGATTTCCGACATACGCAGTAAAAGGAGGCTCCGTAGGTAAAGGTTTTCTACCTCTGTAAAATAAAAATTCATTTGTTAAACAATCACGTCAAACATTAATTCAAAAGATTATTCCTATTTAGTAAAAGTTGATTAGAATAATATCAAACATGTTTCTTTTAATTCGAAATAACTTTTAAAACTTTATACAAAATAAATTTTGCAAAAATCTTGATATGAAATTAATGCCACGTAGAGAAATTTTTTCTAAATATACCCAATTATGTGTATATACAAATAACAATTTGACAAATAAGATAGTCCATAAGACAACATTTGAATCACCGGAAACTGCCGGATATTAATTAATTATAATTATATTTTACTTTCGGTGTTAGAAACAAATTTTAATGATAATTTCCTTTTATTTGGAACATAAATTAATTCCAACAAATCAGTTCGTAGATAATTATATTAGACAATTTTAAAATCTCTAAATCAAAAAACTAAAACAATCAGCTTAAATAAAATTACCTGAATTAAAAACAAACATTGGAAAAAAAATCTTTATCTAAATTTTCAACCATGAAATTTTATTCTCATTTTATAAAACAGATATTTTTGTTTTTGAAATGAAACTTTATGAAAAACATTACCAAGATTTATGTAAGAAAAAAAAGAGATAAGTATGCAATTTGAAAAGTAAAGATAAAGAAAATTATTGAGAGAAATATTCCCCAGAAATGACATTCAAACTCAAAATCTTCCAGAAGAAGCGTTCCGGAGTCGAAGGAAGAGGTTCGTTTGGCCTTGACAACGGCGAATGTAATTGTTTGAGAGAAAGTAAAGAATTACAAAAAAATGTATTAAAAAACTTCAAAAAAGAGTGCACTATCCAAAATAAAGCCGCGTGTTCTTTTATCATCATGCTTGAAAGAAATACTTTGCTCATTCTGAGGCTGAATTGACTTAACCTTAAAACCACGCGTCACAAGTTGAAAAAACATTTTTCTAACTACATCCAAACATATTAAACTTAATTATTTACAACACTGGTCTTGAAAACAACTTTAAAACTTATTAAACAAGAAAAATATATCAGATACTTGCCTATAATCATCATAACCACCTCGGCCGGCCATGTTGGATGCACGAAACTAACCGGGACCGCGTGGGTCATACGAACAACTTCCAACAAATGGCACTTCCACAAAGACCAGTGAATAATTATTTTAATAATTACACTAATCAAATAACTTGTAAAAAATAAAATTACATCTTGAAATTTTTAGTAATAACATTAAAAATTTTCTTCAAAAACGTAAACAAATAATTTTAAAGTTTAAAGTTTAAATATGCGTAATTTGTATACCAATTTTCATCTTGCTTGTGTCATTCTAATAGTTTCTGTCATTTTACTTTCACTTATGAATAATATTTATTAAAATTTTTAAAATGTACAACAGAACAATTATTTTTGTTTAGAAAGATACGTTATTGAAAGTAAATAAATTCGTTATTATATTTTTTTTCTAATGAACTAATAAAAAAGGGGAACCGTATATTTGAATTTGGTGAAATTGACTTGACTTCCGGATTCGCACTTTTCGTTTCAGGACAAAGTGTATATGCGCATGCTCACTTTACCCCGCTTTTTATTTAAAATCTGAAAATAAATTTTAAAAAAAGTATTATTATTATATTCTACCCCTGGAAACAATTTGTTTATCCTAAATATATATAAACTTCATTTTTGTTAATAATTTAACTATGACGATAGTTCTTATATAACTTGAGAATAATTAAATAGTAAAAATAGTAATGGAAGTAATAAGTTAACCTCAAAATTGTAGTCAAAAGGCAACACGATTCAAAATATAATATACTTGTGAACTATGTTGAGAAATGTTTAATATTAATTTAAATTAATAGTTAATATGGCTAAAAATTCTCGACAATTATTAAAAGTAATAACGGAACAATTAAATAAGTCAGCACTATTAAATAATGCGTCAACAGTGCTTGGAAAAACTTCAGAAAAAGCTCAAGAAAAGTTGACAAATATTCAAAATGTTGCTTCTGAGAAGTATGGAAATATTGTTAAGGTAATGATTATTTTAATTAATTTTTAATATATAATTTCTATAAGTTTAATTTAATAAAATATTTACTGCAAGTAAATTTTTGGAGGTTAACCTATAAATTCACAAAGCCGGGAAACAAATTTTTTTTAAAAATAAAATCAATTTTATTATAATTTATTTTATACTGTTTAATAATATTAATTTTTAATTAGCATGTGAACGTAACTGGCACAACAATTATACAAGATTTACATGCCGAATCATTAAAACCATCAACTCCAATTCCAGTTCGTTTAATAAATTGGTGGAAATGGTATCAACAATTGACAGGTTTAGACACTGTTGAAGTGTCAAAACAACATGTAATTCAAGTTCAAGATTCTCTATTTAAATGTCAAGAAGAAAGAAGAAATTTAAATCGTCAATCATCTCTTGTACATGATAAATTAAAAGAAGTTTATGCAGAATTAATACAAACAAAACGTGACGATCCAAAATATGTGCAACTCACAATTATGGAAAATAAAGGTCTTCAAGAAGAATCAAGAATACGAAATCAATTAAATCTTTTGGAAAATGAAGAGAGAGATCATTTTACTCAATTGGCAACTGCAATTAAAGAATATCACGATAGTCAAACAATGAACGCGCAAAAATACAAGTATCTATCAATACTTGCTTCTGCTTTTCTTGCCATTTTATCATTAACTGGATCAATGATTTATAATAATAGAAGAATAGTTGATGTACGAAATGTTATATCTGAGGCGCAAAAGAAAAACGAAAACAATTTTCGTGACAATTTTCAAACACTTGAACAAAGTTCGAGACAACAATTTTCAAATATCATTCAACTTATAAATAGTAAAACTAATTTTACACCTGCCGAGAATAAAATTAGTGACATTAGTAATGAAAATACATCACTAATGAATACTAATTTAGCTGTGAATAATAAACATATTGCATTTTTTTTAACCGGTTTATTAATAATTAATTTTATATTAGTACGATCATTAACTTAGTGAATTAGAATTTATTGTATAAATTTACGATTTGTTAATAAAAAATGTAAAATATTGTATAATAGTAAAATTTCGTGAATATTTTACGATAATTTGTTACGCTTTTTAAGGATATAATAAAATATAATTAAATGTAAATTTTTATTTTATTAATTGTCAAGTCTTTTTTTTTTCATAAAAAACATTTGTTAAATTCATATGCATAATTATAACAGGCGTAAGGCTTTAAAACACTGAATTTATGATGATTAATGAAAATCTATTTATCTAATAATTATGATAATTTCAGTAATACTTAATATTAATTGTAGCATTAATTATTGAATTAACTAAAAAGTTTTACTTAGCATGTAATTGCAAAATTAGATTCATAACAAAAACAAGCTAATTCTCTTATGTAAAACTAGAAATAATTTACTAAATATGGATTAAGTTACAATGGATTAAAAAAAAAAAAAAAGTAAAAACGAAATTACTATCTAAGGGTTCCAATTTTTCCACTCCATTCCCTCGGGAGGTTTTTTATCCACTTTTCCTCTGCCGACTTCATTCCAATTTGTGCTTAAAACAGTTCCGCCAGATTCTTGCTGTTTTTTTTGGAAATTTAATTTAGAAATAAAATAATAGAAAATATTCAATAATAGAAAAATAAAGTTGAACAATTGTAAATGTATAAAATACTTACGAAAGATTTATTCATTGCACGTTTTACTTCATCAGAGCCATTACCGTAGATTTTTTGAAAAAGTTCATTAAGGGCCGCTTCACCTTCGGGATTTTCCGCAGCTTCTTGTTTTTCAATTTCCTTTTCCATTTTATCCCAATCGTGAACCTTTTTACTTGAGGTTGGATATTTTGGCGCTTTATTATCGGATTGTAAGATAACTAAAAGTATAAAAAAAATTTTTTAAGATTAAATATAAAAAAACGAATTTAAGATTTTTCGAAAAATCTTTGTTAAAAAAAAAGAAAATAACAATTCACCATCAGGAATGGGAAGTATTGCAATTGATTCTTCGGCATTTCCTTCCAAATTCGTCCATCTATGACCGTCTCTTTTCTTTAATTTAATTTCTATTTTCGATGCAAGTACTTTGTGCGAACTTTGATCAGGTACAATGTGATGGGCTAAATCTAATTCCAAACTGTAATCATTTCCGTTTGGTAATTTTGTAGATACACTCAACTAGAAATAAATTTGTTATTAAAAATTTTGTAAACTTAAAAATGATAACAAAAATATTGCTATAACGATAAAAAAAGTAAAATGTTTACTTACTGCAATTTCTGATGTATGGACTTTTACATTTTCAGCATTTTTTGTTAAAATATTTATAAAAACATGCGTTTCAGTTTGATACCAATCGTGTCTTATTTTTGGAGTTGGCATCTATTTAAAAAGAAAATATTCAAAATATAATGTAAAATAAAATTTGAGGTTAGGAAATTATATAGAAAATGGTATTATAAAAATTACAACAAACTCACCACATTGTTTTCATTATTTGTTGTTATAGCTTCTTCCGACATTTTTCAATATTTATTTGAATTATTAATGTAAATAATGTGACATTCAAAATATAATATTCAATGTTTTTTTAAGTTTTGTTTTCCATTTGTTTCTGGAACAGTCGTAAAGAATAATAACGAATATTGACGAAGTTGAACGAAATGTCACGAGGTATTTTAAAAAAAGAAAAAATTACATCGAATTTTTAAATTTAATTTTAAATCTAACCAATGATGTTTGAAAATGATCTTTGATTAAAATAAATAATAATTAGAATCAAAAGGCCAATTAAAAAGAAGAATTATAAAATTAATTACTTTCAAATTTTAGCGCCTGATTGAAAAAATATCAGCGCTATCTACAGGAATATTTTATAACCTAATTATTTTAAACAAAATTGATTTTTTATCTTTGAATAAATATTTAAATTAGTTTATATCATGGATGTGTAAAAAATATAGATTTTATAATTAAGTATATTTTGAATATTATAAATTAATTACTCTTATATTGAGTATAAAAATTGCCATTTAAAAAAAAATTCAATATTTATTAGAAAATGTATATTATACAAAATCAGTCTATAAATAATGGAATAAATAGAGTATAATGATAAAAGTGTAGGATGATGAGTTAGTTACATTTGAATAAAATTATTGTCAAAATTCAATTGTTTAAAATAATATCAACGCCTTTTCTTTTTTTCTTGTTTCCTTGGTCGATGAGGCCTTCTCGGTGTAACTTGAGGACTATTTTCCGAACATTCGACATCACTTGGATCATCCTATTAAAATATTTTATTTTTCTCAAAACAATTAAATAACAGCTTTAAAGTTTTACCTCTTTTTTTAAATAATTCAAAAAATTAATTACCTTCAAAGCAGTAACTCCATCAGAAGATCCCGATGTATAAAATACTAAGGATGCTAGACATATCATTTGAAAAATAGCCGCAACATATAATCCATATCTTATAAATTGTTCAAATACTGTTTCCTCGTCAGGGAGTAAAAGTCGTTTTAATTGAGGGTCTAAATCTTCCATTCCTATAAAAAAAAACAAATTTTATTTTTAATAAAATTGACAATAAACAGTCAATACAATGAAAGAATTGTCTCAATTTTCTTAAGACTTTTTACTATTATTTTATTTAATAATCAAATATGTCATACTTTTGACGTTATTCATTTATTATATTATTATATGCATGTTTGCATAATTTCTATAATCACAATGAAAATAATAAAATCATCAAGGCATCACTTCCGACATTGTAACTAGGCCACTGTACCTTTCACCCGATTGTTAAAAAAATCAGTGAATATTACAATCTCAATGTGAATTTATCCAGACATATATGACAACATTTAATCAATAACCTAAACACAACCCTTCAAGTTTCTATTTCACATGAAGTTTGTGCAAAATACTCTCTCCATCCTTACCAACCTTATATTGTACAATTTGTGAACTGCAATAATAAATAATAATCTCTTCCAGGTCTTTTAGTTTTTTCTAACAAAAAGTTAATCAATAAGTACAGTTTCATAATGTAAAATACTTGTAAATCATAAATCAATTGTGTATAAGTTTTTGCGTTTAATTTTTTTATAAATATTATTAAGTTTATCGTGAAATTAGCAACGAGTTATACTTTCGTTTTTCCTCGTAAGATGGCGCATATGTAGGCGAGATTTTTAAATATTGCATTTTTAATAAAAAGTAAATTTCATTATTTTCTCTTAAAATTAATAAATACCAATAAAAATAACAATAGAAATAATATATGGTACGTGTTTTTAAAATTTTATAAGACAGTATATAGAATATATGTGTAGAAGTTGAAAAAATTGTGATAATAATGTTAAAAGAAAAAATGAATTTCAAATTTCCCGCAAGAGTAACAGCGCCGGAAGCCGTCTGGGTTCGAGGCTTCATTGCTTGGAGTCCGTGGATGTGAACCTTTGTTTTGTACAGAAGAATGGCTGCCATCTTTAGTTTTCGATGGATGTTTTCCAAAGATCTCGCGAATTCTTATTATTATTGCGATATTTAATAACGTGATTTTATCAAAAACAGTGCAATAACGTCATCCGCGATGCAATAAGTGTTTTGACGTTGTTTATTCAAGCTGCCCTGGTACCAGTTTCGTTAAAAAATGCTTGTGTTTACATCTCAGTTTGAAACGAGCTTGTATATTCCTGTCATATTAAGGTAAGAGACGCTTTAAAGTGCAAATTAATAAATGCAAAAAAGGGATTTGCCTTTCTTGTGAATATTATCCATAGAAGATTGTTTTCCACGCTTAATAATGCTTTCCGATTATTCGAATATGATTTCGGTAATCATGCAAATTGTTACATACTAACGGTCTTTCATTGCAAAATTATTAATAATAATATTAAATTTTGTTTAAAAATGTGCAATTTTCATGATTTTATAATGCATTTTGGATAAGTTACGAAGTTAGGTTATTGGACGAAAAATTGTCTAAAACCTAACCAAAAAAACTAAACGTGCTAAAGAATAAAAAAAAAAATTAATACGCATTCTAACATTGTGGTGATAGTGAATTGTGAAATTGCGTTTGTTTGTTAAAATTTGCAATAAATTCGGTTTGTTGCAAATTTCATTTCACCATGGTGGTAGCAATGGCAAAATGAGCGAGGGCAAGTCAACCACTTCATATACCCACAACTGACTATACTAACATTCAAATCCTAACTAAAGCTTTGTTACTAAATTCTCCTATTATCCTAAAGTGTTTTGTTTCGAGTTTTACAAGAATTTTAGTTTACTAACGTGAAATGTGTATTCAAGTCCATTTTGTAAATTAAAGAAAAAAAAAAGAATTCGTTTTGTTACAAACTATCACAATTGACAGTTTGTTAAATGATTTTTTTCTTTTTAGTTTGAAGCAGTATTGTCTTTAATTTGATTTTGGATTCAGTGTATAATAAAGAAATGGATATTTTCTGCGAAAAAAAATGCATCAAGAAGGTTGCAAATGTCAAACTTAACATCCAAAAATGCAAATTTATTATAATCATTTTGTCCTCATAAATATTGATTATGCTAGTGAAAAACTTCAAATGGCAAACGAATCATAGTGTCTGAGAAGATATTCTTAGACTAGGTATCTGTTTATGTGACTTTATGACCTCCAGTGAGAGCATTGAAATTTGGTGATTGTAATTCTCACCAAAAATTTCTTTGTCAATAATTATTGATATGATTGTTTTTCGTTTAAAATGGACTTGAATCTACTTATTATTTTAATGCTATTATACATTAATATTATTTTAATTATAATATTTTGAATTTATGTTTATTATGTTTACAATTCGTGAAATTAAAATAGAAAAATAGATCTCTATTTTGTATATATGAAATTGCAACATTGAGGTCTAGTTTTAATGACACATTTGTTATTGAACTTAATTTAATGAAAATTTTTATTAATTGTAAAATAATTTCTGCTTATTATTGACTAGGACAACCCGGCCGGTGAAGAATTTATTTGTCTAACCTCACAGAAAAGTTTAAAATACATATCAAAGTTGGAAACACGAAGAAAATATATAACAGTTCGGCGGGAATATAAAAATTCTACCAGGAGGCGCTCGATTCGCCATTTCAAGAGCGGCCATTTTGAAATTCTCCCCTTTTCCCTGCGTGACCGCCGTTCCTTTCCCCTTAATTCACTTTTCAGCAGCAATCATTTCCCCTTTCCTCCCCCCACCCCTTCACTCTCTTGTGTTCTTGGTTTAATCTATCTCTCTTCTCCTCTATCGTTCGTCTTTTAAGTTTTCTCTCTCTCTCTCTCTTTTTCCTTCACTCTCTTTGTGTACAACTTCCATGCTAAATTCTTGCATACGTCTCCACTTTGCTTTTCGTCCTTCTCTGCGAGTTTCAAATACAACCTGCGCTAAAACATTCTCTCAAATTCATCGATTTTTCTTACTTATTATTCTATATATTTTTTTTTGCAATGATCATTTGAAAATGGAGCAAGCTACCTTCATCCGTGATTTAACTCATTATATCAGGCTCATCAGCCTTGGATTTATTGCTTTGGGATAAGAAAATTATAAATAAAAAAAAAATTATTACGTAGTTTCAAAGAGAAACCTCCAATTTCACATTGGAGAAAAAAAAGAGGCTGAGTTGGCTTAATTCTTTTTTTTTTTGCAGAATATCAAATTAGAATTTCCTCGAGTTTTAATTTATTTTATAAATTTTATTTAGTTTCATTGCTCTCTTTGAAATTTTTTTATGATTCTAGTCGTGATAAATTTTTCCTAATAGTGAAAATTTAACAAAATTTCATCTGCTCCATTTTCTATTTTGGCATTTTGCCATTCCATAGTGTCAGCTAATCCTAATAAAAATATATAGTTTAATTATATCTCTCTTGATCGTTTTTTGAAAAAGAAAAAATTGTAGACAAAAATAGAACAAAATATCGTTTCCATATAATTTTTTAATTTTTGCCTCTTAAAAGAAAGAGATTTTCTATTTTTCCAATTCACTTTAGAATCTTTCTCATAACACAGTGAGAAACAAAATTCCTTTGGCCAATTATAATTAAATTTTGTAATCTTTTTTTGAAGTGTGCTTTTAAGAATATGGTGTTTTCTTGTAGGGACAATATGATGAAAAAGAAAGATTATCTTGTTCGCTCATCAATAGACGGAAGTGCCGGAAGTATACATCATGTGTTGTATATCAGCGTCCCTTCTCTATTTATCTCTCTCTCTCTCTTTCTCTCTTCGTTGAGTTGGCAGCGTTTTCTGCGCATTAGGTGCATCGCGGTACATGGTACATCGACCTTCTACTAGCAACTCTTTCGCATCTTGTTGCCTCCAGGTCAACACCAAAGACCATGCAAGCAGGTTTCACTCTATAATCCAAGAAAATCTCATGCATCCAAAGATTTTTCCTGCACTAAGAGAAAAATGTAAAAATTATTGACGAAATTAATTAACAAATTACAAATTTTATAATTTAGAAAAAAAAAGAAATTTTTTTTTTTCTCTTTAATTTGCACAATTTTTTTTTTCCAAAGAAAAGATATTAAATTTTGCTGATTTAATTTATTTCTAAATTGCATTCAGTGGAAAAATTTTGTTCTTCTTTAATTGCATCATTTTCGTATATATATGAAATTAAAAATAATTTCGCTGTCTCGCGATAAAATTTCAATCAATAATTTCTAATTGAGAGAATTTTATAAATAGAACAATATTCTCTAAAGTAGTTATCAGATATAATTATAATTCAATAACGATAGTTTCTTATCCGTTCAATAACACGTAGTTTTCACCTGTATATATGTATTTTCACTCCCACTTGTATATATTGATGTGAGAGCCCTTTTGCGTCACGAATACGTAGGCAAGGATGTAACATTGCGCAGAGCCCTGTGGGTGTTTCCCAACCTACCCCAACTCTAAAGTTCGTATTGATCTGTCCCTTCTGTCTTTCTTTTTTTTTTTCCTTCTCTCAACCTGTCACAAATATGTGATTGAACAAACAACCATTTTTTTTGCCAGATTTTGTAATTCCGAAATTTTTTAATTAACAATGATTTAAAAATATTTATAGAATATTAATTTTAAGAAAAGATTTTTTGTTTATTAAATTTTAAATATATATATATATATGTTTCAGGTAAATTTGAAAAAATTTGTTTGCAAATTAATTTTGATTTTTTGGAATGGAGTGGATCGATTATAGAAATAAAATTCTTGTTGAAACTGAGATTGCGAGAGAAAAAAAAAAAAGAGATGATGAGAGGAAAGGGTCGACATTCGAAAAAGGACGAAGTACTACGATTCGCGTGGGTGGGTCGCGGCTGCGAGAGAACGTGGGTGATGCCAGTTGTGAGGTGAATCGTATCGACCGCAAGGGAAGTTCTCACACGACCCTGAGCTGTATAATATACAGAGACGATGAAACAGATATGCTTTCGCAGATATGTATACAAGACACAATAGTCGATCAAAAAATGTTTTTAAACGTTTCCAAAATATTTATCAATATTTTTAATTTTAGATTTCCAATTGTGGAAGAATAGAGAAATGAATATTGAATTTTCATTATCTTGTTTAATTGGTGTGAGATTGTCATTTATTTTATTTTTCTCTTTCAGTAATTGGTTCAATTTTTTTCTAAATCGTGATGATCATATTTTTCTAAAATGCGTTAATCATCGCAAAAACCACATTCATGTGTGTATTTTCACTATCAATCAATTGCAATATTGGTCGCTCACCTCCAATATACATAGACGATGAGCGTGACCCTCCCGATTCACAATTGAGTGTGCGCATACAATTGTTGATAGATATGGTAAAAGGCGATGGAGGGTGGAAACAAGATGAAGTAAGGGATACTGTTAGGGGTTGAATGCGTTTGTAAAACAATCTCGGTAGATGGTAGCAGCAGCTTTGATAAAATCACATCCTTTCATCTTCTTAATATTTCTTTTTTTAGTTTTATATTTTCGTTTTATTTTTATTATTTCTTCTTTTATTCTTCGTTTTAGTAAACATTTTTTTTTTTGGTATTTATACTAAAATTAGTATATTCGCTGAATTTTTCTCGAAAGAAAAATCTCAAGAATTTTAAATTTGATCGATGGAAATTTTTTTTTAATATTCAGTCTTATGCACATATTTGCAGGATTGTTCAGTCACTTGCACGATTGAGGATAAGCGTCGTAAAATAATTGCGTAATGTTTTTAAATAGAACCTCAGGCATTATTATGTTGATGCTTTAATTTTATAAAATGAATTTAAATTCTTCGAAATTGCTATTAAATGACGTTTTCTTTCTCTGAGAAAAAATAGGAAATTTTTTTAATCTCAGACGTTTAATAAAAAAAATTTTTTTTTTATTTAATTTGAAAAATGAATAAAGTTTTGAATTGCAAAGAAAAAAATTAATTAACCGACCAACGGTTGTATATATCTGCTTTTTTTAGTTGTCACGAGACTTGTATATAATCTACACATGATACAAAAAATGTATCGATGAAACTTATGATTATTAAATAGTCACTTAAATACTGGTAACACGAGTTTTTCAAATGGAAAACGTATTTTACAAAAAACAAAATTTAATTTATAGTTTACAGAAGAAAAGTATAATTTTTAATTAGTAATTTTTTGTCAAATATGCAAAAAAGAATTATTATTAATTCATATCAATAATTAAATTTAGTTACTAATTTTCTAAAGTTAATATGAAAATTTTAAGTCATTTAAAAAAATCAAATTGTCCCTATAATACATAAAAGGCCTTGTGAAAAAAGTAGTGGGATAAAGTCTTACATATTCATCAACTTCTCGTGACCTCGCCTATATTTTTATGACGCACTGGTCCAGGTACCCATTGTATTGAAAAAAAAAAATATATCATTTCTTATTTGAAAGCAAATAAAATCACATTTATGATTTGTCAAATAAATAAATATTATAATTGTAGAAAAAAAAAATTGAACGAAATAAATCTAAGTTGTTATATAAAAATACCGAAATTGAATCTTTGTTTTAGGTGAGAACAATTCCATAGGAGACTAAAGTGTCATCGCTCTGATTGTCGATGGCTGGTTATGGGTAACGCGGATAATGCAAACGCATGGAAACCCGGATCATTCGTGCAAAATGATTCTCTCAACAATCTCAGCATCTCTCAGTTCTCAATGTGCAAGAAAATCTGGTCCAGTGACCAGTGGAGAGGTCCCATGATAGTCAGTTAGTAGTGCTCGCGCACGCGCTGCGCAGAAGATCACAAGCAAACACAACGATACCTGTGGTAACCTTGGAGGTAAATGGCGGTCGACAATAGGTACTCCTTGGAACTCCCCATCCTTTTCTCTTCTTCTTCTTCTTCTTTTTTTTCTTCTACTACTTCTTCTTCTTTCTCATCTCGGCATTCCTTTTTCTCTCCCCCGCGCACAACTTCTTTCAAACAGGGTTATATGATACCGCCATCCTCGACACTCTATGAATCGAAAAGACAATTACACTTTTTTTTTTTTTAAGTGTAATGTGTCCCCCTTTTTATGTGAAAATAGATACACATTTTATTTCAGATATTAATACTTCTATATTATTAGTTTAGTTGCCAATATTTTTTTTAATCTCAAAAAAAATTGTTCTGAATTATTTTTTTAATTTTCTTCATTTTCTTAACAAAAAACAAAATAGTTTTCAGAAAATTTGATATTTTCGTCTTTAATGATCGAGTTGATATTTTGAAATTCCATTAGGAACATTTATTTGGCTAATTTCCAAGAGATTTGAAAACGATTCTATGATTTAAAATAAATATTTTGGTAGATGTTTGAGATTTTGACACAATTTATCTTGAAATTGTTTTTCGAATAATTTAGAATGGCGAAATTTTGATCTTCGAGAAATGGGAACTTAATGAATTTTGATCGCATCTTTTGAAAAAATTAGAAGAAAAATTTTCATTTCGTAAAATTAAATTGTTAATATTCTCTCATTGAAAATTGAAATCTTAAAATAGAACAACACGAGTTGTGTTTATATGAATCGAAGATTATTGATTACTATTTAAACCAATGTCTCGTTCCAAGAATATATCGAGAACGAAAATAGAAATGTTTAGCATATTTCTTCTATTATCGAATTAGTTATGATTTCTTTATCTAGAATGTAAGAGATTATTTTTTGTAATTTCTTCTCAATATATTTTTATATTGTAGCAAAGGGAGAAACTCGGGAACAAGATGGCCATCTTGCTGGAGTTTGCGGAACGCGTACCAATGAATTACGTATCGACCGTCGCGAAAGTACAAAAAGGGAATTGCAAAACTGCCAGAGAGAAAGAGCAGTTAGGGATAAGGCCAAGAGTGCGAAGGGCATAGCTTTGTACTTTCATTTTGTTTTTTCTTCTTTTTAATTAGTTGACTTCACTTTCTCACAGCATTTTAAAATCTTTCGATTTCATTCTTAAAACGATTTTCGTTTTCATTTTAAAATCATTTTATGATATTCACTTGCAATTTCGTATAACATATCTAATATTATATCACGAAATTTGTTGGCAAAATTTTTGGCAGTGTAAAATAACAAAAATAACTTGGCTCGATATATTATCCCTCCACAGGCGTGTAGAAATTTTTCGACAACTATAAAAGAGTTGAAACTGGGTGATTAGAATTTTTAAGAACTCGTTTGGCTACCGTTTCGTCTAAAGTGATTTTTTGTTTTTTAAAGGACGAGTTCCGATTTTGTTTTTTTCTTTTCTCGATCCCTTCGCTTATTAGCTGTCTCTTTTCTTCCCTTTTGGATTTTTTCTTTCTTTTTTTTTTCTCAACAAGTCTATATCCATAAGTCTATATCCACATTCTCGTTCGCATCTTTCGTTTCTCTTCCCTGAAGAGACAGTTGAAAAGTGAAGAGAGGGTAGCGATACCGGTTATTGGCGGCGACTGGCATATTTCACCGGGTGTCCAGCAATCAGGCCTTTGTATATATATATATATATCGTTCGCAATACACTGCATGAATTTTCTATGCCGCAGACCTCGAGTAGCAAAAGGAGAAATATATCTTTTATATATGTATATAAAAGAGAAAGAGAGAGGAGAAGATTGTTATAAGGGGGAGAGAGAGTGCATTTAAAATTCAACCTGGAGTAGGAATAGACATTGATGCTAGGCATTATACACTGTACACCGATTAATCCTTAGTTTATACACACGCAATTCACGTCGATCACTTTCTGATCTTTCACACCCTATTCTACTTTGTCGACTGATTTCTCCGACCTCAGGCCGTTCCAATTGCTTGCTAAATTATTAATTTGGGACAATTTTTCCAAAAAAAAGGCACAAATTTGAAAAATTGAAGACAAAAATTGTTTTTAATTTCAAAAAAAAAAAAAAATTGACATCAAAAATTTGATTTCGATTTCAAAAAATTATTCCTTTTTTTAATTTGTGAAAACAAATTTTGATTTCAATGAAAAAAATTGAAACGAAAAATATTTTGTCTTCCTTTAATTGTCGATCATTTAAATAAATATTTATTTAGATGATTGTCAAAAATTTTGAGAATAATTGAACTGAGATGAAAGATTTTTTTTAGAGAAGAAAAAATTAAATTATTAAATTTTAAAAAATGCAATTTTAATTTTGTTGAATAATTTTTTATAATAATATATGAATACGGAGAGTTTAAACCATGAAATATTAATGTTTATAAAATACTCAAGTTAGAGAATGAAATAAATTTAATAAAATTGTTTTTAGAGAACACATTGAAGAATAATCGTTGCGAGAATAATTTTGGTTTGCAACGAATCAATGTAAGGGTCGAGGTACGCCAAGTAGGTCGCTGCAAATCCCATTGCTGCCAACAGAATCGACCGCGAGGAGCAAAGGCAACGACTTTCCGTGACGAGCTCTGCTCACTTTACTCTCGGAAGCTCGTTAATTCTATCAACTCAATAGTTTGGTTCACCAAAGAGACACAGAGTCCCCTTTCCTCCAACTATTGCAAATACCATATGATTTATCAAAAAAAAAAAATTTAGTAATATAATCACCGATAATTGAATCCAATTTAAATTTTTAAATTGTTCTTAAATTTAATTTATCGAATTTATTACACATTAGTCAACACCACTTTTAATTTATTTATAATATTCCATTTTATTGAATATTATATAAAAATATCCGAATTTTAATAATTGTCAAAAGATTTTTTTGGACTCGATAGAAAACTATTCGCATAACAATATTCATTATCGTTGAGATAAGAATACAATTTACAGTCAGATATTACGTAGTTTTTTTTTCTCACACTCTGATAACTAACTGATAAAAATTATTGACAAACAACCGGTCGAAGCGTTTAATAAAATTTTATTGTCTCTAACTTGAGTATTATTATAAAAAAAAAAAAAAATGTTTATTTCTAAAAAAGAGAATTTTATGTGCACATTCGTTTATGTATTAAATTGAAACTAATGTCTATACAATAGACACCTGACGGGAAATTGAAATTTTTATTTAAATATTTAACAAAAAGAAATTTTTTTCTATTGTTTATCAGAACTATTGCTATAATTTTTTTTTATTATGTGGCAACGCTGTTTGCAGTTACAATTTAACATCATTTATATTCACTTCCGGTACTCACGACCTTTTAACACCCGCTTGCATTCGGGGTACTTGTAACCAGCTTCGAGATAAAAGACGATATATTTTTTTTCTATTACCAAATTTACATATACATGTATTTTGATTTTCTCTACGAAAAAAAAAATAAATTATAATAAATTTTGAACTAAATTATTTTAAACGAAAGGAAGCTTATCAAAATAGGTTACGTGTATTTATATCGATTTAATGTTATAAAAAAAAAGTATTAAATTTTTTTTTAAATTGAAAAATTTTTTTCTATTAAAATTATTTTTAATTATTTAATTAAATTATTATTAATAACAATAATTAATTATTATTTATTTAATAACAATAATTTTAATAGAAAGAAATCAATCTAAATATATTTATTTCGAACGAAATCATAACCTCGGTCAATTGAAAAATCATTGTATGCACAATCCGTGGGTAGAATCATTGCCAAGGTATTACAATAATTTGTTACGTATCCATTGTACATTAATGAAAAATAGTCGCTATTTGCCAAGATTTATCATCTGTCGTTAAATCTCGTTAAAGTAGAATTTTTTTTTCTCCTATAATAAATTTAAACGATTTTGTAAATGAGCTTCACGTTTTTTGTTTGTTTTGTAAACATGAAAATAACATGAGAAATTTAATTATTAACAATGATAATAATGAGACAATTGTTTATTAAGAAAATTTGTCTTTCAAATAAGTTGATTATATAAAGTTCATATACGATGAAAATCATTGTGAACATGCGTCAATTAGTGATCAGCGGAAGGTCGTTCCAATTAGGGACGTCACGTAAGCTCGTATTCCATTAACATCTCACCATTTTACTTCTTACACGTAAATTGATTTGTTTCATATATATATATATATATATATATACAAAGTTAACGATTTTGCTTTAAATAGAAATATATAGATGTCTTACTTTCTATTTAAAACGAGTAGACGAGATTAATTTCTTAATGGATTTATTCAATGAAATAATTTAGATATATTCATTTAATATTTTAATCTTATATAATTTTTATATTATGATTATTAAGAGAAAATATACGTAACAGTGAATTATTAATCATATTAAAAATTATAACAGGAAATTGAGAATATTAAACTAGATGTAAGAATAGAAACAGTAGAATTTAATAAAATGAATCTCAATTATCCCCAAATAGAATCAATAAATGAGACTTGAGATTCGAAAGTTTTGATTTTATGCAATTCTTGTGACAATGCGAAAACGACCTTCTTGTTAGTTGTTTAATATAAGTTGAAAATAAAGAGAGAGGACTCTTTAAGACTTTAAAAAGATACTCTGTTGACAACACAATGAAATCATTGCAAAAACGGGGACGTTCAATTATTATATTTTTATCGTCAATGTTACACTACATATTTTCGAAAAGATATATTTCAATTTTTTTTTCTGTTTAATGAAAAATTTATATTTTTTTCTATTTTAAATCGTTTCTCTTCAAAGAAACGTTTTTACAACGAGAAAGAGAGAGTTATTTGAGGTAATTGTGGAGAGATTGTAAAACTAGTGAGATTTTCTAATTGAATCGTGAGGCTTTTTAATTTTTTTTATTATAAATATAAATATCAAAGTTTGTTCCAGAAGCTTCCAAAACATGATTTAATTTATACTACTATTGATTTTAGAAGTCTGAATTCTTTTTATAAGGAAGAAATTTTGTATCAAAATTAAATCATGAATAGTTTTAAAGAAAGTCTTACGTGACTATTGTGGTAATTAGAATCTCGAATGTAATGTACGGGCGTAAGAGTCGATTGTATGATATTATGGACTTTGAGAAAGTTGCTCGTGGTTGGTCCATTCCTTTTGAGTACTTCCGTCTTTTCTCTCCCTTACCCTCTCTTTTTCTCTCTCTTTCTCTCAAATCCTTAACATTTATTGAAAAAAAAAAAGTGAAACAAAAAAAATTAATGTTCTCCAGGCAAATAATTCATTTTTCAAAATATTTTTTACGAAAACTATTTTCGAATATACAATATTAATGATTAATTTTGTATTTTTGTTTCAGCTTATGGTACAGGATCCTCAAATAGTTTTTTCAAAGAAAAAGAAAAAAAAAGAAAAAAAACGTGAGTGGAGAGTTATTTGAAAAAAAAAAATCGCTAAAGCCATTTACAAGATATTTTTATTCAACGGATTTGTAAGGCCTTCAAAACGTCGACTCCATCAGTGATCAAGTTAACCGGGGGAGGATCAGGTGGAGGTGGGGAGAAATCATCCCCAGGTCCAGGTCCACCTCCCCCAACAATTCAAACTGAAACTGAAAATCGTTCCAGTGATAATAATGGATCCGAAAGAATTGATCACGCGGAATCGAATGCAGAAGCCACCATGAGTTTTGTATTTCAGTTAGGTTCTGTAAATAATGCTGAAGAAGTTGAGAATAATAATCCTCTATTGGCAACTACAGAAATAAACACCCCCCCATTAACAATTGAAACATCTCTTCCAAAATCTGTGATCGCTGGGGCCAAGTCTCAAAATGTACAGAACCTGAAGTCCGTCAATTCATCTGTAGTCTCCATTTCTTCAGCAAATCCGTCGGCTGTGAAACCTATTACTGTTACCTATCCAATGAATAAAAATTCAAAACAAACGGAGAAAATCAGCTCACAAACAAATACGACTCAGGTTCTGACGACACGTGTCATTTCACAAAAAGTCACGTCCAATTATCAGTTGCATTCACTTCCAATTAATACCACTTCCCAACTAAAGCAACCGTCATCTTCTATTGGAAGCTCTCTTTCAAACACTCCAATACAAATGTCGAATTCAGGTCAGCCAGTTAAAGTTCAAGTTACCTCTGATATAACCATCAACAAACAATCACCACCAATTCAATCCGTTGCCGCTGGACAATTAAAACTCCAACAAATTACCGTTCAATCGGTTAATAATTCACCGATTCAAAATATTCCCAATAATTCTAATTCGACAATTCAGAGGATACAAAACAAGGGACAAATAGTCAATCAGAATGCAAGTCAACAGCAAACTCTAAATCAATCGAGCAATCAGCAACAGCAGATTCATCAACAGAATTTGAATCAACAGTCGACTACAAATAAACCCAAAATTATTAGTAACGTCTGTCAAAATCCTCCAATTCAACGAAACGCCATCACAAGAATGCAAACAATGGTGAAATCGCAAAATCCTCAAATTACCATGAATCAAGTTATGAACAACGCAAATATGCAGCGAGTGCAAATTAATCCAAATGTTCCAAAAGCTCAGGCACCAAATGCTCAAAAAGTGCCACCGAATTTCAACAACCAAAAACCATTACCCCAGGGTATGAATAATTTGAATCCTAATCATAAAATTCAACAGCAACAACAACAACAACAACAAATCAATCAGCAAGTTGTTCATAAGGTGCAAGCATCACCAAAAACAACAGTTAAACAACCGCAAACAGTTATAAATAATGCTCAAAAATCTGTAACAATGCAAAAACAAGTTGTCCAACCACAAGGACAACAGGTAATTCAACAAAATCAGAAATTACAAACACAACAGCAAAGGCCAACAGTTGTTGGTAATTTACACAAATCACAAACACTTGTGAATGTCAATTCAAATCGAAATCAAACAACAGTTTCGAAAAGCAATAGTGTACCAAATATAATGAAAGTTCAGCAAAATTCCAATATTTTAACGACTACTGCTAAAGGTGGTATTACACAATCACAGGTTAATGTACAGCCCACATCACATTTACAACAGCAATTGTTACATCCGAATCTCCATCAACAAATGCAACAAATTCAAATGCAAAATCAACATGGCCAACAATTGCAAAATCAATTACAAAATCCACAATTATATCAAGTTCAACAAATTCAAAATCCACAGATTAATCAACAATTTCCCCAACAGCAAATAATGTTACAAAAACAAGCTCAAGTTCCAAAAAGTCAAAATATACCGACTATGCATCAAAAAGGAGGAGCGACTATAACACCAGTTCCTAATAATCAAAAGCCGGGAAATTTGAATTTAAAGGTACAACAGCAGCAACAGCAACAACAACAGCAGCAGCAGCAAATGGTTCTTCGTATGGCAACACAAAAGAATCAACAACAAAATATTCATGGAAATGTTAAATTAACTCAAAAAGTGACAAACATTGTAAAAACACCGAGTCAACAAAATTCCATGCCACCATTTCAGCGAAATGTGAATTTTCAACCTGTGAAAGTTGTGCAACAAACGCAAAATGTAATTTTTCCACAGAATGCACAAAAACAACCGGGTTGTATTAAAACAATTCCACCACAAAAGCCAGGACCGAAGAATAATTCAACAAAGGGAATGGTGAAAACTTCAATGAATACAAATATGACATCATTGAAGGGACAAAATGTGACTCAAAATTTAGTGCAAAAATCGACTATTAAAACGATAATGCCACAACAACCAGGTGGGCCAAGTATGTTGGTACAAAAGGGTCAAGTTCCAAAGGTGCAGCAGCAGCAACAACAACAACAACAACAGCAGCAGCAACCTGTTCAACAGAAACCAGTTCCAATGCATTTTCCACAGCAAGTGAAACAACAAATTGGTCAAGTTAAAACATTGCTTCCTGTTACTTCCAACGAACCTCGAAGGGATACGGAAATAAAGTAAGAATCTTTGTTTCAGATCCAAAACAAAAAATAAATTTGTTTATTGTAATTTAAATTTTGTAAATAATTTTCAAATTATTTTTTTTACAGAAATGAAGCTGTTATTACTGAACCGAAGGAAAATGATTCTCAAAATCGAGCTCAGTCTCCATCGAGAAGAATGCCGTTACCTTACGAGGTGGTGCTTTATTTACTCCAGATTTTTAGTAAAATTTTTTACAATCATAAATCAGATCAAAAAGTCAAATGTAAATTTTTGTTTAAAAAAATAAGATTTACATTTTAGTTCAAATATCGAATTAAAACTCAAAAGAATTATATTTATCGATTATTTTTTGGTCTGAATGTAACATTTCTAAATTTTTTCCCTAAGTGTATAAAATTTAAAAAAAAACAAAAATAACTGTCCTTTTTGTACTCATTAATTTTTTTAAATTTTAGTGTTTGCAGTTTGTTCTGCAAGACCACAATTATGGTGCTCCACCGCCTAGAACACCACCACCCCAATCGCCGCCTCCACATCCTAAACAACAGCCTGTTAATGGGGCCAGCTGTTCTGCAGTTGTTACTCAAAATTCTTTCATTTATGGTCCAGGTAATGAATATTCTATAAATTTAATTTTTCAAAGTTTAAAAAAAATAAAAAGAGATTTTTTTTAATAATAATTGTTTTTATTTAGCCACACAAACAACGACTGTTGAGGATGATGCCCAAAGTGCTATCAGCAGTGAACAGGGACGCGAGGCCGAACCCGAAGGTGAAGAAACAGAAACTGCACCTGAAGGCGAAGGCGATGATGAAGACAGCATTACTCGTTGCATTTGGTAAATTAATTTTTTTCATATTAAAATTTTTCTACAATTATAATTTATTACAATAATACTAATTAATATATTTCTTTTTGCAGCGATTTTGAACACGACGACGGATACATGATATGTTGCGATCGTTGTTTAGTTTGGCAACATGTCGATTGCATGGGTATTGATCGATCAAATATTCCCGATGAATATCTCTGTGAAATTTGTCGACCACGTCGTGTCGATCGACAAAGAGCGCGTGCACTTCAAATGCGTAAACGTGAGGAACTCTTAAATTCCGATACAACATCCGATTCATCGTCAACAACATCAGTTGATACAGACGTTGGAACAACAAATGCAAATCCAAAAAAACGCTCTCTTCCACAACATACACCACGACGAAAATCAGATCCCCCTCAAGTTAGACGATTGAATAATAACAATAACAATACTGTTAAGAGACAAAGACGTGAAACACATCCACGACAGCCAAGTACCGTGCGTCAGAAAAAAGAAACAGTGAAACGCGTTCCTGGTAAACGAAAAACAAAACGAAGAATGAGCATGGAGGATAAAGAAGATGAAGCTCAAGATTCGTGGGGCTCAAATATGGCACCTCTACGACAATGGATCGAAAGATATGAAGAAGCAGTGACAAATCATTATAGTCCTGAACTTCGTGCTCGTATATCCAGCATTAAAATTAATGGCACTCACAATGATCTCAGACAGAGTAATATTAATATTGCCGCAACTGGAAAATGTCGATTAAATGTACACAGTAATAGTTTGAGGTTTTTAGTTGCAACAATGTTTCTTCCATCAAATACACCTGTACTTGAATTACGTGGGAAATATATGTTAAGTACTCAACATAGGCCATCACATCCACAGGGTCGACAGCACGCACAACGTCCGGGTCCATTTGTATTTTTCTATCGTTTACCACGTGATGGAACGGAAGTTTGTGTTGACACAAGAACATACGGTAATGATGCACGTTTTGTTCGACGCAGTTGTAAGCCAAATGCTGAAGTTAAACATTGTATAGAAAAAGGAACTTTGCATTTATATATCGTCACAACAACGGCAATTGACAAGAATGCCGAAATAACAATTCGACACGAGCAACATGATTTATTGCTATCGCCGAATTCTAATTCTCAATTAATGTCACTTATTTGTGCGTGCAATAATCCCAAAGAGTGTCAAATTAATGCCACTGTTCCCCAGACGGCAAAGAAGAGCACCAATGGAGCGATTGGCGAAAATGCAGAGTGAGTTTTAATTCATTTTTCTTGTTAAATAAATTTTTTATGATTTTATTTTATTAAATTAATTTTTTCAATTGCAGAAGTGGAAGAGAAAAGAGAAGACGAGGAAGACGAACTACTGTCTGCGAGGAGAGTGAAACGGTTCCAACAGTTTCGAACCCTGGAATCGTACAACAACAGCAGCAGCAACAACCGCAACTTCAACAGCTTCATCAACAACAACAACAGCAACAACATCATCATCAACAGCAGCAGCAGCAACCACAACTACAACAGCAACCGGCACCTTTACCACCGCCACCAGCTCCTACAGTTCCAACTCCAGTTGTAACGCCACCGGCACCAATTGTAACGCCAGCGGCTCCGAAACGAAGCGCCTCAACTGGTAGCAATAGCGGAACAACGACTCGTCAAGCAGCTAAAGATGAATCCCAGCAATCACAAACATCGTTCACATCAATTGCGTCATCGCCATTACCAACACCCGAGAAAGAAAAGAAGGACAAGAAAAAAATGACTCGCGAAGAACGAAAAATGGAAGCAATTATGAAGGCTTTCGAAAGAATGGAAAAAGCCCAAGCGAGAAAACAAGAAGTTTTAGCGAGAAATGCTCAACGTAAAGAATCCGGTGGTACACACAGTGATAATGACGATAATCCAAGTATTTCACAAGTAAAACAAATAAAATCAACAACAATCTCCTCCACATCATTGATTGAAAAACCCATGAGACGAAAACGACGAAAGGGTCGAGCGCGAACAACAAGTTCATCACATTCACAAAGTGGTAATCGTCGATCAAGATTAAATTCCGCCGATTCTGATTTATCATCAGGCGATGAAAGTACATCAATTCAATCGCCACCATTATCGAGTCAAAATTGTCTAAACACACCCTATTCAAGTCGCATTCACACGCCGACAAAAGAAAATATCAACAACGAAACGGGCAATCAGGGAATATCAACAGCCGCTGGTTTATTACTCGCCTTGGCAAATTCTAATGTTCAGGGTCCAAGTTCACCGCCATTGAATCAACCAACACCAGTCAAGAGTCCAACGTGTGATAGTGGTGCAAGTAGCAGTTCACAAAGTTCAACGCCGTCCACTCCATTGTCATCGGCATGTCTCCTCGTGGCCGCTGCTGTTGGTCCACTTGCACCTGGTTTCAAATTTCCCAAAACAAAAAAAGTTCTTATGAACGAATGGCTCAAGGAATCACCTGATCCAGTTCAAGTGCATCATCCACAAGTCGCGTCACCCGATTTACGAAATATGATTACAAATACACCACACAGTACTCCACTCAATGTTATGGAAAAGTCACCCGACTTTCTCTCGCCAATTGATCCATCGACGGAATTTTTGACTCAAACTTATGCGGCCAAAGGATTGGCAACATTGGTCCAAGCTGTTAATTCCGTGTCAGGAATTTGTGAATCTCCACCACAGAGACGACAATCCCTCACTTCGATGAATCAACAACAATCATGTCCCGTCTCTAGTGGTTCGGCGAAAAAACGATGGTTAAGACAAGCCATTTCCGAGGAGTGTGATTCGCCAAATAGCCGACCCGAGAGTCCACCTAGTGAAATGGTTGTGGCACCACCGAAAAAACGACGAATCGCACGGGAAAGTTTGTCATCTGACAATTACACACCACCGACAACGCCAACTCTATTGATGCCAGAACCTGTTCATGTCAGGACGATGTCACACGAGGTAAGTAATTTTTCTTTTAGAAAAAAAAAAAAAAAATTGCTATCATTCATTTCTTTTCACTCGATAGCAGTAATTATTAATATTTAATTGATTAATTAGCTCCAAGTAATTTGTTTTAAAGTTTTGTTTTATTATTTTTAAGGTCGTTAAAATTAAAAGCAATATTGAAGATAAAGAAAAAGATATCAACTAAATAATCGACAAAGTTAATTTTAAAAATAATAATAATGTTTATTAATCATTCTTCGATAAAAGTAAAATAAAATAAAAAAAAATACCTATCAATTTTAGAAAAGATATTAAAAAAAAAGAATACTCGAAAGCATTGAGTAAAATTTATAAAGCATGCATGGATCCATAAAAGACCTTAGCCATTAAACTCTCATCGCCTCTTTGAAAATTGTTACTATGGAAACAGAGCGTCACTTCCTGTGCCAACCTAAACATTAATGGTCTGGGAGTCGTATTGTAAGATTTGATCTCATGATTAATAAATGTTGAACCCGTTTAAAATGCTTAAAAAAATTATAATGTGTTTTTTGCAATTAAAATTTTAAGTGAACAATTTTCATAAGTTTCAATTTTTATTTTCCAAATTCTTTAATTTTTTGTCTAATTGCATGAAATTCTGTCTAGTCTAACCTTTTTTTATTTTTTCATATTTCAGGACGAGTTTGTTGATCGTTTAAATTCACCAACATTGGATGAATCGAGAATATCGCAAGATTATGATTCTGAACCATTAAAGGATTATATAACAACACAACAAACTGCATCATATGAAACGGAATCTAAATTGAAAATTGACAATTCAATGTCGCCAATTTTACCAATAAAAAATGAAGTGAATATTGAAGAAAAAATTAAATTTGAATTAATTGCAACAAAAACGGAGGCAGTTATTAATGATATTTTGAAATCTGAAAAATTAGAAATCGATGATGTTTGTAAATCCGAAGCACCAATGGATGTATCGGATTCTAAAAGTGAATCATTTGAAATGAAATGTGAAACTCCGGAACTTGAGAAAATTATTCATGAAAATGAGAAAAATCATCAAGATAATGTTAATAAATCGGATGTTGATATGGAAAATCAAAATAATGATGATGATATTGAGACAGATGAATTTAGTTCACCAACTATTGTAATAAGAGAATCGGAGGCAATTTTAAAACAACGTGTTGCCAATATACGTCTTGAATTTAATAGTAGTAATGTAACACAAAAAATTGATGATACTAAATGTGAAGTTGAGAAAATGGATGATAAATCAGATGTTGAATTTGATTTTGATGAATTTGATGTTGAGGCGCAAATGAAGAAAATTACCGGCGATGATGGTGATGATTATAAAGAAAAAGTCGATACATCATCGGAAAAAGATAAAAGTATGGATGGACTCGAGGGACTTATGGATAGTTCCAAAGAGGATTCTGATTCAGATGAAAAAGATGTTGAGGATTTCAAGAAGTCTCCTAAGCAGGAGACAGTCGAGGAAAGAGCTTTCAAGGTAAATATCTCACTTTTCTTTCAAATCAAAATGTTTTTTTATTTAAAAATTTTCAATTAAATTAAAAAATTAAATTTTTGCAGGAATTGGAATTAACATGTAATACTGCGGAATTTAGCGAAGAAATTAAAGAACCAAAAGCGAAAAGTCCAATACGAGAAATTGAAAAACCCGAGCCAAAACCAGTTGAAGAATTGAAAGTCGATGTAATTTTGCCAAAAATTGAGGAAGTTGTGGAGCAAAAAGTATTTCCGTCAATGTTGCCGTTGAGTGAGAGAATTCGTAAAAAACCTGAACCAACACCAATGCCAAAATCACATTTAGACATTGAAGCAGCAATTATTGAATCGTCAATTGAAATGGAGGCAAAATTAATAAATAATGGCGAAGATAAATCGTCAATGTTATCGACTGCTTTACGGGAATTGTTAGAGGCTCAAATTGATGAAGAACCAATGGAAACCGTTGTAAAGACGGAAAATTTGGAAAAATCGGATAAATTGGAAGAAGAATTCTCACCTATTTTAGAAATGAATCAAGATAAACCCGTGGTGGAGGAAGAAAATTTACAAGTTACAATGGAAACTTCAGTAATATCATCAGTAGTAGTTAATCAAGATATTTCAGTAGATAATCAAGATAATTCAACTGAGGTTATTATTACGCCCGTTAAAATTGCATCACCACCGAGAGAAGTTGGATTGAAGGATCCAAGATTAAAAGATCCAAGAACTTGTGGACCTAAAGATTCATCAAAAATGGAAACACCCGTCAAGCGCAAGGTTAGAATGGTAGGATTATTGTAGTGATTTTGTTTTGAGGCTGAGTCTCGTTTAAAAAAAAACTCAAGTAACAACTTCTTGAGGTTTCTCATTTATTTTTTTCAATCTTTTTCGCACATTGCACGTTTTGATAAATCTTTCTTTTACAACCGCATGTTTTGAAAGTCATTGCAGAAAAATTATCTAGTATTATGTGCATGCTAGTTATTATAATAATTATTTACAAAGTATATTTTTTTCATTAATAAAACTTTATTATTATTGTTTCAAATTGAATAATTTAAATGAAATTGTTTTTTTTTTAATTTTTAACATCACTAGATTATTATAAAAACATGTAGAAGAAAAAATTAAATGTGCACAAGTAGTTTTTATAAATAATTAAATTTTATGGGAGATCTGAAGTTGATACCTTTTAAAAAGTTTTAAATTTCGATTTACTAATATTGAATAATTTGTATACAGCTATCGATATCAGAGTACAGAAAACGAAAACAACAATCAACTGGAACTCCACCTGAACCGGAATCGTCGAATGATCCATCTTCGGATAAAGTTACTGCACGTGGCAGATCTGATAGTGCTAGCAGTGGAACCTCATCCCTAAGTTCCGATGAAGAAAGTTCGAAAGTTCCCCTTGACTTGCCCGGTTTATCAACACTGCCACTCTTCACAAATATCGACGGCGACGAGAAGAAAGGTGCGTTTCAACACTAAATTTTCCACTAATGATATTTCCATTTCTTTTACTATTAATTATTAATATTTATCGTTTCGTCAGGTATAATTTAATTAGTCGAAATTACCTAAACTGAAAGGCTTTTTTCATTGAATTTTTTTTTTCAGTAATTAATTTATTTAGAAAGTTTAAAATAATATTGCTATGAATTTTAATGAATTAGGCTATTGAAAATAAAGTGAATTGACAGGTACCGAAGAGGGGAAAATTGGTTGGTCGGCTGCGCCCACTTTGGTTGAACGTCAACGTGAAAATCTCACCGAAAGGCTAAAGAGAGAATTTGGACTGTTTCTCAGTGATGACGAGGAGGAAAGAGCACGAAAGCAAGGTACAAATCATCCTTTCTTTCATGAAAAGGGGTAAATTTATTTTCAATTTTTTATTTATTGTGAAATTTTTTTCTCCACAAGGTTTGAATGCAGAAGCGATATTGAAGGCCAGGAAAGAACAACCACCACCACCACCGCCAACTCAACCTTATCCAACGACAGTAACAACAAATACAACGTCATATCCAATTCAACAACTACCACCACAACCATATATTCCACCACCAGGTTCGGCATCTATTCACTATTCTCAATTTCCCACGAAACCATCGACAATTCAATATCAAAATTTTACCCCACAATCGCAAACAATTGGTCCAACAGCGAGCTGTCATAATGTTGAGGCAAATCAATTAACAACTGCAGCGACAACAACAACAACAACAACGCAACAACCGCAACAATTTTTAATTCCACAAGCGCCACCTGGATCAAATCCATATCCACCTCAATATGTGCCGCAAATAACAACAATTGCAACATCAAATTATCCATTGGGAACGCCAACGCCAGTACCAGCGCCAGTTCCAATGCCCGTTCCAATGCCAGTGTCGATACCCGTTGTTCCATTACCTGTACCACCGGTTTTTAATACACCACCACCTCCACCACCGTCATCATCATCCTCATCATCAGCATCAGCATCAACGACCCAAAAATCGTTTTTCAATCAACCAGCACCGAGATCGTAACTCTTATTAACATATAGCTTTATTCTAAATTAATTACTTTATTTTTCTTTTTTATTTTTTTAATTGTGTTATTCGAAATCCATACCATTTACAAAAGTCCTAGACTTTTCAAAAAACTAAAATATTCTCTATTTCTAGTACAGTTTATAAAACTTAGAACTTCTCTTTAAATCCTGTACTAGATGTGTACGACCGAAGAAAGTACAATTGTATATTTAATCGAAAGATCTCAAGCTTCCATCATTAATCGAAAGAGAATCGTTCTAATTTTTGATAGAGAAAGAGAGAGAGAGAGAAAATGAAGGTTAAAAAAAATTCTCCGGCCTAAATAAAAAGGCATGAAAAGCAAAAAAAAAAAAAAAAAGAATAAAAGATATATTTCTCATTCCAGTGAAGAGTGTGTTGTGATTGAGGTCGTAATATTCACGACCAAAATAAAGTGCGTCCTCGGGTATCGTGCACTTTTTATGTTCACAAATGTATAATATTGAATTTTCTCTCAAATTATACATTTGTGTACTATTGTTTATACACACATATATAATATAATATATATATATATGGTGCCCTATTACATTAAAAAGTATATAGAATTAATTCCATTTTTTGATAAAAAATGATAGCATGAATTTTTAGTATCGAGAATCAATGAGATCAATCATGGATTTTTGATCTCTGTGTTTAATATTAATATCTAATGTGCACACCTGAGAATTGCACTGTCCATCTTTATCTGTATATATTTCTTTGCATAATGCATAATATGATATAATAATATTAATATTAAGAATAATTAATAAATATAAAGTTATATATGTAATCATAGATTCGACAGATAAAATATAGATCTATAAACGACAAGTAGATAAAAAATAAAAATAGAGGCGCTCTGCTTTTCACTGTTTTTAAATGTTTGCAGAATTGTGTCCCCATCCCCCATAATTCTCTAAAATAAAAAAATTTTATATTTTTCAATTGTAAGATGCCCCACTAATTTAATTGTAATAAATGTAATATTTCAATTAAATTTTTCTTTTCTTTCTTTTTTTTAACATTGATTTCTAGATTAAAGAAAAAAAATCTTTTTAAAAATAAAAATCAAGTATTTTAAATACTGTGGTAGTTTTTTTTGTTTAGAAAAAAGTGACATTTATTCAAGTACAAAAACGACTTTTTGGTACAAAAATTCAAACAGATTCCCCCCCTTAGATATGCAGTCTGCTCTTTGAAAATGCTTTTGATGACTGCAATTTTTTCATATTTTTTTACTTTTGCACATATTGGATGTTTATTGCGTTAAAAACGATAAGATTTGTTCTCCCCCCATCCCCCTATTTTTTTTTCTTTGGGAGGAATTATATTTTTAATTAGAAATCTGTATAAAAAGTAAATTAAGCGCGTCTTTACCCAGTGCATCAAGATTATATTGCCTAAGCAACTAGAAATTAAGGAATGTTTCAGAATAATTATAAATATATATATATATAAACGTTTGTACATGTGTATATAATTAAGTTAGTTATTTAATTAATTATTCTGCTCGAAAAAACAAAACAAAAATGAAACTATTGCAGTATTGGCCAATCTCATTTAAAAAAAAAAATATTTTAATTGAGAAAATATTTGACAGGGATTCGACTATTTTGACAGTAATCGACATTATTACAATCTTCATCATTATTATAATATACGAAATCATTTAATTGGTAAAATAGAGATCACATCACTCTAATTTTAAGATGTTTTCATGAAAAAACGAAGAAAAAAAAATGTTGCAAAGGGATTATTATATAACTTGGACAGGACTATTGTTTCGCCTGGAAAATGCGAGTAAAAAAAAAAGAAAAAAAAATATAGAAATGCAAAGAAATATTTTTTATACTGATTTATTTCGTAAATAAGAAATTTAAAATTAATGAAAAAAAGAAACAAGAAAAAAACTGAGTATTCACGTGAATCTATTTCACTGAAAAATTAATTTTTGTCTTAAAGTATTCCAACATTGTATTTTTTTTTTTTTTTTTTTAAATTATTATATGTTCAAATTTTTTTCAAGTTTCTATTATACTTTTTTTAAAAAAAAATTGGAAACTTTAATTTATTACAAAAAGCAAAAAATGAAAAAAAATAAAAATAAATTTTGTTATATTTAAAAAAAGCGAGCCTGAATAAAATTGGAAAAAAAAATTGTTTTAATGAATTTTATTTGCAAGCATTGTTTTAAAATACTTGACAGTATTTTTTGTATTTTTTTTTTTTAATTAAATACTCTGTAGTCGTTATTTTTTTTAAACAGAAATATTTTGATACTTTCTCGTTGAGAAATATATATTTCTATCTCACGAGTGTGTTATTTCGATACTTTATAATTAACTTGCGAGTCGCACACTTTGAGGACAGTTTAATTGTTACTCTAATTGCTATAAAATATAAATTTTGTACAGCTTTTTTTAATTATTATTATTATCTTCTGTCCTCGGAGTTTTGTAAATATATATATTTAGTAAAATAAATTTAAATATATAAAAAAAAAAATTCTGGTGTCTCGCTTGCAATTTATATCTTCTCGAAATATATAATAATTATCAGAAAAAATAATAAAAAAAAAAGAAAAAAAAATATACATCATTGTGCTCGTATCACCCAGGCTGCCATTTGTATGATTGTATTGATCATCCCTTTAGCAAATTACGAAACCGCTGATTAAAAAAAAGAGCGAATAAAATAATATTTGTTATAAGGTTTCACAAATGAACTGGTTCAAATTAATCGTTTTTCTGTGTTGTACATAAAAACAAAATACTAGCTATGATGATGATTATTATATAATATTAATAATTATATATAGATTGCTATAAATACACGTATATATATAAATATATATACAAATATATATATATATATTCAATTTAAAAAATAGCACCAGGATACATAATTTTTTTATTTGTAATTTTTCTGTTATATGTACGTGCCTAGATATATACTTATTACTTAATATTACACATTGTACTATAATTTAATTCGTACTAAATAATAAGTGAGTTCTCTGATATCAAACACTGATATATAATTATGAATATATTTAGGCATACAAATTTAATAAACGGAATACATTTTACGAATTTAAAAGAAATGTGTTCTTTTTCACTCTTCAACCTGAACCTCGTGTTTGTTTCTTAGTTTCTTTTTTTTTAATAAAAAATTATTTTATTTAAAAATTTTTTAATTTATCAAAAATTTCAAAATCAAATTAAAATATTCGATTTCAAAAACTGAAAATTTGCAAAAAGTGGATTTTTTTTATTTTGCATTTAAAAAAATATGGCAAAATTATTTTTGAAGGGCAAGAAATTATTTGAAAAACGGAAGTTGGCATGAACTGTGAGAATTATATTAAGTGTTATAACTTTCTATTTTATTCGCTATCTATGTAATATAATAATAAGTTAAAAAAGGAAAAATGTCGACTGATATTAAATTAGATGAAATAGCTGTGGAAAATTTTCGTAAATACCTGAGAATTTCTTCGGTACAGCCAGATGTAAATTATGGTAAAAATTCCTCCTCTTTTTCCTTTTTTGTTGTTTTCAATTTGTTCTTTTCCTTAATAACATTTTTTTCAACAGATCATTGTGTGGAATTTATGAAAGAACAGGCTTCAACTTTGAATTTGCCAATTAAAATTATTGAAATAAGTCCCAAAAAGCCAATTATCATTATCACTTGGGAAGGAATAGAACCAGAGAAACCAGCAATTTTACTAAATGGACATATGGATGTGGTTCCCGTATTTTCTGTAAAAAAATTTAATTAATTAGTATTAAATTATAAACTTATAAAAAAAATTAATTTAAATAATTTTTTCAGGATCAATGGACCCATCCACCATTTGATGCGCACATGGATGAGAAAGGAAATATTTTTGGTCGTGGATCACAGGATATGAAAAGTGTAACAATTCAACATATTGAGGCAATTAGACGATTAAAATTAAATGGAATTCGATTGAGACGAACAATACATATTTCACTTATGCCTGATGAAGAAATAGGCGGTGAAAATGGAATGAAAAAATTTATACAAACAAGGGAATTTGAAAATTTGAAAATTTGTTTTGCACTTGACGAAGGCGATTCATCGGCGACTAATAAAATTCTCGTTAGCTATGGTGAAAAAACTTGGTTTCAAATATGGATTCATTGTCCTGGTGATCCTTGTCATGGATCAGTGTTAAGGGATAATACAGCAGGGGAAAAATTACGATTTATTATCGATAAATTTATGGACTTGAGACACTTGGAAAAAATGAAATTAAATAACTCACAAATCACATCTGGTGACGTTATCTCTGTTAATTTAACAATGATAAAGGTATTTTTTTTCTCCTTCTTTGGATTATGTAAGAATAATCTATTTAAAAATTTCTTTTTTTCTTTGTTTATTGATAATAGAAGAATGATAAATTATAAAAATTATAAAAATTTAAAATACTTTATATTATTTAAAAAAAAAATTGTTTAGGGAGGAATCCAAGTAAATGTGGTACCTGACGAATTTTCAGTGGCTTTTGATATTCGCATTCCACCTGGAGTAAATCATGGAGAATTTGAAAATATTATTAAAAACTGGTGTCACGAAGCAGGCGAAGGTGTTCATTATTCAATTATTAATAAAGATCCACCGATTGGTAATACAAAATTAGACGGTAATATTTACTGGCAAACTTTTAAAGAGGTTTGTGATGATTGTAATCTCGAATTAGATTTGTATATTGAACCTGGCGTAACCGATGCTCGTTATCTTCGATCTGTAAGATTTTTCACTAATTTGAAAAAAATTATCATTTTAATTTATCGAATTTTCAATTATTATTACATTTTCAGATTGGAATTCCAGCTCTTGGCTTTTCTCCAATAAATAATACTCCTCCACTTGCTCATGCAAGTAACGAATTTTTAAATAAAAACATTTTTTTACAAGGAATTAAAATATTTATGAAAATTATCACCAATCTAGCTAACTTAAAATAATTTCTCCAAGAAGATAAAAACAATCCAATGATATAAAAAGTATAATTAGAATGTAAAAAATTTTTTATTAAAAATATATAAAATCATATCTTATTTACTTGCATTTATAATTTATTTCAATTATCCTTTACGTTTGATAATAGTTTTTATTTACTATAAAAAGTTCATTGTACTTTTCTATGTATCATAAAGAAAATATATTGACACAAAGATTTAAATCAGTTTATCATAATTATAACCTCAAAAAGTATTATTTTTCTCAACTTTTAAAAAAAATCAATAAAAATGTACCGATTGTTTTGTTATTCATTGTTGTTATCATTAAGTAACCATTTTCTAAACAAAACATATTTAATATCACTTTAAAACCACAAAATGATTAAAACACATCTGACAGTTTATTTGTTCACTTTTAATTTTAAAAACCATGATTGCAGTTTATTTAACGTGGCACGTGACCCCGCGGTAAGAAATTTGATTTTGATTGGTTTAAAATACAATACGTCACATGGCTTGAACAATTCTTATTGGTCAGTATTATAGTATAAAGTCGTCTGCTGTCAGTTTGAGCACGGCGTCCGACGCGACGATCATGACTTCACCAAACCAGACGCAGCTGTCTCAGCTGGATTCGACAGCTGTAGAGAATTTTCGCGAATATTTGCGAATTCCATCGGTTCATCCCAACATCAATTATGGTAAGTCATTATTTTTGAAAGACTTAAAAAAATTTGCCATTTATTCAATAATTTAAAATCATTTTACGGCAGTGTGAATGAAAAAGTTTTAAATTTGATAATCGTGGATGAAACATACTTGCAGTGTTCGCGTACGTGAATGGGGTCGTATCAACGACGCGCTTCCTTGTTAGTTGAAATTATTTTTTATTGACATTCGTTGGGGATTTTAAATGAAGCTTAATTTATTCATAGGGTTCTTTATAAATTGTGTGTGATATTGACAGGAAAAAAAAATCTCTACATTTAATTGTAGAATTTGTGGAAAAAAATGAAAATAAAGTCAAGCGTCAGAGACGCTATCCATAGCCATTGTCTTGCCCCACCCAGAGTGAAAATTTTATTTTTACAAAATTTCGTGTCGAGTCAAATTCATAAATAAGTGGTGAATGACTTTTAATGGAAGTCGTGGAAGAGTCGTCTTCTAATTTGAGAGTTTTGGTGTCAATTTACGAGCCCTTTAAACTAGAGGATTATTGGAGCTTGCAACAAGCAAGGCTAAACACAGAAACCTGTCGATTGCTTGTCGCGTTTTCTACGTGTATACCTCTCTCTTATCGGGATTTTTTTTTCTCCGATAAAAGCCCTATCATTGCCTGCAACATCTTGCAACAAGACGGTATTTTTATGGAAAGTACTTTCGCTGCGTTTGTGATGGGCGTTTCTCGGAAATTCCAGAGAAATCCAATGACGCTTGTTGCCAACGTGAAACGTGAGGTAATTTTTTTTTTTTTTTTGAAAAGAAGTTTATTAACAAATTTTCAAATTTAATTATTTCATTTATTTCATTGAGTGGGGAAAATTTGATCTTTAAATTAGAAAAGAAGGGTTTGAAAAACTTTTGTCAGTTCCAGGGAAACTGATCAATATGTCAGACATGATTTCTTGGTCTGGATTTCATGTAAATTTGTTTTTTCTTCTTTTTTTTTTAAAGCAAAACAGATTGCATTTGTTTTTCGAATGTTTGTGATAAGAATTTTTTTTTATCACTGTAAAGATTTCGAAATTTGTGAGCGTTTACTGTAATGTTTTAGTTTCTAAAGATTATATCACACCTCATTTGGCAATTACATGATTTACATTGATGATGATGACAACAGTAAACAGCATATTGACAAATAATTATGACTCATTTGTCAAACTTGTAAAAAGTCGTATTATTTCTTAGATTGAGAAAAATATTTCTTTTTTCTCAAATGGAAAATTTAATGACACATTCGTGACTGTTTTGCAATTAGATTACTTTAAGGATTAATTACACATGTGTGACTGTTGAAATTACATTGTCATTGAGTATACTTTTTATGGAAATTGAACAGCTTTATCGGAATGATGTAAGCTTCATTTTTGAACGCATTATTTATCAGTATTTTCAAATATTGAACAGTTAAAATTTTACATCGAAATTTATGTTAAAAATATATATATGTGATAAGATAAAAAAGCCAAATGCGTTGATTGCATTTACAAACATTTTAATTGTCAAAGCGATAATTTCCAAATTTTTGGACTTTGATATTTTAATTTTTTTTTTGTTTCTTTCGATTATTTTTTTATTTTTTTAAAATATTTTTATTATTTTTTATTAATATTTAATTTTAAGTTTAAAAAAAAAAATAAATTCTTTTTTTTGAGTTAAATTAATTTGAAAATATTTTTCACAGATGAATGTGTCGGCTTTGTTGAAAGACAAGCAAAATCTCTTGACTTACCAGTCAAAAAATATGAAGTGTTTCCAAAGAATCCAATTTTGGTGCTTACGTGGGAAGGAATGGAACCGGAGAAACCGTCCATACTCTTGAATGGTCACATGGATGTTGTACCCGTTTTTCCTGTAAGTTAAAAAAATCTTGTCATTAACGAGAACAAACAGAATTTAAACAAATTAAATGAAAATATTTAAAAAAATATATTTTGATTTTTTTTTTGCTATTATTAATATATTTTTTTTCTTTTCGTTCTAAATTAGGAATTGTGGACATATCCTCCATTTGACGCCCACATGGACGATGAGGGGAACATTTATGCTCGCGGATCACAGGACATGAAATGCATTAATATTCAATACTTGGAAGCCATACGACGTTTAAAGTTGAATGGCGTTCGTCTCAGGAGAACTGTTCATATTTCTTTTGTGCCCGATGAGGAAAGGGGTGGTGTACTTGGAATGAAAGATTTCGTTAAGACTGAGGATTTTAAAAATTTAAATGTTGGCTTTGCCCTTGATGAAGGAATGGCGAGTCCAAATAATAATTTTCTAATGTTCTATGGTGAACGAAGTATTTGGCAAATGTGGATTAAATGCACTGGAAAACCTGGACATGGTTCTTTAATGCCCGATAATACAGTTGGTGAAAAATTTATGAAAGTTATTGATAAATTCATGGAGTTTAGAGAGAAGGAAAAAAATAGATTACGAAATTCAAATCTCAAAATTGGAGATGTTACTTCTGTCAATTTGACACAAGTTCGGGTAAGTCAAAATAAATAAAACCCTCGAGTATTTAATACAAAAAGTTTTTAAAATCACATAATTCTAAAGAAAGAATTGAAACAGAAGAATGAACAATTAAATGTTTTTTTTGATCAATTTTGAAACTGAAGTAATTTTTTTTCAAAATTCAGGCAAATTATTGTTTTTTGAAAATTGAAATAAATTATTCTACTTATTATTGAGTCCTTTAAAATGCAATTTTACAATTTTTAAAATATTTGTTATTTGCACATAAAATTTATTTTAAACTTTATCAAATTTTCTTTAACAACTAAATGGAATTGCTCTTTTTACTATTTCCATGTCTGTTCCATTATAGGATTAATTAATAATCGGTAAGCAATATATTTTCCTTTTCTACTGAAAATTTTTTTTAGCAACGTTATTTTTTTTACAATTTTTTCTCCTAAAATAAGACAAAAAAAATACCTTTTCTTCTATATTTAAAAAAAATTTTTTCCCCTTTTTTCTTTATTTGTTTACTCTGTTGTTTTTTGTTTATTAAATTATTTTACACTAAAAAGAACTAATTGAATTATTTTTTTTAGGGTGGAGTTCAAATGAATGTGATACCAAGTGAATTGAAAGTGGGCTTTGATATTCGTATTGCAACTGATGTGAATCATGTGGAATTTGAAAAAATGATTCAAAATTGGATTAAAGAAGCTGGAGAGGGAATAAGTTATAGTTTTGAGGAAAAAAATTCATTTGTCGAAAATACAAAATTAGATGCAACAAATCCATTTTGGATGGCTTTTAAAAATACTTGCGAAGCTAATAAAATGACATTGGAATCTGGAATATTCACCGGTGGAACTGATAGTCGTTACATTCGATCTGTAAGTTCGTTATTTAAAATAATTTTTATACTTAAAAGAAAATTTCGATAATTTAAATTGAAAAATTTTAATTATAAAATTAAATATAATCAAATTATATCGTATAATATTTTTTCTATCAAGATAAATTTGAATTAGTTATTTAATGATTTGATTTATTATTATTGATAAATAAAATCAAGTTTTCTTAGATTTAAATAATATTTATATTTTATTTAAATATTAGTTTATGAAATTAAATCATTAATATTATTGTAAATTAACGTTTTCTTTTTTTTAATTTATAGTGTGGAATTCCTGCAATCGGATTTTCGCCAATGAACAATACACCTGTGCTTCTTCACGATAATAATGAATTTTTGAACAAAGATGTCTTTCTACGTGGGATTGAAATTTATATGAAATTAATACCAGCCATTGCCAATGCATAAAGAATATTATCAAATATTATTAAGTAATCAACAAGAAGAATATTACAAATATTTATCTCCTTACTGAAAAGAAAATACATAATTAATTTCAAGTCTACAAAGTGCTATGATAGTAAGCTTTAAATAGATTTTCAAGTCCAAAGATTACGTCCTAATTAAAGTTAATATTCACCGAAAAGAAATACAACTATAAAGGAATATCAATAATGATAAATATATTCTAGATAATTAATTAATTGCTGAAAATTAGCAAGACTGCACCTACAAATATAAAGCAGAAAATATATTACAAAAAGAAATCAACTACAGAAATAGACTGAAAAAAAATGCTTCAAGTATTTATTGAGATTTTATAAAGATGTTATTAATAATTTAAAGATTTCAAGCCTGTTATTAAATTAGAGAATATCAATAATAAACCAATCAGTTTGGGAAATTTTTATTAAAACTCAATGGAAATTTTTTTTTATGGAATCATCATTATTATCATCATGAAGAAGAAAAAAAAGAGTATTTCCAAAAAAAAAGTTTGAAGAACTTCCTACAAACACTGCCAAAGAGATGAAAATAATAGCCATCAAAGTGCAATTGGATTATTAAAAATCATCGATGGATTTAATGAATTTTTATAAGAAATTGCATAAATAAGTACGTTAAATTTGTTATATATATATATATATCTCAGTTATAAAAAAAAGAAAATTGTTGAAAAATATAATTTATACCAGAGTTAACAAAAAAAAAAAGAATATTTATAATATTCCTACAAGAATCTCTACAAGACACCCAAGTGATCTCGAATTCATAAAGTTTGAATTCCGCGAAATTTATTTGATGCGATGATAACAGTGTCGGCATATATAGGCGGCGAGAATAAACGTGACAGTGACCGCGTGTATTTTTTTCCCGGCCTATGTGTGAAAATGTGTGTGCGTTTCCCGCGCGCGCGTGTCCATAAAATTGTGTGTGTACCTTCCCGCCATTATCGTCGAGACAGTGGTCCATTCTTATTTAATCCCCCCCACCATCCCCCCACCCCTTCACAAGTAAAATGGACTCGTCCATCTCTTTCGAACCCGATAAATCTGTCACATTCATATTATAAACAAAGCAAAAGTTAAGGTGAAAATTACTCACGTGTCAATGATAATAATATTTTACAATTTCTTCATTAATTGGAATAATAAAATAAAATAGAAATAGTTAAATATTTCAGTGTTTATAAAGTTAGTGTTGGATTCGGCCATTTTAGTTCGGGGAGTGCCGGGGTACTGACAGGTGCTCCATCTCTCGTGTTACAATTGTTTCTAAATAATTTTCAATGTGATAAAAAGGAAAATTTAATTTTTTAATTAATTTACAAATTTTTGGAATATAATTTATTAGTGTTTTTATTAAAGTGTTGACTATTGAATAATAAAAATATTTTGTCGGCCATGTGCAGTCGCACACCCTGTGAGTATTCGCCAATCGGAACGAGTCACGTGACCTCACTGAGCCAATCAACGAGACGGGATTTGAAATCGTGCGTGGTCTTTGTCTACGAGTCTGCCCGTCAGTTCCGTAAAGAGGGCCGTTTATACATGTCCGTTTATACATGGTCGCTGCCGAAAATCGCATAATTTTCCTGTAAATATATGTGTGAAAGTGATATTTGATCTCAAAGACGACAAACGATTAAGCTCGTCAATCTCACGGTAGGTGTTGTTTTCGTTAAATAATTTCATTCGTGTGATATTTTTTTTTATCTAAAACCGGCGGCAAAATAATCACCCATCGCCGGCCTGTTGGCTTTCGAGTGTTTCTTGTATATGCGAAAGGGGGGAATATGTATTTCATACGAGGAGAGAGAGAGAGAGAGATACGTACTTGTGTATAGGTATATTTAACCAATTTTTTTTTTTTTTTGCAATGCGGGCAGTGTTATTGTTGATGTTATTGTCATAGTTGTGAGAACGTCACGTTGACATTGATCGTAATTTCATCGTTGTGTCTAATGCGTTGAGTGAATTTACATTAAATCCATTTTACCGGCGTGCCGGTATTTTTAGATACAAATTTTTATCAATTTCGTGCATTATTTTTTTTCCTCGTATTTTAACAATGACATATATAATTATATAAAGTGATTTGTGATGGTAAAAATTCCATTGTCTGTCGTTCGGCGAAATTTTCGGCGGGAAGGCACTTATGGCTGTGAAAAAGTAAGACCGACCGTTTTTTATGGCGCGACTTCCGGTCATGTTGAATTTCAGACATTCTCTAAATATTAGTTATTTATATAAAAGTGGAATTTATTTTGAATTTGATTTTTTAATTAAATTATGTTTGATATCCGGTGACATGAGTGAGGTTTTTTTTTTTTTTTATTTTTGTTGAGAAAAGAAGTGATAAAATGGTTGTCTTTTTTCCACGGGGTTCTTTTAATCGGTTAGATAATCCGTAGTACTATTTTTGCCCCCTTCCTTTTCCTTTGTTTATTTATGCAATCGGTTAAGGTGTGATAACGTTTGTACGTCGATATTATTTTTTTAAAACAATATGCACTGTTATGTGATATTTAATGACAGTCTCGCCTTCTGTCTACCTAAGCAATTTTTTTTTTTTTTTTTATCATTTTTCAATATTATTAAAGTGGAGAAAAATTTTTTTATCTTTGGTTAATTGTAATTAGTTTTATTTTTCTAACGTGTCAAAATTATCATAGAAAAAAAATCAAATTTTATGAGAGTTAAAAGTGATTTTTTAAAATTTTTTATGAAAGAATGAAATGATTTATTAAATTGATTTGCAAATTAGTTGATTTTCGTATAGGAAAATAAGATCAGGAATGAGAAGGTAAGAGCTCTTCTTTCTTGCCAAGCCAGAGAGCCGTAGCCGGGAAAAGTTTTGACCGTGGGAACCTTCTGGGAACTCTACCCCTCGCCATATGCCCACCGCAGGAAATACCCGACAACACAGGCCCTAACCGAAATATACCCCGATGCATATTTTCGCCTTGTTCATTCGTTCTTGTCCTTGCATTATTATTTATAAGCGACCTAAATTTTTCGCAACTCGATTTATTTTTCTTGTTAATTTTTTTCTTTTTTTTTTATTGTTATTATTTTACCTTTTTTCGTTCAGGTTGACGCTCTTTTTTAAATTACCGAGAAACCGCTTCCGGCTTGCAAATAGTTTGGTTCAGCGAGTGTATTTCCTTCAGAGATGCCTTGTTCATTAATGTTCAAGGGCACTTGGTAATGACCAGCCTAAATGTGCGATAATAACCAGGTGAAAAAAAAAAATTACTTCTCAGTATATTTACTAAATCGTTTTTCTCCAATTTTTATAATTTTGATTTGTTTTGATAAGGGCGCGTGGGTGTTGGATATTCTAATTTACAATTTTAATTTAATTCAAACAGCAGACAATTGAGCGAAAGCGAGAAGTTTTATAATATACGCCTACGATATAATACAAGTCTTTATATAAACAGTCATGGAAAATAGAGAAATTGATCAAAAAATTTCTTTTCCGGAAATAATGTGTAAAAATGAAATTTTTAAATTGCAATCTATTGTTTCAGTTTTTTTTTTTACTAAATGTTTTTAAATATAATTAGTAATGGGAAAATGTTTTCAAAGATTCTCGAAGTCAAATGTAAGTAATAATAATAATAATAATAATAATAATAATAATAATGAAAAAAAAGTGTAAAATGAAAAGCAACAATGAAAGAGAGTCTGTTGAACCATGTGTTTCTTAGTGTTGTTAAACCCGGTCTCGTGCAACCACATGTACACAAACGTTTACCTTTAGACTTTTTTAAAACAGTCGCGGGATTTGTCTCGTATGAGTCGATGTCCATGTACTGCATTCTACTCTTTTTTTTTTTTTAGGAAGCTGCTCCCGCACGCATTCTAGCCGCCACTTTCACGAGACTTTGATAGTATGTCGCAGACAAAGTCTCGTGCTTTGGTCAGCGAATTTGACAATTTTTTTTTTATTATTACATATTCCAAAAAATAGCAATTTTCATCTTTTTTTTTTTTTTTTTTTTGCTCTGGTATTTGGAATATGAGAAAATATTATAAGATTTAATAAAATATTTTAGAAAAAAATAGATGTGCAACTTTTTTTTAAAATCAGATTTTTTTTAAAGTGAAAATTCAATGACTTGTCGGTATTTTAAATTTGATCTTTGCCCTTGAGCTTTGAAGTTAGAAAAAAAAAATTGTCAAGGTGACATTAGAAAAAGCAAAAATGGTCGAGAAGTAAATGACCCTAAATGACCTTGAGCAGTGGTTGTGGAAAAAGTAACTTTACCGATCGTGTGAGAGAGAGAGAGAAAGAACCTTAGGGGGGTTGAAAGGGTAGTAAAAAGACGATCAATGAACTAAGAATAAATCCAAATTCTCTATATTAAAAAAAAAGGGGAGGCGAATAGTTTTCGAAGATTGAAATTGAGGAAATGTAATTAAATCGATCGATAATAATTAATGTCATATATAGATGGTTGTGCGCTATATCAAAAAGTAACCCCTCTAAATTTTTCAAACGAGTTTTTACTCACCCCTTATGTATATATATATATATATATATATACATACATATATGTGTATGTGTTTCTTTCTGTCTCTCACCCTCTCTGATCTCTTCCCCCTTTTTTCATGGCAAGAGGGTGCAACAGACTGTCTCGCGCAAGTTGGCCCCGCATAGTGGGGATATCAGATCGATACCCTCGCAAACTCACAGAGATGTTGAGAGGTACAGTTGGTCCAATACAGGATGATTCTGGCGCCAATGGAAACGCCCAGACGAAGCGAGCTAAAAAAAATCGAAAATATATTATTTTAGAATAATAATTGTTTTCGTAATTTTTTTTTTTTTTTTTTTTTTTTAATTCAAATAAAATAAAAATTTACACAGATTGTCAACTAAATAGAAAGAAAATTATTTCAAAGAAATAATTGAACAAATATTTATTTCAGATTATTTTGTCTTGATTTTTTATTCATTTATACAGATAATGTTATTTAATTTGCAGATTCATTTATAATATGAATGGCAAAAAATTGCAAAATTTATTCTATTTGATTTTTTCGAAAGTTTTTCACAGAGTCAAAAAATGTGAAATTAGAATTTCATTCTCTGTTTTTTTTTGTATAAAAAGAAACGTGTCAATTCCTGGAATGACGAAAGGTAGATGAGCGTGAGTAGAATGAATATTTGGTTGGAGATTCCTCTTTTTTTTTCTTGAATTGTCGCGCGGGACTTGTTCTTTATTCTAAATTTTTTTTTACGATTGAAAAGTATCTATTCTTTGAGAATTATACTAAAGAGCCGACTAGTCTCATCACTTTCTCCATTAGCATTGGCAGTGATGTCAGACTTATATGGGGATAATTGAAGGACAAAAAGAACTAACGCAAGACAACTTCTTGCTAATCGATTAAAGAAATCCCAAGGAATAATTGATTATTTTGCCGACATTTATTTGATTATAGAAAATAGAGAAAAAAACGACATTCTTAAATAGAAAAAAAAAATAATTTACAAATGTAAAACTTTGCAGTTTTTATTAACGTATGTGTGTGTCATCATCGATCATTGACGATGTTTTGTGTTCCATCGCATAGGCAGTTTTATTAGACTGTTCATTGAATAAAAACAAGACACGACAGAGTGCTTAATGAATTATTTGCGACATAGTCAGGAGCTTCGTTAATGAGGTCAATAGCCCTTAAGACGAGACAGAATATAATTGTGTTATTATTTCTTATAAACTTTCTTTTAAATATTATTCTTTGCAAAATTCTACAGCTATTTTTCTTTTAAGAATTATTTTTCACCCCACGAAAATAAGAAATTCTTTGATTTATTGTTAGGAGGGAAAAAAAAAGGAAAAACACATTTTCTCGTGGGTCGTCACAATTTCTAAAGACAGGTACCGGGCAGTACTTAAAATTCTTAGGATTTGGGTCTTTTCATTTTTGGCTCGTTCCCTGCTAATATCCCTCTACTATCTTTTGGACATACCTGTATTTGAAAATAGATAATAGTGAACCCCCTGCCATCTTTTCACAATGACCAACTACCACTTTTCATGTCCCTCCCACCCAATATACCCTGAAAATGAGTTTTGTAAAAATTTTATTTTACCCTGGTAAATGGACCAACAACAATTATTAGTCAGGTAGAAAATGTACAGGTAGTCATGGCTTCTTGTCTCTATTTCAGTTGGTTTTCAAATTTTCAACGAGACATTTGTTGTTTCTAGCTCTTGAGATTATTATATTCGAAAAAATATTGTTTTTTGCAAAAATTCAATTTCAGTGATTAGTGATTTTCTATTTATTTTGTGAAATATATCTGGAAGTGAAGAAAAGGCCTCGAAGTATGTTGAATATTATATTATTTATAATTATATTGTTGAACAAGAAACGTGAGAATCGTCTTTCCATTTTCTAAGAAGGGCTATATTAGTTTTTCAACCGAACGCTTCAACATTTGCGCCGAGGAAGTGACGATCGTTAAATATTTTAATTTCTTTTGCCGGGAGTTCCATTTTCTTCCCTCGCTTTATAATTATAATAACTTCCCAAATGTACCTTGAAATTCTAAAACGAGAATATTTTTTTTTTTCGAAAAACAATTTATGAAAATATTCCAATGAGAAAAATTAAATTTTATTAAATAAATTCCTAAAGAGAATATTTCGTGGTTAAGAGGGGGTAAAAAATATGATTAATTAGATTTACTTTAATCAGGTATTGAAATTTGGAGATTGATGTGTATCTGGCTGGATTGAGAATACACAGCCAGAAACCCCAGTTCAGATTCAATTCACTTCATAAGCGAGATCCCGAATGGAAACCGGTTTCGAGATCACAAAGAAACCCGCTTTACTCCGGCATGGCCGTCCAATCCTGACGTTCTCTGACTCTCGAGTATTTACAAAAAATGTTTATTCGTCATTGGCATCTGTTGTATTTGAAAATGTGGCTGTATTTTTTTTTTTAAACTTTCTTTTTCTCCAATTTTCATTGTTAAAATTATTTTTTATTATTATTTTCAATTTCCTGTTGTTTTTCTAGTTTGCAAAATTTTTTTATTTTGATACAGCACTGCGCCAAGTACCGATTGTTTCGACAGGCCTGCATGGACTTTTGAAAGTACCGAGTGAAAGGGAAATCCTGCCGATTATTGTGTTCTGATATTGTGATTACCTCTGGGTTATTTAATAACAGTGCTGATAATTTCAAACACAGAGAGATATATACAGACTATTTTTCTGCCAGGGTCATTTGCGGACAAAACGAAACAGCATCTCGGAATTTTGTTTTTGCAACTTCTATTATATTTTCTAGAAAATGATTCTTGAATGTTAGAAAAAAATTGCCAATTTGGATTGATAAATTGAAACGAAAAAATAATTTGAATTTTTAATGGAATTTTGGTTTGTTCCAATTCAAAAACTGTGTGAAATTCCAGAGTCTTGTTAAAATATTCGATATTTTGTTGGTTCAGGGTCGAATGAGATATTCGAAACCTATATATGTATATAATATGTTATAAGCCATGGTAACTATTTAGCTCATTGGACTACCTCTTTATGACCTGCGAAGGATTTCAGGCCTTAAATATAGCTTGAGGGTCTCATCTTTTGATTTTTGGGTTCTTCCTGGAAATGTGGTCGCGGTTTATTATTTTAATCTTCTCTAGGTTGTATAAAAATTTGCAAATCATCATAGGACCATTTGAATTTAAAAAATTTTTCTTTTTGTGTTTCCATTCTCGTCAATTTTTCTGCAACTCGTAACTATTTCTGGAAAATTAATAAAAATAATTATTAATATTTAAATAATAATTTTTTGTTAACAAATTATTTTTTTTTGGTAAAAAAAAAAAATGAGTGAATAGAAGAAGATAAGCGCGGTGTACCAAGTGAATGGTAAAAAACAATTGTTAAAAAATTCAAGCAGAGAATGAGGTATTTTTGCCTGTAAATTCGTTGCCTTTTGTTCCAGCGCGCCAAGTGGAACGACCGTTTGATACCGTGCGATATTAGTAGGGGCGAAGCGCGGGTATACTATATACTTTTTCAAGGCTGTTTCTTCGTCGTGCCTCTCGGTCAAGTTTTCGCTAAAGACATTGAAGACTGAAGAGAGCTTCTCAGGAACGTGCTCAGCTTCATCTATTCCCCCATTCACTGTCTTCTATTCACAATTTTTTTTTTTTTTTATTACATATCTTCAATAAAAAGCGGAAATATTTTTCGAATTTCCAAAAATTCATCTTAATTTATCCAAATTTTCTTTAAAAATCAATTTTTATTTTTATTTATTTTATAATCGCAACAGTTTCTATTTCCGATTACGATAATTAAATTTTTTTATTTTATCAACGAAAAAAGATTCTATTATGAATGAAGTAGTTTTTTTTCCATTCTTAAGTAATTTCCGAGAAAGAAAGCGAGTTGGAAAAGAATTGAGAATTTTTTTTTCTTTTTCTTTTATTCTCTCTGTCCATTTCCACTCTACTTTTCTGTCTCATTCAAGTTTCTTGATTTTATCTGTCATAATTATAGATTCCGAAGGCCAAAAGTTTCGTAGAAAATTGTTGTGTTTTTTTTTTTATTCAACCCTCTTTTTTTGTGGACTCAGGAAGAAGATGGAATTCTGGGCAGATGTTGATCTGATGGTTATTTGAAACGAGGGTGGTATATATGTTTAGGGAAACTGGTTTTCCGGTTTGATGCCTTAATATATTCATATTTACTAAAGTTAAAAAGGTGATTTTTAATTTTTTTCGAAAGTAAATAAAATTTTTCATAAAATACAAAAAAAATTAATTAATTTCGGGACTATTTGTTTTTCCTATTCATAGATTTAGTTAAATAAAAATTGCAATTAAACTAGTGATAATTCTGTTAATTCGTTAAATAACACATTAAAATTGTATGAAAGAGAAAAAAAAATGCATTTCCTGTCGAGATGATTCAGAGAAAATAAATTGTCGATAAATTTAACAAATTAAACTCTTCAAATAATTTGAACTTTTCATCGAAAATTAATAAAATGAATCATTTGTACAGAATAATTCTTTTTTTTTTCTGCAATAATTTGAATCCTTGCATTTGAAACTTTATATAAATGGTATTATAACAAGGGATGACGTTCATCAAGTACATAATCACCGCCACATTGCCTTCAATTTGAATCTGGCTTCATTCAAGATACATATACAAAATACTCGCTGAAAGAAAGATTTTTAGCTCTTGAATTTTTTTTTTACAATTTTTATTTTCCATCTGTTTCGAATGTGTGAGCGCGGAGTCTATCTGTCTGTCTGTCTCTCTAAAAATGCATATGTGTATGCATTACGGGATGTTTGGTCTCGTTCAAGAAACACATTCATCCCCACTTTTAAACACATATCTCTCATTCTCGTATATATATATGTATATGTCCATTTCTTTTTCCTTGTTTTGGTGTCGAGAATTCTCATTGACTGAGATTAGCTTATCTTCGTATACTCATGTGGCGTGTTAACATCGCCTCACACTTTAATCGTTTGCGATTCTCTAGGTCGTTGTTCGATCTCCCCTTTTGTATTTTTTTTCTCCTCTTTTTATTTTAATTCTAATCAAAATGTTGAAATATCGGAAGAGAACTCACTCTAATCGCAAATAATTGAGCAATTTTAATATTTTCTTCTCATTAAGATTTATATAATATTAAATTTTCGATTTTCTTATCGAATTTATCTTTTTTTCTGGATTTGATAAGCCATAGGTATTTGTTTTTCTTTTTTCTAATTTTAGATATAATATTTTCTTGAAATTGTAATGAGATTTAGGTTTTATATATTTTACATGGATTAAGTGAGTGTGTGATGATAATTTGTATAGCGCAAATTACAAAGCAGACAATGTATATGTTGAATTACAAAGTAGGAGGCGATTTGCTATTCAAATTATAAATTATAAACTGCCATTGTAATTTACTGGAGTTTGGTCTTATTTTCCTTTTTTTTTCTTCGAGCGCAATGTACTTGAACGAACAACTCCACCTTTGTATTTCTTTTTTCCCATATTTTTTTTTTGTCTTGAAATAAAAATTTTCATATTAAAATTTTATTTCTAAATTTTATATGGGTAAAATATTTTATAAAAATTTTAATTATAAATAATATTTGGCTTTAATAAAAAAAATATTTACTTGGCTTTAAAAAAAATTGTTAAATTTTTGAAAATTAAAAATTTTTAAATATAAAAATTAAAAAAAATAAATTTAAAAATAGAGTGCGACGAATTCGCAGATAGGGGGACTTATAATCCGTAACAAACATGAATGTCCTCGTGTATACAATAAAATGCGCAATTCTGTTCAGTAATAGTTAATAGTTGATGCAACACATTAACAAAAAGAAACTCAAGCAGGGTCAGTTCTGCAGCTGATAATTTAGTATGCGTAGTAGGCCATCGTTTCTACACCGGTTTCTTTTATATATATATTTATATAAATATACATATATATATAATACTATTTAACATATTTGTATAGTCGTATTGGTTTCTCTCTCAGCGAGTCACTCGACAAGAGAGTATGCCGGAGTACTACTACTACAACTACTACTACTTCTCCTCACGTTCTATAGTAAATCGGCTATAGTATTATGAGTCAGTCACACCCACAAGCTGGTTGTGGGTTCAAGACCCTCGTTGTACGCTCACATTCACTGAGCTCCTCACGCGAGGTCACACAAGCAGAAATTGCCTGCTTGAGAAACTATTGCCCTTGCCTTCCAAAGATATAGAGCCTGCAAAGATTGTCCGCGAGAGTCTATATACTAAATAAGAAAAGCGATATCTAATCGCTACGATGAGCAAATTTTGAAACGACTTTCAAAATTATTTTGTCCTTTTTTTTTTCTTTTTTCCAATTTTGCATTTCTGAAATAAAAAATTAATAATTAATAAATAATAATAATTATTATGGGTTGAAAAAAGCGTGTTTTTTTTTGGCTACTTTCGCTCTTCACCTTGAAGTCTCTCTCTCTTTTTCTCAAGGCTGAACTTTGAGTTCTTTTTAAAGATTAAGGTTGTAGAAATAAAAAAAAAATGACAAATTTTGCAAAAAGAAAAAATTGGGAATTTAACTAATTTTTTTTTTTTTCTAAATTACAGTTGCGTGAATGTTGGATACAGAGAGTAGAGGCACTGGGCTAGATCAGGGACCAACGAGGGACCCTTGGCTCACAATGGATTATTATTTAGGAAGTGATAGCCTATCTCTTCAAGAGATGCTGGACGTCGATATTAAATCAGAAATCGAGGGAGTTATTGGCGGTCATACGGAACTAGGATTCAGCTTCACGGATCTATCGCCCCTAGAATTAGATGACGATCCAGTTGGATGTCATGGTGAGCTTAATGGATGGTTCGGCGGCCACACATGTCTATTAAACGGAAACAGCAATAGCTCCAATAGGTAAGAATCGTCATTTTCAAAACAATTTTTTTTCAATTTTTTTTTGAATACAAATTCTTTTTATTTTACAGTAATTTTAATCTTGATCTCAGCGGTGGTGATGCAACAACAATAATGGTAAATCCAAATTCAGTAATGCCACACATGGCAGTAAGAAGTCCATCACCTCGAAGGCATTTTTCATTCTCCCCAACACATGAAATAAAAGAAGAAAAAGTCGATGTCGATGATGATAATGAATTATTGGAATTTGAAAATGATTATGACAATGATAATGGTGAGGAAAATGAAAATGATGATAATGACACTGAAACGGAACAATATGTTGATGATATCACAGAGACAGAAGATGATTATGATGATGATGAAGAGGAGGAAGTTCAACAACAAAAACCAACACCAACAACAGTAACACCAACGATAAAATCGAAATCATTAATATTGCCAACAACAACAATAAAAACAATGTCACCACAAATTGCAAAATCGCATACAATGCCAAAAATGAATGTTGGCAGTATAAGAGTACAAAATTATAAAGTTATACAAAATCAAAATCAAACATCATCACATGTGAGAAAACAAATTTACAATAATAATGTTCATGTCAATAGTTCGAATTCAACTGCCGTACAAACAAAAAGGGATAAAGATTTTGATCTATCGGATTATGATGATAAACCATATCCAAAACCAGCGTATTCCTATTCATGTTTAATAGCAATGGCCTTAAAAAATAGTCAAACGGGATCACTTCCCGTGTCTGAAATTTACAACTTCATGTGGTGAGTATGAAATTTTTATCTTTTTTTTCTCTTCAAAATTTGAAAATATTTAATTAAAAAAAAATTAAGGGAATTAAAGAATTTACTTTAGTGTTTTATATATATATATATATATTTTTTTTTTTACTAATTTAAATGATAGGGTAAAAGCGCGATGAAACCCTCGTACTAAAAAGGAACATACATTGAAAGGGGGGAAAAGTATTGTCCTTCCATCTTTATTTCCAACTTGTGTGTGAAGAGGTAGGGAGGGGGGAGCTGCCATTTTGTATAGGGCCCTTGGAGCACCAGGTGCATGCAGGGGTACAGTCCCCCTAGAAATTCGAGACCCCTCTCTTTGTTTATTCCACGGACCAGACTCTGTACAGTGTTGCCTAAGATGCTAACAATATTCAGATTATTCAATAATATTTTATTTAATCTCTCGCTTTAAAAAAAAAGAAAAAATAATTTACAAAAAATATAAAGCAATTTTTTTTTATCTAATTACAATAAATAAAATTCTTTTGAAAATTATAATTTTAAAAAATATAACATTTTCGTAATTAAAAAATTAATATTAATTAAAAAGTTTATTGAATTTTTTTTTTTTTTTGCAGCGAGCACTTTCCGTACTTCAAAACAGCGCCAAACGGATGGAAGAATTCGGTGAGGCATAATTTGTCATTGAACAAGTGCTTTGAAAAAATTGAAAAACCAGCAGGAAATGGAAACCAAAGGAAGGGCTGCCTCTGGGCAATAAATCCCGATAAAGTCGCAAAAATGGATGAGGAAGTGCAAAAATGGAGTCGAAAAGATCCGCTCGCTATTAAAAAGGCAATGATTTATCCCGATCATTTGGAATTACTTGAACGTGGTGAAATGAAATATGCCAGTAATGGCGATTTATCGGCGGAAGAATCGGAAAGTTCAGGTGATGAAACAGCTGAAGAGAGTCCAGCATACGATGAACCGGTACATAATCATGTGGCTGCCAATTCAGTGACTGACAGCTATGACGAGAGTAGTCAGGATATTGATATCACTGAACATCTTTACGATGAAATTGACATCGAGGATAATAAAGAAGCCCTGCATATGCAATTAAATATCACTAAACAAGAATCATTTGATTATGAATTGAGTCCAAGTGCAAAGAGGCAAAAAACAATAACCGGAACTCTACAGGGAAATTATGTATATCAACCAGTGTCATCATCGCGAAGAAAAACGCCTTTATTATTACGACCTGGTGCCACCACAGGTTCTTTTCTTAAAATCGAATAAGTTTAGGTATCACTTTATATTATTTTTTTCTTCTAATATCTACAGCGCCAAAAGTCTCTGAAACTCTTCAGCGATCACGATTTAAAAAAAAAAATCTCTCGAGAATCGAAAAAATGTTCTCTGAATTATAATATTCAAATAATTTTTTGTTTCGTGTTAACTTGGCCTAAATCATGAAAATTTCAAAAGTTATCCTTTTGATAAATATTTACGAATTTTTTTCCAAAAAAAAGTATTTCCTACATTTTTAGAATGTATTGAAACAAATACAATTATTAAAAGAAAGAAATTTCATGAAGAATTTGTCCAAAATTTATCCTCGAAAATACGCTTTTTCGAGGAAATAAATTTCTAAACGACATTTTTCGATAAAAAAAAGTCAAATTTTTTTTTGTTTAGAATAATATAAAAAAAAAAATGTTCGGTGATGATTTGTTGTGACTTTATATATAAAGAAAAATTATTTTGTAAAAAATAAACCAAGTAAATATTATTTTATTAAATAATTTTGTATAAAAAAAAAAGAAAATGAAAGATAAAAGTATGTGATCCATACAATTTTTATTATTATTATTTTTTTCTCTATTATAACCGTAATAGGCGCATAATTTTTAATACAAACATTTTTTGTACGATGACTTAGAATTTAATTCAAGCCTTTTTCACGAAAATATTCGTGAAATCGATTAGACAAAATGAATAAGGGATGGTAGTTCGATATGTGATAAAGAAAAAAAAAGAAAAAAAAATTAAAATACACCTAAAATAGATAGACTATTTTTTACCATGCAACTACATTATTTTTTTTAGTTCAAAAAGGGGGGAAAAAACCGTGATTTTTGAATATAAACACTTTCAATTATTATGCCGGAATTAAATCCAAGAATTGCCGAAATTTAATTGTAAGAAAATTAAAAGAAAGTGAAAAAAAGCTAGAGAAATGAAAATTTCAAAGTGCGAATCAAGTTTTTTTAGTGAGATTCCTGAGAGTTTTGTGTCTTTTGGAAATATATAGTATATATATATATAGAAATATATAAATGGATAAAAACAAAAAAAGTGTATGTTGAGTGTGAATTTTCGTTGAGCAACGACTTTCTTTAACTATATATAGTTTCGCGAAATGTATAGTCGCAAATTACGGACAAGGATATAATTAATGTAAAGGATTAGGCAAATGCCAATTTATCCTAATTTTTACTAAACAAAAATAGGATATTATTACCCTTGTAAATGGTATTTCATATTTGTACTGAAAAATTCTCGAACGAACCGAGATGATCTTTATATAAAAAAAACAAACAAACAAACAAACAAACCTAATTTGATAAGTATTTGGTCATTTTGATGGCCAGACTGATAATTATACTTTTTTACACGCTGCTGGACTAAGTAATTAAATGTAAATGTCTCTAACAATTGTATGCCTGACCGAATATATAGGAAACTTAGATCCACATAAAAAAAAGTACAAAAGGATACAACTAGAGGAATCTGAATTGTAAAATTTTGTAGTATAATCAAGAATAATGTGCTTCTAGTTTATATATTTAGTAGTTTGAAATCCATCTTTTTAGGTCAGTGAAATTTAAAGAAAGAAAAAAAGGAAAAAAAAAAGGTTTCACGAGATCTTTAAAAAGAAAAAAAATAAGTCCTTCCGCCTACGAAACTACTTAACTTTTTATTAATCGTATACTAGTGTGAATTACCTCGACTATTTAACCGCATTACGAGTTATGACTGTCAGGATAGGAATGTGCGTATCTGTCTTTTAAAATTGACAGATTTTTTTCATTTTTTTTTTTTTTTTTTTTTTTTTTTTTTTAAGGAGTCCAACGCAGTATTGGAAGTTCTTGTCAGAATATGATTATTAAAGAGTGCTGCTACGTATTAGTAAATTAGGGAACTGTATAATTGTATATAAAAAAAGACCCATCTTATTTCTTTCGAATTCGTAGGCCGATTAATTTTGACCTTTATTCTACATTTGTCCCAAACTAGAAACAAAACAAAAAAAAACATTGTATTCTCTATATTTAGCTATATTTTTTGCATTTATTGCAAATTATCATCGCATTATGTAATTTAAGAAGTTTCTTTCATGTTTGCATTTATTTTTTTCATCGTCGCTTTTTTGTGTTCATTATTTGAAATCCGATATATATTTTTGCTCTCAGGTATATATTAATCCCAACCTTACGGAAAATAAAAAAAAACAACACATTTGTAGGATCAGAAATGGGACCAATGTCATATAATATTTTTAAGTTCGATAAGTTTCTTTCCGTTTCATTTTAAATTTAAGCTAGATCTGAACGCTTTAATAAATAAGTTTTTTGTATAGGGCAGTCTTGTAAATATGTTTTTTTTTCGTTTTTAGAATAAAATATCGATAGCTTTTAATTTATGCCTCTTTCAATAAATGCGTAAAAGTTTTGCTATACATGCTTTTGTGTACAAAACAAAAATGTTTTTCTTTTTCTTTTTAGAGAATTGGTCTCAAAAAATAACTTGAAATGAAAATATTTTTCCTGTTAAATGAACAAAATCTATATTGGCGGTGTGTGTTTTTTTTAATATTGTATGTGATTTATTAAAAAAAATCTGACACACAACACTGCCAAGTATGTAATAATTCAATTTCTTTTTTACAATATAAACATAAAATTAAAACAAATTTAATGAGTATGAACAAATTCAATAAATGTTCGATAAATTAAATTTTGTAAAATTAAATTTTAAAAAAAGAACATTCTAGTGGACAATCGATAAAACCGTAAAATTACAATTTTTCATTAATTGAAGTTTAGATTCTATATACAAATATATGAATTAGCTTACAATTTTTTATATAAAAAAAAATAAATTACGAGGTTTACAACTTATTATAAAAGTAAAATATGCGCAATGTATTAGAAAATGATGACAGTAACAATACCGAAATAAAATATAAAAAAAAAGTAGAATAGTTTTTGTACACATTTCTATACTTATACTTAGAACAAGTAACAAATTTCAATTATTACACTACATGTGCAATGAAATTCAACAATAAAATGTCAGTAAGTGTAAAAATTTAGTTTTTATTTTTTACCTTCATCATTATTGCAATTAGTTTTGAAAAAATATTTAATGTATTCCAATTTTAAAATAGTTAATTTTTTTATTTTCATTTTATTTATTCATAATCATTAAATTGTGATTTAATTTTTAGATATTGAAGATAAACAAAAAATTTAAAAAAATTTTAAATTAGTACCTGATTTGTCTCAAAAGCGCAATCGGTAATTTCTTTGTAACCTCAAAATATATAATTCTCCAAAAAATGGAATTATACAAAATTAATCATTATTTTTGCACTGCTTTTTTTTAAATTCAATCTTAAAGCTGAATAGTCTTTTCTAAACAAAGAATATTTGTTTGATTTTTAATATTTCGGGAGAAATCGAAAAAAACGTTTTAGAAAATAAGTTTTGTCCACTGTTGAGATAAACCAATCAGAAATAACTTGTTTTTGACTTCATAGAGTAGGTAAATTTAAAAAGTAATTTAAAAAAAAGTTGAAGCAGTTATAATTAATTAATTATAACAATTACAACTTCATTTTTTTAAATTTAATCATAAAACAATGAATTAAACTTTTATTTTTATAAATTATATTTTATTTATCTTTATAAATTAAAGTTTATTTATATCTAAAATAAAAATTAACTAAAAGTACATAATATAAATGTGAACTATATACAATATAGTATCTTGAACCGAAATCTTGAAATACCCATTGTTTATCCTTTTTTTAAAATCATGTTTAGGACAATAATCATCTCGTACTGAATATCTGCAAGTAATTAAATTAAATTAATATTTAATATTAAAATTGTGACATTAAATTTAAAAATTTGTCAGTCCAAAAATAATAGTTACCTTTATTTTTATCGAAAAAAATAATTTTTCATCCAGAATTTGGGAATTTATAAGTCGACATTATTTAAATTTGCTGATGATCCAGATGGCAAATCGGAGGATACAAATTTACCAATTGGTTGCATGGCTTTTCGTTGTTCGGCTAATTTTTTCATTTCTTGTTTCAATTTTCCCAAAATTGCATGATTCGGTTGATTAACGGTCGCCTTACCCTGAAGCAATGTTATCTCCTGTTCCAATTGTTTTTTCTCTTTAAATGTCTTGACACTACGTGAACCATAGAGCCTGAGTAATGAACCCCATGAATGAATATGTGGATGTAATCGTTGTAATATTTCTTGTGCTGCACGTTGTTTACCATCTTTTTTATTACGACAAACAACAGTTACCTCATGTTTACCAACACGCATTGTAAATTCATTTCTTTGGTGTTTCAATGTATTCACTGAATAATCAATTTGCATATCACCTTGTCCAAAATTTCTCTGCAAACAAGTAATTAAAATTGCATGCGGCGATGGTTCTGTTGTTTTTGCACAAAATTCAGCGACACGCGGATCAGTTATTGATATTTCATCAAAAAATGAAAGATCAGCGTCTGAATCGCCTTTAGATGCTTTTATTGCCCAGCCAGCGTTTGATGATACACCATCGGTATTTGAATCACCTGATATTTTATCCTTCATTTGTGGTATTAGAATTTCAAGTGTTTTACGTGCTGCATTTGCTTTCGCTTGTTTCTTACTACTACCAAAACCATAACCATATTCCATTTCATTGATACAAACAACTGCTGAATATGGTGTTGCGGCATTTTCCAATTCTTTGAAACGATATGTGGGTTGTTTTTTAAGTGCATGCTGAACATATTCATGTAAAATGCAAACATAGCTTTTACCCGATGGATTCATTATCCAATGTTTTGGTGGACGTGCACCACCGCTACAATCCTGTTCATTTGAATCATTATTTCCCGATGTTGTTGAACTTGCTATGGGAAATGTTATTAATTTCGTACCATCGGGTAATGTTGGCCTTTCCAATTGTTTTCTATGTTTTTTACTTTTTGTAAATTTTCTCCTCGCCGACCACGATTGAAATCTCATGACTTTTATTGATTTAAAACGAAACATACTTAGACAATATTTTCTCAATTGTTCACTATCTAGTGAATGAGCTGCACGATTTTCTTGAACAGTTTCAATTTTTGCACTAGGTAAATTACATGTATCAGTGACGGATGTTTGTTCCTTTTCTTTTTCTTCTTGTTCCTCTTGAAGTGCTCTTTTATATTGTAAACAAGGAACTGCACTCACTGGTACCTCGTGTTTTCTCACACTTCCCGCACCGAGAAAATATGGTTTTGACAATGTACAAACACGTGAATGTTTATGTAAATAAAGTGGCATTCCACTATTATGTGTCACTTGAACCCATCCTTCGGGAAGAACATCAAAATGATTGTGTCCAATTTCATCCAATACAAGTTTTTCCTTCTCCTCATATGGTACAAAATCCTTGCATCCTTTTCTTTTTTTCCGAAATTCTTCTGGAAGACTTTCTTCCAACATTGCTTCAATTTCTTCATCAGGCACATCAGAATCACTACTTTCATTTGCATAAGTATCCGAATCGGTTGTACTTTCCTCTCTATGTCGATCTAAATCGTCAAGAACGTCAAATTGTCTCAATTCATCTTCCATTGGCATATTATTATCATTCAAAGAAATATCATTTTCATCCATACAAATATCCTTGGTAAAATCATCTTGAATATTATTAACATTATTTGAAATACACTGTACATTATTTTCTTTTTCTAAATTATTGTCATTTGTTTCTTGAATATTATTCACAGTGTTTTGTGTACAACTTTTATTACACAAAATAACCTGTGAGTTATTTTCCTCAATAGATATTATATTTGTTGTATTAATTGCACTGAGATTTTCTTCTTCCACTTCCATTTTAATTAAACAAATGTCTTATTAATTTTCACTCAAAATATTAACAATTATATTCACACTAAAATATACTGCAAAAACTCGTATAACTTTTAGGTTATATACGATCGGAGAAAATGTGACGTCACTTGTTGTTGAGTTACTGCGCAAACGCAAGCAGACGACGCAAAGTTTGTAAATAACAGTGTGTAAACGTCAAATAAATTTGTTTATTTCATTTTTTCATAAAAAACGAATATTAAATTATATAAAAAATAATTTTCTGTTGTATTTTCAATATAGATAACTAATATTAAAAAAAAAATTCTAAATTTTATCATTATAGGTATGATATTAGAGCAATTTTTATAAAACCTAACCTATAAATAAATTATTGTTTTTAATAAATTAAATTGGTTATTAGATTATTAAATTATCTATTCTTTTCAGAAATGTCTGATAAAGAGGAATCTGTACCCAAAATAGAATTTAAGAAAAAATCACGTAAACCTCTCAGAAAAAGAGAACAATTAAACGAAGAAGAAATTGACGACGATGACGATAATACTTTAAGGTATATATATTATTAATTCTATTTATAATTTTCCATTTGTAATTGTGATATAATTCTATTTAGAGAGAAATTGGAGGAATTGAAAACAATTCAAAAACTTCGACAAAGAACTAATGGTGTGAAAATTGATCCAGATTTTACGGGAGAAAAAATAACTACTGAAGCACCAGGGGTATGAATTTAATTTTCTATCAATTTATAACTAATTATGATTAATTAATTAAATATTTTTTACTTTACAGTCAGATCCATTTAATGTTAAAGCAGGAGGAATGGTAAATATGGCAGCTTTGAAAAATGCTAAAATAAAACAAAACGATGCTTATGAAACAGGAATAGGAACACAATTTAATGCAGAGACTAATAAACGCGATGAAGATGAAGAAATGTTAGTTAATTGATAAATAAAAACATATTTTTGTATAAAAATAGAAAATAATTTTTTTTTTTAATTTAACAGGGTTAAATATATAGAAGAGCATCTATCTAAAAGAAAACGCATCAATAAAGAAGAATCAGAAGCTAATATAACAAATGAAGGTGTCTATTGTTCACCAGAAGATGCAGCTCTTCAAGCAGTTCCTGATCATTTAAGACAAAGTTCTACATACAGAAGCGAAGAGATGCTTTCAAATCAAATGCTTTCTGGAATTCCAGAAGTTGATCTCGGCATTGAGTAAGTTATTTTAAAATTTTGTGTAGGTAAATTGATCACAATTCAATTAATTTTTACAATTTTACCTTCAGGGCAAAAATAAAAAATATTGAAGCAACAGAAGAGGCGAAATTAAAACTCCTTTGGGATCGTCATAGAAAAAAAGATGGACCCTCACAATTTGTCCCTACAAACATGGCAGTTAATTTTGTTCAGCATAATAGATGTAAGTTTCTTTTACTTAAAAGAAAACTTGAAAATTTAACCAAAGGACATCGTATTGTTAAATAATAAATAATAACAAAAATTTTTCTTTTAGTTAATATCGAAGTTTCTGATGTTCAAAAAAATAAAAATAATTCACGAGAACATAGACAACCTAATTCATCATCGGCAATGACTTCAAAAGAAAAGAGAAAAGAAGCAGAAGATAAAGCAACGGATGATTATCATTATGAAAGATTTAAGAAACAATTCAGAAGATTTTAATTATAGACGCGCTTTTACAAAAATAATTGTCTTCATTTTTGTAAATATGAAAAATAGAAATGACATTTTATTTAATTTTTTTCTATGTGTACGATTTTGTTTTAAAAAAAAGTTAATTTAATAATAAAGTTTTTTTAAATTTCTAAATGCATTTATATGATTGTATAGGGGTGAAAAGGTTAATTTAATTTTACAATGCGCTATTGATGCGAATTTTTTCAAATACACAGAAGCCCCAAAAGAACAGATAGTTAAATCCGCCAAGCAGAAATATATATATACATACATAAACTTTTTGTCCTACTTTATTTCCCTGAAAACTTTTTAATGTCTATAAAATTGATTATATTACAATGAGGTGTTTGTTAATTTTCTTTCTAAAGGACTATTTAAAATTTAACACCTATTCTTTGATTATAAGTAAAAAATAATTAATTAATTTATTATTAATAAAACAAATTATAAATTTGTCAATTAATATTAAAATTACAAAAAAGAATCTTTTTAAAATTCAAATTAAAAAACCAATAAAAATAAATAATTTTTGTTTTTATAAGGAAAACATTACGTATTCGTTTTGAAGATTTTAATCAATTACATAATTATAAATGCAAAATGAATATTGTGCTCTTCCCATAAGCAAGGACGTAATATTTTTCTATGGGACCCCTTAATATTATTTTAAAACTTTTATAACTTTTTATCAATGAAATTTTTTCTAACTTTTTTTAAAATTTTTTGCCCTTTTTCTAAACCAAAACAAAGAATTCGAAAATTTTAATTAGCATATTAATTGACAAATTAATTTCAAGAGTAAATTTTTTCAATTATTACACGTTCCTGACCATACTACGACGCCCATGTTTGACAGCGACTCTGGCGCTGTGTAAACGCGACCAAACACAACTAAAGTAACAGCTCATCTGTGTATATTATCGCTTACTAGGAATCTTTTTCTATTAGTCATTTTCAATATTGACAATTAGGCAAATTGTCAAAGTGTGTGTAATTGTGTGAAATTGTTTTCTTTGCATTTAAATAATCTATATTGTTATAGCTATTAGCAATGGATACTTGTGGATTTGTTACCTGTGGTCCAAATGAAGCTCTCGTTGTATCAGGTAATTTTTTTTCACTTCTATAATTGTAGAAATAAAAACCGGCTTTGTCAATGAATTGTTTGTATTGCCTGCTTTAATTATGACATTTTAGGAGGGGTCCAATTTCTGTAACAAAAAAAGAAATTTGATTAATATTAATTAGTCGATTGGAGTATTATCTTTTATATTATATCAATTTTTTTTCTAAGAATTTATGATCTAATTTCTAATCTAGTTTTGTAATTGTGCAATATTTGTCAAAATCAGAATTATTTTGACATTCGCTTCAGAGTATAGAAATTATTATTTTGAACTTCTGCTGCGAATGTAAATAAAATTTTATTAAAAAAAAAAAAAAAAAAATGCATGAGCATGATTCATATTTACGTTTCGAGCATATAATTGAAAATTTAATTTTAAAAATAGGATGCTGTTATGGAAAACCATTATTGGTTCCTGGCGGACGAGTTTTTGTTTGGCCAATTGTTCAACAAGTTCAAAAGTGAGTTTAAATTCAAACTATAAAGTTTTTAATTTTCTAATGAAAAGTAAATAATTCTTAATGTAATTAATTTTAGGATCTCTCTAAATACAATGACATTACAAGTGGAAAGCCCCACTGTTTATACTTGCCAAGGGGTACCAATATCAGTAACTGGTATAGCACAGGTAAAGAAAATGAAAGAAAATATTTATCAAATTTTTTAAATAAACTAATTTTTTTAATAATTTTTTTAAGGTAAAAATTCAAGGACAAAATGAAGAAATGTTATCAACAGCTTGTGAACAATTTTTGGGAAAATCTCAGGATGAAATTCACAATATTGCTTTGGTGACACTAGAGGGACATCAAAGAGCAATAATGGGAAGCATGACAGTAGAGGTATAAAAAAATAATGTCAATTAAAATACCTTATTTTTTTGGAATAATAATTTTTTTTCTTTTTTTTTGCAGGAAATTTATAAAGACCGAAAGAAATTCAGCAAGGAAGTTTTTGAAGTAGCAAGCAGTGATCTTGTTAATATGGGAATAACAGTGGTTTCGTATACACTGAAAGATATTCGAGACGAGGAAGTAGGTTTATTTATTTTATTTCTATTCAAGAATTGCTCGCTTGCATCAAGAATTGGAATTGAAAACTCTTTTTTTCTTTTGAATTAATATATAGAATAGTTTGAAACCTATAATAGATATTTAGAAAAATTATTTTATAATTTCATTTTTTCCAAATTTTAGCAACGATTTTTTATTTTATAAAACACAGTTTTATATTTATATGATTATACAATTAGTTTTGTTTTGCTACTTGCAGGGTTCGAAGGTACGTTCACTTATTTTCTTTTTAAATAGCAGTACTTCCTGCCCTGCCAATAACTCCTATTATCTAAAGAAGAAAATATCTCTAGACTATAAAAACGAGGACATTTAAAAAAAGAGGAACATTTTTTACAAACTGGTTTTATCTTTTTTTTGTAGTGTAGCACTTTTTTTCCGCACGTTTATTGCACACAAACTCAGACGCATTTTGAAAGACGAAAAAAAATTGCTTTGACTTATTTAATTTTGTTAAATGTTTATAAAATTATTTATTTTTTAAATTTTACTATATGTATTTTAATTTATGTATTGTTTGTCATGTTATAAAATTCGAAAATTTTATTTTATTTTTTTTTTTATTAGAAAACTAATTATTTGGTAGCAATACACTCACGAATTTTGCACGATATTTAATGGTGATTAATTTTAGGAATAACGAACATTATTTTAGTCTCTAGATGTTTCCAGAACCTAATTTCAATCCTATATATTATTAAATCCTATTTTATTATTTTTTTGAAATAAAAATTTGAATATTTAATTGTATAAAAATATTATTTTAAAGGGTTATTTAAAAGCCCTCGGTATGGCTCGAACAGCTGAAGTAAAAAGAGATGCAAGAATTGGAGAAGCAGAAGCTCGTCGAGATGCACAAATTCGAGAAGCAATTGCTGAAGAGCAAAGAATGGCTGCACGTTTTCTCAATGATACAGAAATTGCTAAAGCTCAGCGTGATTTTGAATTAAAAAAAGCTGCTTATGATGTCGAAGTTCAAACTAAAGTAAGAATAAATAAAAAAAAATAAATAAATAAAAATCTAATTTTGTAATCATTTTTTTTTAGAAAGCTGAGGCAGAAATGGCTTTTGAACTTCAAGCAGCAAAGACGAAGCAAAGAATCATGGAAGAACAAATGCAAGTTAAAGTTGTAGAACGTAGTCAGGAAATTGCTGTCGCTGAACAAGAAATGCTGAGACGTATTAAAGAATTAGATGCTACTGTTCGACGTCCTGCAGATGCTGAAAAATACCGGTATTTATATAATTTTCTTTTTCGAATGTGGGAATAATTTTTTTTAACTAATTAAATTTTTCAATGACGATGAAGATTAGAGAAATTGGCTGAAGCTAATCGACTTCGACTAGTAATGGAAGCAGAAGCTGAGGCTGAAGCTATTAAAATTCGAGGTGATGCCGAAGCTTCGGCTATTGAAGCAAAAGCAAAAGCCGAAGCTGAACAAATGGCAAAGAAAGCTGCTGCAATGAGCGAATATAAGAGCGCTGCTATGATTGACATGCTACTTGATACTTTACCAAAGGTATTTGTAATTTTCATTTATAATTTTTTCTTTTAATTTTCTTCTAATTTTCCAATTTTCTAATTTTCTTTTTTAATTTTTACAGGTCGCTGCTGAAGTAGCAGCTCCACTTTCGCAGGCGAAGAAAATAACAATGGTTTCAAGTGGCAATGGTGCAATTGGTGCTGAGAAATTAACTGAAGAAGTTTTGAATATTGTAAATCGTGTTCCAGCATTGGTTAAAAGCATGACTGGTGTAGACATCGCGAAAGTATGTTCAACAAAAGTTCATTGAGCTTAATGACTAACAAAAATAATGGCTTTTAACAAACAAACAAAAAAATGTGGAGCGTCTTAAACAATTTGCTAAAGCGTCAATGGTTTTTAATAACAATTTTTTATATTTCTATTTTAAAATTTTCTTTTACAGTCGGTTCATGCAGCGTAAACGGAATGGAAGACAAATTTTCATAACTGCTGAATCTCTGTTAATGATGCTTATAAAAAATATGAAAAAATCATCTGTCTCTAAAAAAAAAAAAAAAAAAATCTTTTATACTAGAAATAAGTTATGTGACTTTTGCTACTTTTTCTCATCACTTTTACTGCCAATTGACTCAATATTTTCTTTTCTTTTTTTTTTAAATTAATAGTATTTTTATTACTTTGTTTTTATATACTAGATGTTAATCTTGGTCTTTAGAATAGAAAAAAATAATCTTTCGCACAATTCATTCGATTTTAAATATTTGCTTGTGGCAGTGAATGTGAATTAAAATGTCCATTTGTTGCAATTGACAACTTATATATTTAAAAATATGTTGTCCTTTTTAATTTAAATTTTAAAATTCTTAATTTGGTTTCTTTTAACGAATAATAAAATTGTAAAGTAATAAATTCAATGAATAGTGATTTGAATATTAAAATCTATAAAAAGGGAAAAGTTTGAGGAAAAGAATATTTACATTTCTAACTAATGTAAAAATAGAAAAAAAAATTGTCAACGAAAAATATATATGGAAAACAGAATTGAAGACCTTCAGAAAATTATTGAAGGATTTTTTTGACCAAAATTCTTATTTAGAAAAACCTTTCTTTTTTTTTTGTCTGAAAAAAATAACTTATGCCACGATGTGCCGAATGACATTCCTCTATGAGTATTCTGTGACACTGTGTACCTTCTTAATGTTAAAAAAAATCTCTAACTAATTAAGTGTTTAGCGATGAAAGTACCAAATCACTTTGTGTCAGTGTCCGAAATACGTATCTAGTCTCCAAAAAAAAAATCGTATGTACCTTCGGTTATATTTTTTCTATTTGAAAAATGAACTACATATATTGTATTTTCCCTTATAGTAGTAATAATAATTATAATAATAGAATATAATATCCAAAAAAAAGCCGGTAAAAATTCTCTAGATAATAGTTAGTCTGCTAAAAATTAATTTTGAACTTATGAATAGTGGTAAGATCATGTGCAAAGCCTTACAATATAGCGAAGAAAAAAGTTCAAGTTTGAAAAAATAAAAAAAATGAAAAAAAAAAAGGTTCTTTTCATCATTTTCCTAATATTAACAATTGAATGACTTTTGATTCACTTCACGTGTAGAGAGAATAGAGAAATAAAATTTCCCCTTTTTTTAATATATAAATAATGATATTTTCTATCATTGTAACGATATATTTTTTTACTATTGAATTAAAAATATGATTTCAATTTTGAAATTATTAAAAAGTACCAATTATCAAGTATTCAATAGAAATTTAAAAAGGGAAGTAAATATCAATTTGTTTCTTAAACGACATGGACGAGTACAAATCATTTTTGGTCGATTTTTTAGCTGGAGGAATTTCTGCTGCAATTTCAAAAACTGCAGTTGCACCGATAGAACGTGTAAAAATTCTTTTACAAGTACAAGAAACTTCGCGGCACATTAAAGCTGAACAACGATATAAAGGTATGTATGTGAAAATTTGAAGAACAAAATACAAAATTTTTTTAATAAAAAACAAAATAGGTCTTCTTGACGTCTTAATACGAGTTCCTAAAGAAACTGGATTCTTCAGTTTATGGAGAGGGAATTTAGCAAATGTCATTCGATATTTTCCCACTCAGGCTTTAAATTTTGCCTTTAAGGACAAATTTAAAAAAATCTTTTTGGAAGGTGTGCCAAAAGATGATTTTTGGAAACAATTTGGTGGAAGTTTGGCAGCTGGTGGTGCTGCAGGAGGATCTTCTTTAATTTTTGTATATCCTCTAGATTATGCGCGAACACGGTATTTTAATACTTTTTTCAAAATTTAATAAAATATACATATAAAAAAAATGTTTTACTATAAAAAATAGATTAGCAGCAGACATTGGAAAGGAGAAAACAAGAGAATATAGTGGAATGATAGATTGTATTTCAAAAACATTTAAATCAGATGGACCAATTGGTCTATATAGAGGATTTTTTGTCAGTGTTCAAGGAATTGTAATTTATCGAGCAACTTATTTTGGATTTTACGACACTTTAAAGAGCCTATTACCGAATCCTAAAGAGACACCATTGATTGTAAATTTTTGTATCGCCGAGGTGAGAAAATAATCATCTAGTCAAAAAAAATTTTGCACTTATCATTTTGCATATATTTTTTCAGTTAGTAACAACGTTTGCTGGAATTATTTCCTATCCATTTGACACGGTGAGAAGGAGAATGATGATGCAATCAAATAGAGCAAAGTCTGATATGATGTATCAAAGCACAATAGATTGTTGGATAAAAACATTCAAAACAGAGGGACCGAAAGCTTTTTTTAAAGGAGCATTCTCAAATATTTTACGTGGAACTGGTGGAGCTCTCGTATTAATTTTATATGACGTTTCAAAAGATTTAATTGAAAAATCGATAATCAATTAATTATTAAGTATTCGTTTTCATTTATGGGAATTTTGTAAAATAGTTGCAAATAACGAAAAAAAAAAGAAAACGAAAATACTCTATAGACATATACATTTATTTTCAATAATCATTACCTTAAAAAATATATATTTATACATTTACGAACTAAATTAACGGACTTAAATATTTGAGTATGTATACATATATATATAAAGAGACAAGTCAGAAGACTGGAAATGCTTTGTATTCGCGAGACGTACTTCCTTTTTTTTTCCTCCCTTCAAGTCAGTAAAAATTAATTATTTAATTTAACATTGTATGTCGATCGTAAATATTACGTCTCTGCTCTCTGACTTGTCGTTTCCATTTGTCCTGTTGATGTCCAACACGATTTAAAACATTGCCCCTAACACCCATTGGATGAGACATTCCAGGTGCTGATGTATCATCCTATTAAAATTTTATTATGTAAGAATTTTAAAAATTCAATAAAGAAGATTTTAAAAAGAATAAAAAAATTAATAACAGGTAACATGTGTCTAGATTAAAAATACCTCTTCGTTATTATGTTCCTGATAACCAGCTCCAGCTTTTGGTAATCTCTTATTAAGTAGAGGATCCAAGCATATTAAAAACAGCATATAAATTACTAATAGCGATATCACCCATATTACAATAATTACTACAATCTGGAATATAAATTTTATTTATTATTTCATATTATTTATCACTGATTGTTATTACAATAATTTAAAAAAAATTTACTTACTTTAATAATAGTAGTGTTTCTATTTTCATATTTACAATCACACCTAGGACAAACTAGTTGTTCTTTTCCTTTTATTTTATCGCCAAGATGATTTAAAACTGCATCTTTACAATTACTAAATAGAAAGGGGAAAAAAATATTATATTTATCAATTAGAATTATAACATAAAATAAAAAAATAACTACCAATGATTTGGCGTTACGTTCGAAATGAAATTCGAACGAATTTTTGAAGAATCTGTAATATTAAGGACAGCTGCAAGATTTGGACAAATACATTTACATCTTTTATCATCATAAGATTGGGCCTAAAAGTGACACGAAAAGAAATAAATAAAAATATTGATTATTATGTCAATTAATAATTTTAAATTGATATTTTTAATAAAAATGTATTTCAAAAATACATACACTTACCTCGCATTGTGATATAAATATTAAAAATAGTGGTACTATAAGAAGTAAATTTTTCCACATTTTTCGATACACGTAATACTGAATATTTTCACTTGCTATAAATTAGATTTTTCACTAACACTGTTTATAACTTTTTAAAGTGATTTAAGAGTTTGCAAATAATGACAGCATCCACACTACAAGCAGCCATATTTTTTTAACAGATGTTTTTGTCAGAATGACAGCTATATGCATTGTAGAGGGCAGTAAATGTCATCAGTAACGTAACAAGGTAATTCTATTAATTATAAATACCCGATTATAGATATACGCGTATAAAATGAAAATAATAATTATAAAATAACGTAATTTATTACATACCACGAATTAAATAAATAATATCAAAGGACTTAATGTATTTCTAAATAAATAAAATTTGTTTTGTCTCCACCAGTTTATCTCGCCTATCTACTATCCTGAAGAAAAAGACCCTAGCCATTTTTAAAATACAATTTAATTGATTTAAATGCAATTCTTCAAAAGAGATAACTATTCTTTAAAAGAATGTTATTTTGAATTTGATACAAAATACACAATTAATTAATTACCTATTTTACAATTTTATATAATTTAAAAATCAATTAAACTTTTGATTTTGGCGCCTTTCTCATTCAAAGTTACTAGTAATGTCACTAGTGACAAAAGGAAAACAATAGCAGAAGACAGAAGTGTCAGATTGCGGCCGCACTGTGATAAGAACGGTTCTTATAGTTGAAAGATTTTTATCTTTACTATTAATTTTAATTTGTTGTTAATTTTGAAAATACATTTTTCAAAAAAATTTAAACATTCCAATCATTTATGGAAAAAAGATAATTTATACTTTGATGTGAAGTTTTTAAAAAGAATTGTTAAAAATCTTTTGTTTACCTCCTATTGTTATAACAATAAAAATTTGTATTCTGACAAAAAAGAAACATGTTTCCAACAAAATAAAGTAAGTACTTTGTTAGAAATTTTAATTATTATTTTAAAAAAATTATTCTTTAAAGTATTGTATAAATATTTATTATATGAAAAAACAAAATATTTTTGTTTTGTTAAAAAAGAAGTATTTAACAATAATGTATTTATTATTTTTTAATTTCAGTTAACAATTATTTACTTAATTCAACAAATTTTTTTTAAAGAAATGTTTTTTATCGCTAAAGGCGGGAAAATATTATTTCTGTAATAAATTATTTATAACTGATTTGTATTTATCTACTTTAAAAGAATTGGAAAATTCACATTTGAAATATTCAAATAGTAATTTAAATTCTAAAATACCCTATTTTTTAAAAGTATTTTCGATTATTTTTTAAACATAAATTTACGATGCGACAGGAATAGACTAAAGTTGGTGATAGCTTCAGGCTATCATCATCATTTCTGAGATGTCCTATATTTTTTGTGCCATAAGGAACAGAAAAGAAGCTTTTTGAAATGAAATACTCATAAAGTTAAAAAAAAAACTTTTTATCGTTACTTAGAAAGATGTAAAAAAGATTCTGTTTAATAGTAAAAAAATTGAAAATTCTTTTTCTCTAAACTATAAAAATTTGAATATTCTTATTAATAATTTATTTACCTATATGCAGCTCTTTGAAAATTTTAAATATAAATAATAAATATTGAATTACAAGTGACCTAGATATTAAAATAATGAAAACTGACCATGAATGATCAATGTGCATTTTATAGCGCGTGTTCTTTGATGCAGAATTAATAAACCCGATAGATTTACTTAAATAAAAAAATAGCAATGAAATTAAAAAATAATTTTATTAGTTTCAGAAATTTTTTCTTCTTAATAATTTCGATATTTTTCAAATTAAAAAAAGGATCCTCTTGTAAATCTTAATTAATATTTTATAGGAAAATCTTTAAATTTATATATATTTTTTTATAGGAAAATAGAAGAACAAGTGAGAAAATTTTGAAAATTTTCATAGTGAAGTAAAAAAAGAAAATCATGTTGATCAATTATTTTCGAAGATCAACTAGCGCTCCAAATAAAAATGAGGTAATTAAAATTTCTCTGTCTAGAAGAAATCAAAAACTAAAAGTATCTAATAAATTACCTATAGGCTTATAAAAAAAAGTAACAAAGATGAACTTAACATCTACTTATAAAAGTTATAAAGACGAGCTTCGCAAAACTTTTAACTCAATTTACATAATGTAAACATCAGCTACTCACAGTGCCTTCAGTAACCTCTAAAGCAATAATTTTAAGTTTTCATCTCATTTAAAATGATGAATCAAAACTGTTTAAAATTTCTTTATACAGATAATAGGATATAAAGTAACAAACGCCAGTCGCACCAGAAAAGTTGGAGTTGCATGTCGGACTTTTCAGGAGCTCAAAGAAAAGGCTTGCATCAAATTAAAAGTAAGCTGACGTGTTTTTTTCCATTTTCCAATAATTTATCTCGAATACATATTTTAAAAAAAAAACTATGATAAAATATTTATTATGTATGTTAATTATTTTTTATTTAATTGCAAAAAAATGTTTTAATTTTTTTTAAAAAATTGTTATTTTTATTTATTTATTTTATTTTTATGATAAAAGAGTTATTTTTATCGTAAAGTTACTCAATGGAAGGAAAATTGACTTTTATATATAGCTAATTTAAAAGTGACATTCGCACGCTGAATCTGACCTTGGAGCAGGATTATTTTGGCCTTCAGCTAGCTTTATTGAACGTTGGCTGGGTTGAGCTTGCCGCGTGCGAGGCCAGGGACATTGGCATTTATTTTTCAATGTCACGGTCACAGGATCTCGTGAGGTCAAAGCCACACATTTCAATAACATCATTCTTTTTTCATTCAATTTTCCTTTCTATTAAGTTACTCATTTTTTTTTTTAATTACTAACCAAAATAACTCAAATTTAAAAAAATGTTTAATTAAAAAATTTTTTTCAGATTACCGGAAAATTGGAAGATATCAGCGTCTTTCTTCTGGATGGATCAGAAATAGATGAAGAATATTTTTCAACACTAAAGGCGCAGACGACTTTGATCATTCAGAAACCAGGGGAAAGAATAATGACAGGTAAGAATATAGTAATTGGAATATAGTTAAAAATTAAAAATTAAAAAAAAATTTACAGACGCAGATTTACTCTACGAAACATTGAAAAGAGTTAATATAGATTATTTGATGTCCGGTGATGAAATTTCAAAGTTCCTGACAGAAAATCTTAAAGCAAAGATTTCAATTTTAAATAGTGCATTAAATAGCGATGATACAAAGACTCATTTAAGTTCCCGAATTGATCATCAAGATTGGTTTCGAGGACTAGACACAACTTATACGTCCAAAGTAAGTATACTATAGAAAATATAATAACAAATAAAATTCGAAGCAAACAATTTTTTTTTCATTGTAGGAAGCATTCATGCACAGAAGATGTCAAGATAGAATTCGTGGCTACCTCACAAAAGCAGTGGAACAAATTAAATCTTCAGATATTTTTACAACTGATCGACGAGCTAGACAGCATTTATTACGTGCAATTGCTTTTTTTAAATTGCAACTTAAAGAAGATCATTACTATGGTCATTATTTTGATAGAAGTAAAATTTCAACGGGAAATTCTAATGAAGTAAAAAATAATAAAAATGATAATGATAAAGATAATAATGATAATAGTTCCGATGAGATTGATGATAGTGGTTTTTTTCAATGTTACGAACATTGTCCTTGTAAATTGAGAAATTTTGATTATTTCAATCTCTTTGAAATAGAAGAATCAGATCAAATAGATGCAAGAAGAATGCAGCAAGAAAATGACAATGAAATTGAATCATACTATAAAGTGATTCCTGGTAAAGAAAGAAAATTGATTACACTCTGTGATCATAAAGGTGAATTTAAATGTGATGGAGTATGGAATAAGGATAAGTGTACGTATGATGGGAAACATAAAATCAATCCTTATCGATCTAAAGAAGAACTCATTCTTTTTTCAACTTGGAATCTTGATCACAGGTATGATGTCACTTTTTTAATCAAAAATTATATATATACGATTATTTTTATTGAAAATGATTTCAGAATTGAGAGATCGAGAACTTTAATTCCACAATTGCTGAAATTATCACAAGAGGAACAATTAAATCAAAAGGATGTGGTAGAAATTTATGACAATTTGTTTACGATAAAAAATTTAAGGCTCGTGCATATTGTTTGTCATGACAAAGGTGCACATAAATAATAACAAAAAATGAGAGCAAATTTGAAACCGAATTTTGGCACAAATTTAATTAAGAATCATAAAGAAAAATTTTCCTCTATTGAGTAGAGTTTTAGAATTTAAAATTATTCTTAGATCTAAAAAGCGCATGTAATGTAGTCAAAAAATTTGTGTATATAAAACACGTATTGTATTTCCATCCACAATTAATTAATTACGAAATAGTATTAGATCTAGTATGTATATCATATGAAAGCCAAAGATCATGTCTTCCACTTTTATCAAGTCATAAATAGAAGCTAATAATTAATGAAAATATTAATAGATAAATATTCAAAGTTAATTTGTTGTTTATTAAATTTAGAAGTTAAAAATTAGGTTTTTTTTTAAATATCTCCCAGAAAAAAATTTTTTTTGTTCACAAAAAGAAAATGAAAATTATTTTTTAAATAAAACAAAATTTTAGTACAGCTGAACTTTCGCTTTGATATGGAATCTCTATATATATAAAATAATTAGGTTTCAAGTTGTATACACAAAAAATGTATAAAAAAACTTAAGTATAAAGTGTTAAGTAGAATTTTAAAGTTTAACGATAGTTAATATTCCAGTTGGAAATATTTGTTTGTATAAAGATAAAAAAATATGTTTAAACATATTTAAAATTTAAGTGGTTTAAGTTTAGGAAAACTAGAAGATTAAATATAAAAGTAATTCAAATAATAGTAAAATAATTAAAATTAGAAGAGAAATGAAAAAAAAATATGAAAAGTTATAAATATTAGAAAAAAGTGATTTTAGAAAAAAAAATTAGATTTGTAAATATTTAGATAGAGAACTAAAGTTCTGATATATAATTCAATTATGCAACTTTTTCTGTTTTGTGTAAAATTAACAAGTGTACTTAAATTGAACAATATTTAAAGTAGCAGGAAACTTTTATAAAATTATTTCTTAATTATTTACGATTTAAAAAAAAACTTTTTTAACAAAAATTGTCTTTAATTATAGATAAAAAAAAAAAATTATTGTCAATATTTGTAAAGATCTGCTCAAATGGAAAATGTTATTTTTTCCAGGAGATATTTTTTAAGTCTTAATTGATTGTATTTAAAGTTTAATTTACAATCTAATTGTAATTACTAATTTCTTTTCAAATATTTACTTAGACTGCGTTAACGAAACAGGGTTAAAATTTAAGATTAAAAAAAAGTGACCAATAGACATGTTATTTTTTAAAAAGAAATCTGCTTTACAGAAAATATTAACTTCAACTGCAACAATTAAAAAATTTATACAAACAAAATATTGTATATATAATCAAATTAAGAAAAGAAATTAAAAAGAAGCTATATTGTAGTACCTGATAAACAATGAATTTTTTTAAAAATTTAGATCTCTTTCTCTCTCGATCTATCTAAAAATGTATTTTGCTATTTTAATTTTAAGAACCATTTTTTTTTAATAATTTCAAAATAAAAAATGATTTTATGAAGAAAAAGTGATTGACAAAAAATTGTCATATATTAAATAATGTTTCTTGCAAGATGACCTAATGTGAAAGACCCTCCTCTTAATTGACACTAGTTAAATCGCTGTTGTATATATCCTTTGTGCATATTTTTAACCAGCACTTGTGAAAAGACTCTACATATGAATATGAACAACTTAATAGACCACTTAACTTTAATAACGTTTAGGTAGTTCTCATAAATGTCACAGCTTGAGAAATTGCTATATATTTTATGCGGTTTAACAAAGTTATTTAATTATATAACAAAGTTGCAGTAAAAAAGAGTGAGAAATACATTTTTCTCTTGAGAAATAATTCAATAGATATTTAAACTTAGAAAATATAGTATATATATATGTAATCAAGAATTATAAATATTCCAGTTTCAATTTTTTATATAAAAAGAAAATGTTATTTTTAATTTTTGATTGTGAAAAACTTTTCTAGCACAACATAAATTTTTCTATATGTGCAAAAAAAACTCAGGCTCGTATTATATTGAAATAATTCGAATATGCGAAAAAAGTTTATTTGTAAATTTATAACTGCATTTTTGTTTTTAAATTTTGACTCGCGATGAGATTATGCAAGAGTATAAAAAAATATGTAAAATCTGTTCTATTTACATATATAAAGTTAGAAAAATATATATTTTAGCTATAATGATAATATTTGTATATTTTTATTTTCCCTTCAAGTATGTATAAATAAGAAAAAATTTTCCATTTTCATTAACTAATAACTAAGTTCCCTAGAGTAAAAACTTTATGAAAAATACATTTTTTTATTTAATTAATTAATTTGTTAATTAAATATCTTATAATTTTTTATTTAAATTTTGTAAAAATTTTAATTTAATTTTTAATTTTCACGAGAGTAATTAAGAATTCAAAATAATTATTAATAATGAAGATTGCAAAAATAATTAAAATAAAATTACAATGAAAATTTGATATTACATTTAGACTGAAATTAAAAATACAATTTGATATGAATATTAATAATAAGTTTCAGATAATTATAAATGAAATTTTAAATTATTTAGAGTGTTCTAAAATCTAAAAAAAAAATTGAGTGCCGTTGAAATTTTAATTATTCTTGATCAGTTATTTCTGATAATGTATTATAATTAAATGCATAATATATTATATATATATCAAGCAATGTTCCACATGCACATAATCAATACCGGTAAAATATTGCATATTTTTATTACATTCTTTTAATTTCATAAAACCTATTAATCCCTCATAATAATTGGACTTCATATAAAAACATATATACAATTTTGAAATACTTTAGTTTGTTAATTAAATGACCTAATTAAATTAAAAAATAAAACACCAACAATATAAAAATATAATAAAGTATAATAAAAGAGAATTTAATAGGTTTAATTAATTTTGCATAATTATTAAATTATTTGTATTAATAAAAATGTATTTTTAATAAAGTTTTGTGAGAATTTCTATGTCTGACCAAATATATGTTTGTATCACCTCTCATTAACCCAAGATTCAAAATGTTATTAAAATAGAATTTTTCATTTTTAAAAAGTGGATTTTAAAAATTTTCTAAATGAAGTTATAATTTACCATATAATTCCCCTTTATTTTAGACTGAATTTAGCACGTAAAATTATTTTCCGAAATTATTATTAAATAATTACCACCGATTATAAACCACCTTTTTTTTTTTTACTTTTTATCAAAACCAACCAACTTAGGAAATAAAATACCATGATTAGTGTGTTTTAAAATTTAACTATATAATGCTTCTCCCCGCTTTTATTTTTAACTTTATTTTTTTTTTTTTGCCTGGTTACATTATCGCCGAGAGGTATATAACAGCGGTTGGTTTATATATATTCCAGCATCCCTCCACTATCATTTATTTTAATTTATTATTTAAAAAAAAAAATTGATAATAATTTATTAAAGTATTTATCAAATGGAATATTGAACATTTATACACGTCTGAAAAAATAAATAATGTTTCCCATATCTTCTTCACAATAAATAACAGATCGAGAGTGATTAAAAACACATTTGCAACAAGAATATTCGTCCCCTCGATATGTAGCAAATACATACATATAATAATTGGATTCGTCGGTTTTTCAACTTAGGGTTTTTGGAGAGAGAGAGAGAGAGAAAGAGAAGAACATATTTTACCCACTCCAAAATAGAAGAATTGATTATCGTATCGCAATATATACACACACGCCTTCAAAAAGATCGCTCGATCTCATAGATCTAACCTTGAAGCCTCTCTCCCCATATGCGAAATGACCGAAATTTATTTCTACTCCAAAGAGATTACATAGCGAACGCACATGTTGTATGTGTATATATGTACTCGAGACGAGCATTTACACCCGAAATTCAAAGATATCTCTGTATATGTACTTGTACGTAAATGTGAGTATGAATGAGAATATATATATACATATATATATATATTGCAGATATGGGTATATATCCAGCATCGTGCAAGGGTGCGATGAGTGGATATACATATACGATGTTCGTGCGAGGGTTACGAATGGCGAAAAATGGGGGAAAGGAGGAGGGAGACGGAACGGCACAATGAGAAATAATATACGTCCTTTCTATTAGAACCATTTTTCAGAAAGACCTTCTCTCTACCTGGCTCACACACAGCTCTCTTTCTCCTTAATATCCCAACCTCTCTACACCTCGACACCAAAAATATATATATGAAAAGAACTCTCCTATCTCGGGTTCGACGACATTCGAGACTCGTCGCGGTTCAAGCTTTTCAAAAAAAAAATTACCATGCATATACCTATTTTTTTTTTTTATATATATTATTCTATAATACGAACTTTTTATAAAAAGTATCGTTTTGATAATTTTTTTATACCTTTACTAAAAAAATGTTTTCAATCTTTTTGAGAACCGAAAGTCATTCAATTGTTATTATTATATATTATTAAATTATAAAAGTGATTAAAATTTTAATTGCTTTTCTCACTCTCTATACCTCTACCGCAAGAATATTTTTTTTTTTTCAATATCTGTTACTGACAATTTAAATTATTTTACATTGATTTGTAAAAGTGAAGTTTCGACTAATAATTTATAAGCTTTTTTTTAATTAATTCAAAAAAAAACTATTTTAGTTATATTAATCATTTTGCAGTTTAATTTTTAAATTTTCGTTTTTGAGAAACTGAATCATTATGAAATAATAATTTAATTCCTATTTATGTAAATAAAAAATTCAGTTGCAAATGTACTCACAAATATTTGATGAATTGCTGTAGGACATCTGAAACAAAAAGAAGATACATTAAAAAATTAATGTTTTACTAATTAAATATTTTATTAAAAAATAGAAATTTTTATTTTAAATTGGTGTTCTAGAACATCCGTTTTTTGGGTATTATAAAAATAAACATAATAAATGAAAGGTGCGCATAAAACCTGCAGTGCAAAAAAAAGGGAATTGCAAAATTTTGCAGAGATCCATCTTTCTTTCTCTCTCTCTCTGTCTCTTTTTTTTTACTCTCTCGTTTCCTCTTTCTTGCATGTTCGTTGAACCGACAACACCGATATATTATATTACGTATTCCGGATATCTACCGAACGAAGTAACGTTCTTGTCTCGTGCCGCACTAAATTACTGATTAGAGTTGCCTAAACTCCCTTTAACCCCGTTCCATCACCCTCTCTTCTCCTCTTATACCAACATTTCGCACACACATATATCTATATGCCGTATAACGACGATTTAGCGCCGAACATTGGCTGGCATTAAACCTCGCGAATAATTCAAAAGCAATTTCCAACGCTTTTCGTTTCATTTCGTTTCTCGGCATTTAATTCCAGCATCGTTTAATTCCATTTGGTGCGTCAATGAATTAAAAGCTACTCTGTATAATCATCATAGTTTACGTATATATAGTCCCGTTATGTTATTGAAGTCACCGTTATATAATAATATAAAAAATGAAATGGGTTGGCCAAAAAGGTCTATAAATTATTTATATAAACATCAGGCGAAATTTTATTTTTTTTACCTACATTTTAAAATTACCTAGAATTCTGAGAATCATTTTGCAAAATAATAATCCCAATTGGGATTGAAAATTCTCATAACAAAACTTATGCGCGTTTATATACATTAACTGCCGACATTTTCTCGGATCGGATCCATTTTTTTTTCGTTTTTTTTTATACCGCAAAGGTCGAAGGCACATATTAAATCTAAATTAATCTTCCACTACCATCGTTAATGACTGTCCATTTATCAAAAAAGTTCACCGCTTTTGCGAGTTCCTTCCTTCGCGAAAACCTTCGCGAACGAGAACGTCAGAAGGGATTTTATCTCGAGCAACACAAATTGGTATTTATTTCGATAGATGCGCGAGCGAATTTTTTTTTTTTCAAAAATTAAACGTAGGAGAAATTTAATTAAAACTATAACAAATTTTCTATTCATTAAAAATGAAACAATAATATTTTGTAAAAAAAAAATATTTATATGAAGATTTTTTTTATATATAAAAATTCAGATTATCAATTATCTCGTGTATGCAGAAAAGAAAATCAAACTAGATTAACCAGAAATAACAAATTAATTCCTTTAGCATATATATATACAAAATCGTGCAATTTTGAAAGCGAGTATTTTGCTAGCCAGCGCACATATGTTTCATCTTCTCGGATGCAGGTTTACGTTATTGTTTTTCTCCAACGAGAGAAATTGTATTTTAGAGAAAATCAGGTTAGCGCAACCCGCCAAAAGCGAACGAGATAATAAATAGCGGGATAGAACATAGAGGAGGGTTGTGTGTGTGTGTGTGTGTAGGTTGAGCAATTATAAATTGAAACGCTCTTGTGTTATTTATCATTTTATAGCGAATGGACCAAACGACACGACAACGATGCAATAGCGTATGTGTTCTATGCAAAACAATAGCATTCACGATATGTGATACGTGTGTACTATTGTTTTGTATCATTATACTAACAAATGCACTGAATGTAATGCGCGAGCTTGCAAAAAAAAAAATAAAATAAAAAAATTGTACCTCATATTTTCTTTTTACTGCTACTGTTTCAATTAAGCTTATTTATGTTAAAATAATGCAAATTTTTTTTTTTATTATATACAATTTAATTTAAATACATACTCTCTTTGATGGAATGTTCTATTTTATTTTCTACTTCAAAAAAGCTTTTTAATAATAATAATATCATAATCGGTTAAGCATCAGCAAAAAAAATTAAAAGAAAGAATAATTTGTACAAAAAAAATTCTCCAATCATTCTAATTTTAATTCCAATTGAATCCTGAAACATTCCGAATCGATTGGCTTGAAAATTGATTCGGAATGAAACGAATTATTTTGGAATGATTCGGAAAGAATTCGTTAAAAATTTAAATTCGGATAAAAACTGATTCGAAAACAAAATCACAGCTAAAATTTAAAATCGTATATTAATAAAGTAACAGAAAACATTTATTGATATAAATAAATCATAATAAAATGAATATGAGATTTATTAATAAAAGCATATTAAAAATTTATTAACGAAAATAAAATAATAAATCTGCAAATTTAGTCATTAATATATATATATATAAGTTTCTTTTGATGAAAATATTATTGAATAATTCTTCCAAATAATGTTCAAGTA